TTCTGCTGCCCCTTCCCTCTGCGCTGTCCTCTTCCTTGGCTGGCAGCTCCTGCTCACTGGGCCACAGGAGTTCTGGTGCCCTTGGGCTGGGGTGCCGTGCGGCAGGGACGCTGAGCCTCGTCTTGGGCCCGCCTAGCGCTGCATGAGTCCACCCAGAGCAGCACCACACAGGGCGGCCGTGGGGGCTCGTCGGGGGCCAGGCGGCGGCCTTGACCTCTGCTATGCGGCACATTACACCTGGCCTCCTCTTGGCGTGGAGCTAGGAGTGAACAATGGTTTTTGTATTTCTTTTTTAAAATTTTTATTTTGTTTTGCTGGGCTTGGTCATTTTTGTTTTGTGTAGTTTTGGGGTTTTATTTGCGGGAGTTGGTGTTTTTGCAGTACTGGGGCTTTCCCACTGAGCTACCTCCCCAGCCCTTTTTATTATAATCTTTTATTTTGAGGTAGGATCTTGCTGAATCACCATACCCCAGGTTGGCTTCAAACTTGCAGTCCTCCTGCCGCAGCCTCCCCTTGCTGGAACCCTAGCTGTGCTGCACTCCGCCCAGCGGGATTGCAGGCAGTTTTTGCCTTATCATCCTTTTGAGCTAGAGTGGGTGGGCCAGAGTATCTAACTCCCTTCCAGTTTTAGCAGAGACCCCTAACAAGTGGGTGTAGCAGGACCCCCCCACACACACACACACAGACCCCAGCGCTGTTTGCTTAGGTTCTGATCAGGCCCTCTGGGACCCCCCAGCCTCCCAGCCAAGTAGCCTGACCCCTTCCCGGCTGCCTTTCAGTGACCTCCCAAGGTCCACGCTGGGTCCCTGGCTCGTGCTCCATCCCCCCGTCAGAGGTCTGCTAGCTGAGGGCACAGCCTAGTGGGGGCATTTGCCGGTGTCCTGAGGCCCTGGCTTCCGCCCCAGCGCTCTGAAATGTTTGTGAAAAGTTGGACATTGTGGTGCGCAGTACGGTTTGAAATTCGCACCGCAGCCCGGACGTGGAAGCAAGGGGTTCACTCGCACAGTTCGCCTTCCGTGTGGGCCGCTTAGCATCCATCCTGGGCCTTGTGGGATGTGGAGTTCTTAGCGTGGTGCCCAGGCACACGTGGGCCCGCTGACTTCCTCCCTCGCGCCTCAGGCAGTTCTGCCCTGCCCAACCCCTCCCCAACCTGCCTGCCTGCCTCGGTGACCACTGCGCTAGTCACTGGTTGTGTGCGTTGGATTTCTTTTGCTTCCGCCTCTCAGTGAGATCACTGAGAGTGGTGTTTGACTCGTCATGTCTGGTTTACTGCACTTAACACAGCAGCCCCCAGTTCCCTCGTGCTACAGGGATGGCAGGACCCTGTCCTTTTCCTGGCTGAATAGTATTCCATCATCTGTGTGTCTCTTGTCTTTCTCCATTCCTCTGGGGCTGGACTCTTCCATCTCTTGGTGTTGTCAGTGGGGTGCAGCAAGCATGGGTGTTGATGTCCCTCTGACACGTGGTCTTCGTTGCCTTTGGACAGACCCCGGAGGGCGGGTGAGGGATACAGATTTTCTCTTTTTTGTGGAAATAGGGGTTGAACCTAGTGTTTGCCAGGCAAGAGCTGTGTCACTGAGCTCCCCTCCCAGCCAGCTGTGGTTTTTGTTTTGTGGCAGTGGGGATAGAAGCCAGGACCTTCACACTGAGCTGCATCCCCGGCCCTTTTTGAATTTTGAGCCAGGTTCTTGTTAAGTCCCTGAGTTGTCTAGGCTCAGCTCAAATTTGTAATCTTCCTATGTCAGCCTCCCTGAGTGCTGGCTGACAGGCAAGTACCACCCCCACTAGCAGCCCCATTTTTATTTTGAGAACGAGTGTCAGTGAGTTGCCCGGCGGGCCTCTAACTTGGGATCCTCCTGCCTCTCCCTCCTGAGCAGCCGGAATGGCAGGCGCATGCCCCGGAGCTGGGCTTGAGGCTTTACCCCCAGGTGCACGCACTTTGTCTCAGCGCCCAGTCCTGCCTCTGTGACTGCAGGGAAAGTTCCCTTGAGAGCAGAGGCTCAGGATTCCTGGCCAGGACGGTGGCCGCACACAGCCCCCCCCCCCTCGCCCCCCGGCCACGTGCCAGACACCCTGGTCCCTCCTTCCCTCCCGGCCACCCCAGCCTCGCAGGCCCCGCCATGTGCACAAGGGCCCGGGCAGCCCAGCCCGAGTTTCCCGGCGGCCCTGTCTCCTGCATGGTGGGCCGGATATTTTTAGCCGGCTTTGCAGAGCCCCAGTGTGTGGAGCTCATACCAGATGCGTGAGGTCACCAAGCAGCCTGGCCTGGCCGCTATGAGGCGCGGGCTGGCAGCCGGGGGACCAGGAGGCCAGAAGCCCGGCCATGCATCGCGCAGGCCCAGGCCCAGGCCCACAGGAAGCCGGCACTCCATGGGCCCCCCCACCTGGCGGGCAGGCAGGGAGACTGCGCCTCAGCTCCGTGGGGGCAGAGCCTCCAGCCGAGCCCTGGGGACGGGTGCCCGTCAGCCTGTGGGTGGGAAGCTGGGGGCGTGGCTACTCCCTGGCCCTGGGGCTTCCTGTCCAGCACAGGCTCCCTCAGCGCTTCGCCACTGCAGGGTTCCTGAGCCCCAGGGGACTTTCCTGCCTTCCTGCCAGATCCCAGGGCAGGAGTGCACTGCTGAGCACCTGCCTCCCAGCCCCACCCAGCCCTCCCCTCCTTACTGCAGTGAGGCAGCGTCTCGAGAGGTCCCCATGCGAGACTCAGACTTAAGCAGTGTGGCACTCGAGAGACCTGCACACAGACAGCCTCACCTCCCCGCTGCTTTAAAGGCTCTGTGGTACACACGTCATCCCAGCTGCTCAGGAGGCTGAAGCAGGAGGATCTCTAGGTCCAGCCTAGCCTTAGTGAGACCCTGTCTCAAAACCAAAACCTAGAAATGGCTGGGGCTGTAGCTCAGACTGACGGCTCTGGGGTCTCCCCTCAGGGGTAATCGCCTCCCCCAGGAACCCCCCCCAGTCCAGGTCGATTCTCCCTTCCCTGGAAGACTAGGGGTGGAAGTGCTTTGGGCCTCGGATCTCTTCCAGCCGGGGATGGTTTGCATGTGCAGAGTGAGGTGTCTGTGAGGGAAGCCACATCTACTCAGACCCAGTGGCGTTTCCTGCCCATCTCACACGGACAGGCGGCAGGCGGCATGCAGTGCCCTTAATGACTCTGTGCATGAGTCCGGTCGGTGAGTGCCACCTGTGGTCTGCTGCTTAGAGGCTGAGGCAGGAGGATCACTTGAGCCCAGGAATTTGGGGCCAGTCTGGGCAGCAGAGCAAGGCACCGTTTCAGAAAGAAGACACAGGAAGCAAAGCTGAGCAGAGAGGGACCACGGAGTCTGGGGAAACAGGAACTGAGGCAGTGCAGGCGTGTGTGCATGTTGGGGCCGTCACCACATGACCCTGCGCTTCACTTCTTGGTGGCGACTCCAGAGATGAAACCGGAGCCGCACAAAACCTGCATAGCAGTGTGCACAGCAGCAGCGTGCTCAGTGACCAGAGGTTCGCACGGCCCGGACACCCCATACACGTCCTTTGTGCGTGGAATATTACTCAGCCAGGAGAAGGACCAAGGCTCCAACACGGCTCCGCCCAGACGAACTGGAAACTGTGGTGCTGGGTGATGGATGCAGGCACTAACGGCCACGTGTATGAGCTCCCTGCTGGGAAAAGCCCAGAGCAGGCAGAGCCGCAGAGACAGGCAGTCGGGAGGCAGGCTAGAGGCTGCTGGGGAAGGGCAGGCTCTCAGGGACGGGGGCGCCTTGGGAGGTTGGAAATGGTGTGGACCAAATATAGGTGATGGTTGCACAGCACTGGGGGTGTGGCTAGTGTGACTGAACTGTGTACTTCGAAGTGAGGAGTTTCAGCCCAGCGTGGTGCTCGCCTGCAGTCTCAGCACTCGGGAGGCTGAGGCAAGGGGATCGCCACAAATTGGAGGCCAGTGTGGGCGGCGTGGCGGCTCCAAGGTGTGAGACGGCACAGAGAGGTACAGGAAACAGCAGGTAGCAGGTGGGCTTTGGCCATAGTTTGCCACCTCGGGCGACCGATTACCCCTGCATCCCTCCGAGTCCGCGGGGCTAAGCCACCTGGAGTTAAGAACATTGTCGGGGACAAGTCGCACCTGCGGGGAGCACGCACGGTGCCCCTTCCCGTTGGGGTCTGTGGACGTGTGCGGTCCATGTGAGTCCTGCGCCATTTCTGAGCGTCCCTCCTGGGTTCTGCTGTCTGAGGGGTTGCTGGCTGTCCCCTGTGGACGCGGAGGGACTCGTGAGGAAGAATGCCGACAACAGCCCAAGTGCCCATCCACTGGAAACTGGATAAAGATGTGGTTTTTTAATAAAATGGAGTACTACTCAGCCATAAAGAAAGAGAAACTAGAAACATTTATAGCTAAATGGATGCATATTGAGGCTGTACTCTTAAGTGAAATGAATAGGACACACACGTGTAAATACCGAATAGTTTCCCTAGTGTGAGAACCTGAGAGTGTAAATAAGGATGAAAATGATTAAAACAAATAATTGATAATTTGAAATAGGAAGAAAAGGTCCAAAGGAGTAGGGGTAGCGGGAGGGCAAGGGGAAAGGGAAGAAGGGAAAGGAAAAATTACGAGAAAGAAAAAAAAAATGGAAACAGAGTCTTTGTAAATAGGGAAGGGAGGAGCGGATGAAGGGAGCACAGGTAATGGGGAAAAAATAAGAACTAAGATGCATCATGTACAGGTACAAACACCCAATGATAACTGTAAATGCATTGTATACCTAAAATGTACCAATTAATATATATTAAAAAAAATGCCGACAGCTGGGGGTTTGTCTGTTGGTGTCCTGTGCCAGGTTGGTGGTCCGAGGCACTGCGCTCCACCCTAGAGCCGCCCCAGCCCAGCTCCTGGCTCTGAGCCACAGTCCTGGACCTGAGCTTCGCCCATAGCTGAGACCCGGCAGGAAACAGACCATGGGTGGGGTGGCCCCGGGGACAGCGCAGTGCCTCCCGTTCGAACCCCGCCTTTGTCCCCGCAGGCCTTTGGGAATGCCAAGACGGCCCACAACAACAACTCCAGCCGCTTTGGGAAGTTCATCCAAGTCAACTACCTGGAGAGCGGCATCGTGCGGGGGTGAGTGAGGTGGCATGGTCGCACGCACCGGGCACGCGCTCTGCCGTCAGCCCACCCCGCCAGGGCGGGTGGGAAAGGCCGGGGTGGCACTCGGGCGAAGGCCTCAGCTTCAGATAGGGCTGAGTGTCCCAGGGCGCTGCTCCAGAGTCCCTGGGAGTGGGCATGGGCCTCGCCCTGATAGCCAGAGAGACCCAGTGCTGGGTCCAGAGCGATGCCGCTGTCCGGGGTTACTGACGGCGGGTGCGCGGGAGGCTGGATGGACCCACGGCGTCAGGGGAGAGGGTCTCGGGCGGTGGTAAGTGGATAGGAGGGCTTGTAGGTGAGTGGGTTTATGGTGTGTGGACGACATTGTAGGTGGCTGGGAGGGTGGATGGGTGGGTGGATGGATGGATGGACTCAGGGATGCTGGGTAGGCGGGTGGATTCGTGGTTGTGCAGCTGGATGGAAGGACAGACTCATGGTGGGGTAGGTGGATGAATGGGTGGGCGGGTTGACTGATGGGTGAGCAGCTTCATGGAGAGGTGGGTGTGTGCGTGGAGAGAGTCCCGGGTGGATGGATGGGGTGAGCGGTGGACCCTAGACACACCCACCAGCAGGCGGGTGCTGGGTTAGTGGGTGCACACAGAGCCCCAGCTGCTGCTGGGTGCTCCGGCCAGCTGGCCTCGGGTGGCATGTGGGCACAGGGCAGTGAGCCCCATCAGGGTCGCAGGACGGGCTCCTCGGCCCCACCCTGACCAACGCTGTCTTGTACCTGGGACGGAAGCATGCGTGTCATCGGGGACCCTCAGTCTAGGCACCTCTCTTCTCTGCCCCAGGTTCTGGCAGGCGTGGAGAGGTGACAGGCGAGGGCCCCTCAGGGGCTGCAGGACCTTGAGGTTCCCGGGCCCGGCCGCACACGGCCATCCGGGGTCCCCTCGGCGCTGCTGCAGACACTGCCAGCAACCCAGTAGTAGGCACCCGGAGCAGCCAGCCGCCCCCCAGGCTTTGGCCTCTCCTCCTCGAAGACCTCAGCATCTTACCCCCAAGTGCGTGGTGTTAAATACACATCAGGAGGTCCAGTGGCAAGCGCTGGCTGGGCTTTCGTGAAGCCTGTGTTCGATCCCCAGCACCAAAAAATAAAACAAAACAAAACTTAGCAACATGGTGAAGCCTGGAAGACTTTTTGTTTGCTTGGTTTTTTGATGTTTTGAGACAGGGTCTCTCTGTGTAGTTCAGCCCGGCCGTGAACACTCACCATGTAGCCTGGGTTGGATTTGAACTCATGGCAATCCTCCTGGCTCAACCTCCGGAAGGCTCCTGTCATGGAGGTCCAGTCATGACCGAGCAGCCCAGGGCAGCACAGACATATGCTGCAGGGAGCTGCGGTGCTTAGGGTCAGGGCGGGACAGAGAGAGGAAGGTCCCCTTCCAGGGCACCTCTGAAGCACCTAAAGACCTCCCACTCAGCCCTACCTTCTAAACGGCCACCACCTCCCAAAGAGGCCACGAGCCTGGGACAAGCCTTCAGTGCGTGGCCCTGTGGGGACATTCAGGATCCGCCCTGTACGCTCAGGAGGCTGAGGCAGGAGGGTCCCAGGGTCAAGGCCAGCCTGGACAGCTTAGTGAGACCCTGTCTCAAAATAAAAAGTGTAAAAGGGCTGGTGTGTTGCTCAGTGGCAGGTGCTTGCCCAGCATGTGTGAGGCCCTGGGATCAGTCCCCAGTACTGCAGATAGGAAGCATCCAGACTGTAGTACGTATGTATGATAACCTTCCTCCTCTTCCCCCTCCCTCTCCCCTGCTGCCTTCTTTAAAAAAAAAAGCGAGGTCTCATTAACTTGCCCAGGCTGGCCTCAAACATGTCATCCTCCTGCCTCAGCCTCCTGAGTAGCTAGGATTGCAGGGCAGAGCCACCCCACCACCTGGTGCCAATGACTCCCAGTGGTGACCCAGTCCTTTCCAGACTCATCCAGTTACCGACTTCCCACCATGCTGCCTGCGGGTAACTAAGGTCCCCTTAGCAGGGCCCCGGTGACACCTGGGGACCGGCCCTGTGCTGCGTCCGTGCTGCCCTCCTCCCCCGTCTGCAGCCTGGCTCTCCTGGGAAGCAGTACTTCCTGCCCCTGTGGCCACCACTGTCTGGAGGAGAGGCTCCGGCCAGTTCTGCTTTTGCTGCTGTGGGGCAGGTAGCATTTCTCTTACTGTTCCCCACCAGGGCCAAGGGTTGGGACCATCCAAGCCTGTCTCTGCTTCCGCAGTTTGTGAGCCATCAGCTCCCTGTGCATTTACACAGGGCCTTTGCACCGAGCTGCACCCCCCCTCCCCCGCCCCGGGATTGGACTCAGGACCTTGTGCTTGCCAGGCAGGCACAACACCACTGAGCTACATCCCCGGCCTAGTTTTTTATTTTGTGACAGGGTCACTTGAGTCACTAGGTTGTCTGGGCTGGGCTTGAACTGGTGACCCTCCTGCCCCAGCCTCCCAGAGTGCTGGGGTGACAGGCAGGCGCCACCCTGGTGGGCTTACGAGACCGCTGTGGTAGGGGCCCAGGACTTGAAAATGATGGAGAAAGGGGAAGGGAAAGGGCCATCTCTGCCCGGTGACAGCTTGGTGCCCCTCCACGGACACAGCACAGGAAGGGGCCCCGAGCGAGGCTCATCCGTGTGACTCTGGAACCCCGCCCAGCCCCTGCCCTGGAAAACTCACCAGGAGAAATGGAAACAAGTGGCCACACACAGACTTATCTATACACGGGTGTCCACAGCAGAACCCTTGAGAATAGCTAAAAACGAGAAATAGCACAAATGTCCATCAGCAGGCAGGTGGGTGAACATGATATGGTCCGGCCCCATCACGGAATATTACTCAGCCATGAAAAAGAAGGGAGGCCTGGCACATGGTGCAGCATGGCCTCATCCGGGGTCACTACAGAGACTGTGTTCTGTCTCCTTGCCACTCTGGAAACGGCCGATTAATCTATAGCAGCAGGAAGCCGATGAGCAGCCACTTGGGTTGGAGCAGAGAGGGATATGGGGGCAAAGTAGAATTTTGGGGTGACGATGTGTTTGCTGTCTCGATCCCGGTGCTGGGCTCCTGGAGCTCACACTTGACGCCCGACACGGGGGCCGGGGTGAGGGCTTGCCTGGCTCCCAAGCCCAGCCAGCACCACAAAGATGGTAACAGTAAAATCGTGTGCTTTAAATGTACAGTTGTTTTTGCAGCTGGAGAAATCTTTCCTTCTGGGGAGAGTGGGACTGGGGAGCCCCTCTGGGAGCACGTGGGCGCCGCGGCTGGCCTGCGTTGTCTCCGTTGGTCGCAGCTGCGGGGCGAGGTCACATTTGTAGCTGACGGGTGCTCCGCGGACAGGCAGCGTGGCGGTGCCCCGTAAGCCTCGCGCTTGGGAGCCCGAGGCGGGAGGATCACAAATTTGAGGCCGGCCTGGATTGCAACGTGAGGCCCTGTGGCAAGAAGAGAACTCGTCGGGAGAAGGATGTGAAGGCTAGGCTTGTAGCCCAAAAGCCCTGCTTCCATCCCTAGCACAGACTGAAGAAAAGAAAGCACTTAAAACAATAGTAGAATATGTAACATTTTAACCAAAACCTAAGTAACATGTATTCCTCCGTTTGTGTTAATGACAGTGCTGTCGTGGAAAAATACCTGCTTGAGAAGTCTCGCCTGGTGTCTCAGGAGAAGGATGAGCGGTACGCGTGATCGGGCATCGCCCCTGGCTGCCTCTGCCCCAGCTGCCCCGGGGCCTCTGGCTGGGTGGCCAGTCTTGTGCTCCCCAGGGGTTTTACCACCATGGTATTCGGATGCCTGCCCAGGGTTTCACTTGCAAACCTGTCTGATGAGCCGGGCGCAGTGCTGCACCCCTGTCATCCCCGCTACTCGGGAGGCCGAGGCAGGAGGGTGGCAAGTTTAAGGCCAGCCAGGGTCACTGAGCAAGACCCTGTCTCAGTAAGATGAAGGCCTGGGCGATGTATGAATGGACTTGGGCTTCACAGTTTGGGGCATCGAGAGTGCTCTTCCCTCCCCGGAGGCCTCCGCAGAGGCATTAGCGGAGGCCCGAAGAGTAGCCTCCCTGACCCCGGCTGCTCTCCTCCTCCCGGCCCGCAGGAACTACCATGTGTTTTATTATTTGCTCCTTGGAGTCAGCGAGGGAGAGCGCCAAGAATTTCAGCTCAAGCAGCCAGAAGATTATTTCTACCTCAACCAGGTAAGCAGGCCCAGCCCGCCACAAGGCCACCTCTGTGCCCGCCTTGGCGGGCCCCTGGGGGCCTGAAGGAGCCCACTCTCCGGCCCCAGCCTGACGCCGCATGTTTTCCAGCATAACTTGAAGATTGAGGACGGGGAGGACCTGAAGCACGACTTTGAGCGCCTCAAGCAGGCCATGGAGATGGTGGGCTTCCTCCCCGCCACCAAGAGGCAGTAAGTGGCCGGGAGCCGGGGCCAGCCCGGGCGCATGCTCCAGGGCGTCGCGGTGAGCTGAGCGCAGCACACCCATCTGTGATCCCAGCCGCAGGAGGCTGAGGCAGGAGCCTCAAAAGTTCAAGTCCCCAAGGGTAACTTAGTGAGACCCCGTATGGAAATGAAAAAGAGCTGCATTCAACCCCTGGTGCTCTAAAAGAAAAAAAAAAACAGATGGCGGCAAGTCCAGGCTGAGCCAGTGAGGCCGGGGCAGGGAGGGTGCAGCACGCATGCGGCCCTTCGTGGCCTGTGTTCATTTCGTCTCTGGCAACCCTGGCAACCCGGAGCACACACGGACAGATCCCTGTGTGGTGGCCACGCTCGCCCAGGGCAGGCGGTGTCACGGACCCTGGGTGTCTGGGGATGCTGGCCGTCACCGCCAGGGGCCGGGGCAGGGTGCTGTGCTGCTCGCCTTCTGCATCACCCAGATGCCCGGACGGCAGCCGTGACCGTGAGCCAGAGGCCCCGTGGGCGGCTCTGCTGGGACCCTGCTGGCACCACGCGCGGCCAAGGGCACGCAGCCGGCACGGGCTGCGGGGTCCCCAGCCAGCCCGACAGCGAGTCCCGGAGGGTGCCCCTGGGGCGGGCGGCCACGGGGCGAGCACAGAATGTCCACGCCACGGACTGCATGCCTGTGACAGCTCCCTGCGCTCTGCTCAGCAGCCGTATCTGTGCGTGTGGCTGTGGGTGGGCGGGGCGGGGGTGGAACCCAGGGCTCCACACTGAGCTGCTTCCCCTGGCCCTTTTTGTTTTGATTTTGACAGAGGGTCTCACTAAGTTGCCTCGGTTGGCCTTGAACTTTTGATCCTTCCGCCTCAGCCTCCCAGAGGGCCAAGCAGACAGGCCTGTGCCACCGTGCAAGGCTCTGAGTTTTCTGACATGTTGCCATTGCACATATGATGAGTACGGTGTGATGTTTTGATTTGCGGATGCAATGTATATGCATGTTGTTCCTCCATTAAAAGATCAATTTTAAGCTGGGTGTGATATCCCATGCCTGTGATCCCAGCACTGGGGAGGCTGAGGCAGGAGGATTGCTGTGAGTTTGAGGCCTGGGCTACGTAGGGAGGCCCTGTCTCAAAGACCCTAGAAGACAATAATAATTTCAGTGCTAGCAGTGTGACCCTGTGCTGCTGCCCTTGCCTAGGACGTGCAAGGCCCTAGGCTCCATCCCAGATCTTCTGACTGGGGACGTGGCTGGCGGTGGAGCTCGTGCAGAGGGGAAACCCCGCAGGGGTGCACCCTGCCGTGCGTGCCCCACCGCCCACACCTCTGTGCCCACAGGATCTTCTCTGTGCTCTCGGCCATCCTGTACCTGGGCAACGTCACCTACAAGAAGAGGGCCACGGGCCGCGACGAGGGCCTGGAGGTCGGGCCAACCGAGGTTCTGGACACACTGTCGCAGCTCCTCAAGGTACCACTCCCCGCCACCTGCTGCCACCCGCCGCCCTGTGCCACGCCCGGGACAGACGCCGGCACTCCCCCCATTGGCACAGGCTCAGAGCCCAGCGGCCTCTTGCTCCTGTTGCTGCTACAGTGTCCCTTCCGAACTTCCCATTGCCTCCCTGGCTGGCGCTGCGCCCCACTGTGCCCTCCAAGCAGAGCACTCTCGAAGCCATAGTGACGCACGCCTGTCATCCAAGCACTTGGGAGGCTGAGGCAGGGGCATTGCCACAAGTTCAAGACCAGCCTGAACTGCGTGGCGAGACCCTGCCTCAAACAGCCACACAGAGAAATCAGAGCTGGGCCAGCCATCTGCAGGCCCGGTTCCTTGGCAGACGAAGCCCGGGGATCCCATGGGGCAGGACTTTGAGGTCAGCCTGGGCAACGCACTGAGACCGTGCCTCAGAGCAGGAATGGGGCAGGAGCACAGTGCGGTCGGCCAGGGTGCGTCTCCGGGCCCTGTGCCTCGTCCTTGCTGTTCTCTTCTGCACCTGCAGCCGCTCTGTACTTGGGACCCTGGGCAGTGTGTGAACACAGCTTCGGTTGTCACCTGCTGCTCTGCACCTGGTGTCGGTGGGTGGAGGTTGGGGGCGCCGCCCGGTGCCCTGTGTTGCCTAGGAGGCCCCGGCAGAGCAGTGCAGCCCCGGGGCTGACTCGCGTGGGCCGAGAAACCACCTGTGCCGTTCTCGTTTCCGTGCTGCTTTGTCTTTTGGGCGCTGGGGATCGGACCCAGCACTGAGCGAGGTCCCCAGCCCTTTTTACTCTGAGACCGCACCTCCCTACGTTGCCAAAGCTGGGTTTGAACTTGGGACCCTCCTGCCTCAGCCTCCCCCGTAGCTGGGATAGCAGGGGCACACCACTGCACCTGACTTGCAGCTCTGCTTGGAGGTGTGCTTGGTCTGTAGCTTCTGTCGAGTCCCTGGGATGCGTGGGTACCAAGGGGAGGTTGGGAATCCCACCCCACCCCTTCTTGCTGCTGACAGTGGGTATTGGCTCCGGGCAGGCTGAGTGTGTTGGGTCTCGGTGAACCCCAACCCTGCGTCTGGACCCCACATGCAGGATGGGAGCCGGTGGCTCTGCGCGTCCAGGGCGCTGCCCAAGTCCCAGCCCAGCCCGTGGGGCCCAGCGTGCAGGGACCGTGGCCCTGGCACTTGCGCTTGGCAGTCCGGTGGCGGGCCCACGCCTCCCCTCCCGTGTCCGTGACCTCAACTTTGGCACAGGTGAAGCGAGAGATCCTGGTGGAGGTCCTGACCAAAAGAAAAACGGTGACGGCCAACGACAAGCTCATCCTGCCCTACAGCCTCGGTGAGGTGAGCACTGCTGGCCTCGAGGGCTGGAGCTGGGCTCAGTCCAGCTTTCGGGGCCTCGCCCTGGGGCTCAGTCAGGACCCAGCGGGTGCCCGGCCCCTGTAGCAGCGACCCCGGCAGACAGTGCCTTCCCTGTGGATAAGCGCTGAGCCCAAAAATACAGCCAATGCTGTTTTAGTACTCTGAAATTTACTGTAGTACACTGAGCACTTCGAACACACGCATCCCCGTCCTGGCCGCTCCCACAGCCTCCTGCAGTGCTCTTGCCTGAGGTCTTTAGCTGCCCAGCCTAGCTGCCCCCGTGAATGAGGCGGCTGAGGCCCGGAGCTGCCTTCCGGTTGGATGGCGCGGGCAGCAGCAGCCACTGTACTTTGGGTCACACCTCGTGCGGAGGCTCAGGAAGGAGGACCCCAGAGCTGGGGGGAAAGAGGCAGGGAGAGGGACGAGAGTGCTCCCAGCGAGGGAGGCTCGTGAGGGCCTCAGAGCAACACATCTTTACTGTAACATTTTTAAGGTTTAAACATTCGCCATATATTTTGACCACCCGTGTACATACTTGTGATAGAACTTAATGTATAAGGCACAATGAAAGGTTAGCCCCAATAATTAAGAATAAAAGAGGGGGCCGGGGATTTAGCTCAGTGGCACTGTGCCTGCCTCGCAAGCAAAAGGTCCCGAGTTTGATCCCTGGTACTGGGAAAAAAAGGAATCAAAGAGAGTGAGTGTAATAGTGTACTGCAGCAGAAAGTGCAGCTGCGCTGTCCGCAAAGTGCTTCTAGTCCTTGCACCTTTTTCCTAGGAGGAAACACTGAAGGCTGTGCCACGGCCCAGCCGTCGGTCGGCACTGTCCTGCTTGGGCTGTGACTCAGGAACACCAAGGCTGCTGACTGGAGCCAGTGGCACTGTGACATCTGCCTGGTGACTGAGCCGCCCGCAAGTGACCTGTGGGCAGGTTTTAGACATGGCAGGGACAGCTGGGCAGAGGCACAACGCCTGTCTGTAACAGGGTGGAGCACGCAGTGAACAGGGAACGCTTAAACCTAAACCGATGAATTGTGTATTTCTGGAAGTTTCCACTTAACCTCTCAGAACCTGGTTTATGGCCGCTCAGTCCCACCCCCAGGCGGCCGGTAAATAAAGTTTTATTGGCACGTGGCCTTGCCCACTCTTTTGCATATGGATCAGTGCTGCTCTCCTGCCTCAGCAATAGAACCGAGTGGTCCCTGTAGCAAAGCCCATTCAGGCTTGAAAGGCCGAAAACACTGACTCCTTACCTCTTCCCAGGAAGAGCTCACCTGGGCCGTGCCCTGCACGGCAGGACAGGAAGGGGCTTCCGCGCGCATTCCTGAGGCTTGTTTCTCCCGCCCTCTGACCTCTCCGGAGTGCTGGGCCTGGCAGCGGGCATGCAGCATGGCCAGGGAAGATACCTGGGCTGAGGGGATGTGTAGGTGTCCAGGCCTCCGCCCAGGGAAGCTGTGTGGCATTTTCCGCAGGCACTGTGGACGGCCTGAGCCACATAGGCCAGGGCACACACAGTGTCACAGGGAGCCACCACTGCGCCCAGAGGGGCCTGGAGGGCGGACGCCCACGGGGCACCCTCCACGTGGCCTCTAGGTCCAGGGCACAGGAGGGGCAGAGCTGCGGCAGGGGCCGCTCTTGAGTGGGCACTCAGGGTGTGGAGGTCATGCAGCTCCCAGGGGCGTTGACCAGCACTGCAGGCCTGTGACACACCAGCCGTGAGTGTGAGTGTGTGTGTACACGGCAGCGGCGCACCAGAGTACAGGGCAGCCGGGGAAGCACAGCGGTGAGCCCTGGCCTGGCACACGCAGGGCCCTGGCTCCCTTGCCTGGCATCACAAAGGAAAAGGCTGGGAAGTCAGGCATGGTGGGCGCACGGTCATTCAGCTACTCGGGAGGCCAGGCAGGGAGACCATGAGTTGGAGCCCAGCCTGGCCAACCTGCTAAGGCCCTGTCTCAGAAGAAAGCATCTGAAAGGGTGGGGGTGCACGCGACCTCACCCCAGGTTCTGTCCCGGGAACCAGGGGAAGGTGGAGGGCGTGGTGGGGAGGAGTCGGGGCTTCAGAGTGGCCATACTAAGGAGAATGAATGAAAGAACACAGTCAGTAAATTAATAAAAAGCAAAAGTGAAATGCAGAAACAAGATTTTGCTTTTAAATGAAAAACCAGGCACAGCAGGATCCACCTGTTATCTCAGCTGCTCGGGAAGCTGAGACAGGACAAGCTCCTGAGCCCGAGAGCTCAAGGCCAGCCCGGGCAGTGTGTCAGGGCCCTGGTTCCAAAGCAAGGGATAGAGAGCCGCCAAGTGCGCAGCCTGAGGTGGGCACCCTCTGTCCCTAGGCCGTCACCGCACGCGACTCCATGGCCAAGTCCCTGTACAGCGCCTTGTTCGACTGGATTGTGCTGCGGATCAACCATGCGCTCCTGAACAAGAAGGACATGGAAGAGGCCGTCTCGGTGAGTGTCCCACCCCGGCCACCAGTTGTGCCCTAGACGCCGTGGCCTCAGCCCAGGGGTCCTGTCCACCCGGTGAGAGGCTGAGTCCTGGGCTGACCCAGTGGGCACGACAGCCTTGCGATGCCAGGGACTTGGTACAGAGTAAAACAGGACTTCTGGGCTGGGGTGCAGCTCAGTGGTGCGGGGAGCCCTGGGCTGCATCCCCAGCCCACCCTAAAAGCAAAAAAGGCCCCCACTGCCTGCCTCAGAAGCGCAAGGTCCCAAGTTCGATCCCCGGTACCAAAAAAAAAAACAAACCAAAACTGATGGTTGCCGCTGAGTGTGGTGGTGCACACCCATCTTCCCAGCACTCTAGGAGGCTGAGGCAGAAGGATCACAAGTTCACGCCCAGCCTGGGCAACTTAGACCCTATCTCAAAATAAAAAATAAAGAGGGCCATGGTTGTAGCTCAGTGCAGAGGTCCTCGGATCAGTCCCCAGTACCGCAAAAGTACAAAACCCCATGAGTGAGGGACACAAGTGAGCAACACCAGGGCGTGTCCAGCGGCCCAGGCCCCGGGACCTTGGGGGAAGGCGGCTCCCACAGAGCCGCTCAGTGACAGCTGCTCTCTGTTGCCCAGTGCCTGTCCATCGGGGTCCTCGACATCTTCGGCTTTGAGGACTTCGAGCGGAATAGCTTCGAGCAGTTCTGCATCAACTACGCCAACGAGCAGCTGCAGTACTACTTCAACCAGCACATCTTCAAGCTCGAGCAGGTGGGCGCGACAGTGTCTCCAGGGCCAGGCCCCCGCTGCCCTGCCATCCGCATGGCCCCCCATGCCAGCCACGGTGCGAGCAGCCTGTGCTCCTCACCATCCATGCTCAGTGTGGCAAGGCCCTCCCTCGGTGGTCAGCCAGGAGTGGCGGCTGTGTGTGCGGAGCCTGTGTGTGCTCGGGCCAGCTGAGGCCGGGCACCGTCACCACCAGCCATCCCAGCTCTGCAGCTCCCCACGCCCCCATGCATCATCCATCGTCTGCCTTCTGTCTCTGTGGGCCGGATGTAGGCAGAGTCCCTAGGGCGGCCCCCTCCCGCAGGCCCTCGGCTGCACCTCTGTCCACCATCCCCCCTTCTGTGGCTGCATTGCATCCAGCGGGTGGGCACACCCCAGTGTTTAGCCACTCGCTGGTGGACACACAGGTGATGTCCGGGCCAGGCTTCTGTGAACAGTGCTGCTGTGAACGTGGGTGTAGGTCTCTCCAAGACGTGTCTGCTTTCCAGCAGGCACAGTGACTCACACCTCTACTCAGGAGGCTGAGGCAGGAGGAGCACAGGTTTAAGAAAACTTAGTGACACTCTTGTCTGCAAATAAAATTTAGAAAGGCCTGGGAGCTAGATGTGGTGTACACCTGTCATCCTGGCACTCCGGGAGGCTGAGGCAGGAGGATCACAAGTTCAGGCCCAGTCTGGCCAAGCAACTTAGCGACTTAGTGAGGCCCTGTCTCAAAATTTAAGAAATTTTAAAAGGGCTGGGGAGGGCCAGGGATTTAGCTCAGTGGTTCCGCCGCCTGCCTCGTAAGCACAAGAACCTGAGTTTGATCCCTGGTACAAAAAAAAAAAAAAAAAAAGGGCTGGAGAGGCACCCGAAAGTGGAATTGCTGAATCCTCTGGTGACTTCCACCAGCTGTGTGCTTGTTGCCACTGGCCTGAGGGGAAGCGGGAGGAGCTCAGCCCAGAATCTCCCTTGGGGCCCAGCATGCAGTGAACCTGACCTAGAATTTTCCTCTGCTGCAGGGAAACTTGACAAAAATCCCACCCAGCCTGGGGTGAGAAACCTGGGAGGCTGTGCTGAGCCCGGGTCATTTCTGCATTTTCTCTGCCCAGTCAGCTTGGGCGGTCTTTTCTGTGGGAGGGAGACGGGTGACGTAAGGGTCTGCTGCGGCCGGAGCAGTTCGAGTCTTTCCAGAAGCAGGCAGCCAGGCTACTCCGATATCCTTCACGGTGAAGGCTCTGATGGGAAAATCCGGTGGATTCCAGTAAACCTTTAGGCAGCTTGCCCATCAAGCCTTCTGTCACTTGGCCCTTGGAACACGGCTGGTCGAAGTGGTAGGGCAGGAGGAAGAACCAGGCCCCGCTGCACAACAGGCTTTCTTTCGTTTGTTTGTTTTTTGGTACCAGGGATGGAACTCAGGACCTTGCATGTGTGAGGCAGGTGGCACCACCGTGCTGATCATTTCTTAACTGAGTGCATGTGGCTGTGGCCCTACTGGGCTATGTGGAGTATATTAGTTTTCTGTTACTGTAACAAAACCTCAGTGCTGGCTACTTAGCAAAGCAGAGAGGTTTGCAGTGCTCCCAGTCTTGGAGGGTGAAGTCCAAACCACACAACTCCAGCTCTGGCGAGGGTCCCCTTGGTGATGCCCCATCTCAGCAGGCATCAGAGTGGGAGGGACGTGTGGCAGGACAGGACCTAGACTGGGAATGGCACTGAGGGCCCATGTGGGAGCCCCTCCCAGCCTCACGCACAGGAGCACAGTGTGAGGTGGCTTTCGCCTGCTGCTGACGTGAACTTCAGCTCTCGGGTTTTCAGGGCCAGCATGTGCAAGGCCCTGGTTCCATCCCCAGCGTCACAAAAGAATAAAAATGGTGGCTACTGGAAACTGAAATTATGCACGTCACTCACACTATACAAGGTGTGATTTGTAAAATACAGTGATTGGGCCGGGGACGTAGCTCAGTGGCGCTATGCCTGCTTCACAAGCGCAAGGTCCTGAGTTCGATCCCTGCTACCCCCCAAAATAAATAAATAAAATAAAATACGGCGATTTAAAAAAAATTCATTAGCATACAAACCATGAAACCCCTCACAGTCCTCCCCCTCACGTCAGACACACTCCTCCAGTCCTCCTGGCCACACCCTACAGCAGCTCTGGAGTGCTCTTTCGTGAGTGTCCGCTGCATTGTCCTGAGTGGATTCAGAATGTTCACCTTTCCTGGTCACTGTGATTCAGGGGAAGATCCAGTGCATAAGGTGGCTGAGACATGGTGTCGTGTTTTGTTTGACAGAAATTGCCATAAATCAGTGCAATGTGATCTAAAAATAGGGTGAAGGTTTAAAATGAAAAGTTTATCGCAGTGAGAGACACTGCCATGGGTGCCCCCAGGGTGCTCAGAATCCTCCCGCTCGCCGAGACACCCTTGTCCTGCCCTTCTCGGTCATGGGGTTTCGAACGTGAACCCTCACCGTGCTCTTCAACCATCCTCTGTATTTCCGCTGGGTGCCCTCCCCAGGCCTGGCTCCTAAGGAGCTCTCTGCCCCACGTGGGGAGCAGCTGCTGACCCTGGGTGCTCTTAGGCGTGAATGAGAACATCCGTGCCACGGCCAACATTTGAGAACGTACACTCTCCTTTCCTGTTGATGGGAGATCCAGCGACTGCACGTAACTGTCAGCATTCGTGCTGCTGTATTAATACATTCTGGTTTGCTTATCTGTGTTTTCATACAGGGTGGCCCATTTTCCGTCTCTATTTCCGTCTCTATGGTTCTGCGCCTACAGGCTTGGCCAACCTTGAAATAAAAATATTCCAAAAAACAATTACAGTGCCGGGTGTGGTGGCGCACATTTGTCAGCCCAGAACTCTGGGAGGCTGAGGCAGGAGGTTCTTACGTTCGAATCTGACCTGGGAAGCTTAATGAGTCCCTGTCTCAAAATAAACTAAAAGCAGGTTGAAGGTGTAGCTCAGTGCTTCCTGGGTTCAATCCCTGATACCAAAAAAGAAAATGCATGTGTAGTAAACATACAGTTTTTCTTATCCGTGTTCCCTAAGCGCTAATGTAACTGTTCACACAGCTGATGTGAATTGCTATCCTGCTTGACCGTGACCCGGAGGGCCTAAAGCGCGTGAGACGGGGTGTGCAGGTTGCCTGCATATATTGTGCTGTCTACCGCAAGGGGCTTGAGCATCATGGGTTTAGGGGTCCTAGCACCCACCCCGGAGCACCATGGCTGTCATGTGAACATCCACACATCTGGGCCAGGTGCCCAGCGGGAGCGCTTAGCCGGACCCTGGGGCCCTGGGTTCTGGTCCCGGCCCCATGAGTGAAATCCTGACCTTGCCCACCCGCAGGAGGAATACCAGAGCGAGGGCATCACCTGGCACAACATCGCCTACACAGACAACGTGGGCTGTATCCACCTCATCAGCAAGAAGCCCACCGGGCTCTTCTACCTGCTGGACGAGGAGAGCAAGTGAGCAGCGGAGCTTGGAGCTCTGGCTGTGGGGGAAACACGGAGGCGCTGCCTCTGGGCCAGGCGAGGCTGGCCATTGCAGTGACAGCCAGGCAGAGGGCGGGCTCCACCCTGGCAGTGGGAACCAAGGAGGGAGGGGGTGATGTGCAGTCTCCTGGCCACGCCCCCACAGGCCTGGCCACGCCCCTTGAAGGTCCACCCCTCCCCAGGGAGCCACCGGCTTGGACGAGCCCCCCCCTGAAAGCAGTGCATTTTGCAGCCCAGCATGTTGTTTTAGGTTTTTTTGTTCTCACTTTTTTGAGTCAAGAGGCCTTGTCCTGGGCCACTTGTAAAGTACACGTGTGCTGTATACCGGGTGCTCAAGACTTCGGGCAGGGCTGGGCTCTCCAGAGCTGCTGGGGTGTCGCCCTCTTCCAGCTCTGGGGTTGCAGGTGCCCTGTGTGGCCCAGCTTGGCTTGCGACTCGCGGTCCTCCTACCTCAGCCCCCCAAGCAGCCGAGGTGGTTCAGCAGGCACCACTGCGCCAGGCCCTGGCACTCACATCCCTGCCCGCACCTCCTCCTCTGCCTGTGCTGTCCCGAGGGTGCCAGGCTCAGCTCAGACCCCAGTCCGGATCCCGCCTGTCCCCTGCTTCCATGGCTGGGCTGAGGAGAGGACACTGAGCGAAGAGGAGGATGGAGCTGGGCAGGGGACAGCACAGCGTGGACATCTGAGCGCGGGTCCTTGTGGAGTTGTGTTCATGTGATCAGGACTTTCTCAAATCATGCTGCGGTGTTATTTTTGTTGACAGCTAAATTTTGTCAGTGCCTGAAAGCCATGCCTGCCCCGTGTAGCCCAGAAGCAGCGTGCTCCTGGCTTTGGGCCCTCCCACCCACCCAGGGCCTCAGGCACCTCGGCCAGTGTCTGGCACTGCCTGTGTATGAGGCTGGGCCAGCACGGGCAGCAGTGAGTCCCAAAGCCGTGGGCGGCCGTCCCCTCCTGGCGGCAGAAAATGGCCCCTGCCCAGCCTCTGCCCTTCTCCCTCCCCGCCCAGCCGCTCCTTCCTCCGGGGGAGCCAGGCACAGCCAGACCTGGCACCAGCAGCCACTCAGCCTGCTGGTTTTGGTTTGGTTTGGTTTGGTGTTTTTTGTGACTGGGTCTCCTTGTGTAGCCCGGCTTGGCCTCGAACTCTGAGCAGTCCTCCTGTCTCAGCCTCCTGAATGCTGGGGTGACAGGCGTGTTCCCCCACGCCCAGCTAAGTCTGGGGTTATTGTCAGAAGCTGCCCGTGATAGGGCGAGTGTCTCAGATACCCCTGAGCCTGGCCAGCAGCCCGTGCCGGAGTAGGGAGGGCCTTGCTCAGAGTCAGCCCTAGGCCCCCCGGCAGCCGGCTCCTCCCATGGTCCCGCTGGTTGGCACAGGGTGGCTCCATTCTCTTCCTCCATCCTGGGAGCCTGGCGGCCGCCCACAACCCCCCATTCTCTCCCCAGCTTTCCCCATGCCACAAGCCAGACCCTGCTGGCCAAATTCAAGCAGCAGCATGAGGACAACAAGTACTTCCTGGGTACCCCGGTTAAGGAGCCCGCCTTCATCATCCAGCACTTTGCGGGACGAGTCAAGTACCAGATCAAGGTATGTGTTGCAGCTGCTTGGGAGGCTGAGGCAGGAGGGTCTCCAGGTCAAGTCCACCTGAAATGACTTAGTGAGACTCCATCTCCCATGAGAACTGAAAAGGCCTGGCACTGCTTAGTGGTAGCTTGCCTGGCGTGGGTGAGGCCCTGGACTCCGTGCTGGTGTCCTGCCTGGCCACCACCGGCTCCTGCCCCTGCTGCTGGCCCGCCTCAGCCTTCCACCATAGTGACCCTTCCCACCCCGTCCCCAGGACTTCCGGGAGAAGAACATGGACTACATGCGGCCCGACATCGTGGCACTGCTGCGGGGCAGTGACAGCTCGTATGTGCGCGAGCTCATCGGCATGGAGCCAGTGGCTGTGTTCCGCTGGGCCGTGCTACGCGCTGCCCTGCGGGCCATGGCCGTGCTGCGGGAGGCCGCGCGCGTGCGGGCCGAGAAGCGGGAGCAGGCAGCAGGTAGGGCCTGCCGCCCATGGACACAGGCCTGCCTGACCCGGCCGGCCCCTTCCACCTGGGGACTTACTTCTCCTTCCTGCCTCACTCCTTCTCAATGTCTCCTTCATCTTTCTTCATTCATACTTTGGGTTTCTCATGTAGAGGAACCATGTGATACTTAAACTTGTGCATGGCTTATTTCACTTAAGATCAGGGTCTCAAGGTGCATCCACTTTCCTACACACGGCTCATGTTCCCCCTTCTCCATGGCAGAGTAGTGCTCCATGGTGTGTGAGTGCCAGTTTTCTTTCTTCACGTCTCCGCTGATGGTCATGCAGGCTGCTTCCACGGTGCGGCTGCCGTAAACCTGGGCCTGCATGGACCCCGGCAGCGTGAGGGCTTTGGCTCCCGTAGGCCTCCCACCCTCTGTAGGGCTCGGAGCCTGCCCGGGGTGCAGCTGTGTGAGCAGCTGCTGTCCGTGGTTAGGAACCGAGCCAGGAGCAGGTCTGTGTTTGCCAGCAGTGCTGTCTCCTGTGTTTCCTGTCCGGCTGTCCTTGGGTGGTGGCATGGCTGCTTCTATAAGCATTGAGCCCTACTTGGTCCGGGCACCCCCCGCCCGATGACGGGGCTGAGGGCAGAGGTTTTGCAGGGGCCGTTGAATAAACCAAGCTCGTTTTGAGGTGAAACTGTACAGTTCCCAGCTTGGCCCAAATTTAAATAATGAGCTGCTTTCTAGCATGAGTTAGAGGGGGCTGGGGTACAGCTAGAAGACTTGAGGCCCTGGGTTTATCCCCAGCATTGGGAAAGGAAAAAGAAAAGAAAATTGATCCTAGTGCTACAAGCAGAAAAAAAAAAGTTAAGAAATGATGATAGGAGGCCAGGTGTGGTGGTACAGATGTGTAATCCTAGCTACACAGGAGGCCGAAGCAGGGAGTTGAGCAATTTAACGAGACCCCGTCTCAAAAGGCTGAGGCTGCAGCCAGGGGTGAGCGCTAGCCAAGCACATGAGGCCGTGGCGGCAGCCCCAGCCCCACAAAAAGTACAGCAAAGAAGCGATCTCAGGCTCTGTGAGGAGTGAGGCCGGGCGGACCCCAGGAGGCCCTGCAAGCAACATCCCTGCTGTCCCTGCAGGTATGGATGGCCCAGGTGCACAGGGCCAGCCCAGAGTGCTGCCTGCTGGAGCCCACACACCCTCGGAAAAGCTTTACCGGTGAGCAAAGCTGTTAGTGGCATTGCTGAAAGCAGCCTGGAAACCCGCACCCCAGCCAGTCCAGGTGGCCCTGTGAGCCCCCGCTGCATTCCCAGTGGCTGGCTGGCGCAGCAGGCTTCGGGTGCAGGGTGTGGGCAGCCAGGCACAAAGGACGCTTTTCACGGCTGGCCAGGCGGTGGGGGGAGCAGGCCGTATCCTGCAGGGGCAGCTAGCGGGTGGAGGAGCCTGGGGCCCACAGGAAGCCGCTGACGATGTCATCGGGGTCAGGAGCCATCGGGCTCACTGCTGGGCATGAGCTGTCACAGGTCTGTGGTCCCCAGCATGTGCAGAGCCCCAAGGGGCAGCCTGTCATCCCAGCACTCTGGGAGGCTGTGGCAGGAGGATCAAAGGTTCTAGGCCAGTCTGGGCAGCTTAGAAACTTAGTTAGACCCTGTCTCAGGATTTAAACAAAACAAAAAGAGGGCCAGGGACATAGCTTGTAGCATGAAAGGCCACACACAGACAGGTGGGTGAAGTGGGGCAGAGCCGAGAGCGCCAGGCCGGCTGTCCTGAGAAGGGCCTCCCCAGTGAGGTGCACTGTGGGGCAGCTACTCGGGGCTGGAGGAGGAGGACTGCTTGGGAACATGGTGGGAAGGGAGGAGGGGAAAGGTGGACTCGGGGCAGGCAGGCAGGGCCAGCCAGCAGGCCCAGGAGCAGGGCAGAGGAGGGCGGGGGCCAGTGTGGCCGACATGGCTGCAGTATGGAGCATGGGACACAGCCCAGCAGTTGGGCCCTTGGGCCACCTGCCCGAGCCAAAGCGCATTCAGGGTCAGGGTGGGGCCCCACAGGAGCCCTCGGCCTGTGTTCAAATTCTGTGCCCAGCTGTGCTACAAAGGCCACTACTGCAGGCAGGAAGTGCCGCCATGTCGGCCTAGGCACTACGCCGCCCCCTCAGGCATGGGGCCCGGGCACTGCGCTGGGCTCTGTGGGTGCCGAGAGCCAGCAGTGCCCCCACTCCTGAGGGCCACAGACGTCCTCAGACTGTGGCACTTGGCTCCCAGGCCACTGCTCCTGGCCTGGAGGGTGTTTCCAGTGGCCAGGGCCCCGAGGTGTGGCCCTGGCTCTGACTGTCCTCTCTGTCGTGGTCCCTTCACCTCAGCGACCTGCATCACCAGATGATTGAGAGCATCAAGGGCTTGCCCTGGCAGGGAGAGGACCCCCGAAGGCTGCTCCAGTCTCTCGGCCGGCTCCAGCAGCCGCGCACCTGCGTCCTGTGAGTCACTGCCGACCCGGGCCGCCGGCCAGGCCACTAAGACACTGCACAGCTTCTGGGTGCATCCTCATGCCGGCCCTGCCACAGGGCCTCAGTGCCCCTGCAGCCCTCGGCCTGCCCCACCCACTTCTGCGGTGGCCCGGGCCCACTGGGAGCCGGGTTTGGGTCCCGACTTGCTCTGTGCACCCAGCTGCACCCTAGAACACCAGCGTTGGTCCCCACACCCGCACTGTGCTCAGCCAGCACCAGGTGGGCCAGGTGTCCCCAGCTGCCAGCATCTCTGACCTTTGGCAGTGACCCTGGGCGCGGGCAGCTGAGCCCGGCGTGGTACCTACCCACAGTGGAGCCGTCCGGGGGTTCTTGCAGTGCCGGGGGTGGAACCAGGGCATTTGCACTCAGCTACGTCCCCTGCCCTTTCCGCTTTGTATTTTGAGTCTGGGTCTCACTGAGTGGCCCAGGCTTGGCTGGAACTTGCAGCCCCGCTTCCATCCACTCGGGTGGCCGCTGGGAGCCAGGCGTAGGCGGGAGCCCGAGGCGGCCGGTGCCTCTTCTCTGTCGCGTGCCTCTTCCTCCCTGGCCCTCTCTCTCCATCTAACCTGCAGGGCGTGGCTTGCTGAACTAACCCAACCCTGCCCCTGTGTTCCCCATGTTCACAAAACCGTTTTTAATATTTTGACAGGAAGAGTAAAGGTATCAAACAAAAGCAGATCATTCCCAAGGTAAAGCCCACGCGCCCCCCTCAGCCATCTCTTTGGTCCCTGCCTGGCTCCGGTGGTGTTTGGGACTTGGGGTGGCCAGGAAGGGACTACTGTTGCCTCTGGGGCTTTTGGTCCCTCCCCTGCCCCTGTGCACAGCGTCCTGGGCTGGGTGTGCCTTGGAGGTGCGGGTTGGTGCCCCGAGCTGGAGAGAATCACGGGACAGGGACTCGGGCGTCTGCAGGGCTCCAGGAGTCAGCCAGCCGGGCGCCTGCAGCGGCACAGACCCAGGGCCTCGCAGGGTGGGCGGCCGCCTCTGCCCAGCAGCGTCCACAGCCACAGTGCCGAAGTCTGTGGCGTGCACGCGTGTGTCAGCGTGCGTGACAGTCGCACGGAGCGTGTCCCTCCGTAGACCTGACATCCACTCAGTGACTCAAACACACGACACGGCGTGAACGCTGTCACTGTGGTCACAGAGTCACCGCAGAGAACAGAGTGCACATCCTGGTTTTGGTTTTTGTTTTTTGGGTTTTTTGAGACAGAGTCTCGCTACAGTTTGAGGCTGGCCTCAAACCATGGTGATCCTCCTGCCGCAGCCTCCCAAGTGTTGGGATGAGAGGTGTGTGCCATCAGGCCTGGCTGGGTGCGTAGTTTTAAAAACATGTTGGGCATTCCTTACCCAAACTTCCAGGATCCCAAAGCATAGCCAGTTTTGGAGTTTTTGAAATTTTGAGCAGGGTGTGGTGGTTCATACCTGGCATCCAGCACTGTGGAAGGCTGAGGCAGGAGGATCATGGGAGTTCAAGGCCTGACTTGACTACGTAGCAGGACCTTGTCTCAGAACACCAAGAAATAAAAAACAAACAAACAGGACTGGGGATTAGCTGAGTGCAAAGGCCCTGAGTCCATGGCCCAGCGCCACACACTTGAAGAATGCCTGCGTGTATAAAATGAAATCTCTTAGGGCTTGGGCTCAAATCTAAACACAAAACTCACTTGTTTCCTGTACGCCTTGTACACATGGCCCAAAGGTAACCTCATATGGTTTTTTTTGGGGGTATCAGGGATTGAACTCGGGTCCTTGCGCTTGCACAGCAGGCGGCGAAACCACTGAGCTAAATCCCTGACCCCTCATATGGTATTTTTAATGATTTTGGGGGTGTTCTCGTAGGGGGAGGTTGTTTGTTGTTTTTTTTTCTTTTTGGTTTTTTGAGACAGGGTTTTCCTATGCAGCCCAGGCTGGCCTTGAACTCACACCGATCCTCCTGCCTCAGCCTCCTGAGTAGCTGAGATCACAGGCCTGTGCCACCACTCCCGGTGATATTTTTAATGATTTTGCAATGAAGCGGGGTTTTGTGGTGTAGGATTTGCACTTGTGGGTGCTCACCAAGCTTCTGACTTCAGCGCATTAGGATTTAGGATTGGGGAACCTGGACCCGCAGATGTGGAACCCGGATGCAGAGGGTTGGCCAGGAGCAAGCCGGGCCGGCGGTATCCTCCTGGGCTGGGGCTGAGTGCCAGGGCAGGCAGAGGGCGGGCACCGCGGCCCTGGCCAGGCCTCCGCCGCCCTGACCCCCCTGAAGGTGTGGCAGGTGCTGGCACAGAGTAGGCGAACTCCACCCCAGCCGGAGCCAGGGTCAGCAGGGGTGGGGTCCGGGCTCCTGGGCCTGGCGGCTGCGGAGGACCAGCCCAACCCCACATGTCTGCCCTAGAACCTGCTGGACCGTGCATCCCTGAAGCTGATCATCAGCATGACGCTGCACGACCGCACCACCCGGTCCCTGCTGCACCTGCACAAGAAGAAGAAGCCGCCCAGCATCAGCGCCCAGTTCCAGGTAGGCGCCGGGCCTCACGGAGACTGTCCTGTGCCTGCTGGGTACCAGCAGTCACCCCACTTGTGACAGCCGTGTGGACACTGTGCCCACCCAGTGCCCCTCCCACCGCCGGGCCCTGTATCCACATGGACCTAGGAGAGCCTCGAGGTAGCATGGCACCTCCCACATCCCCAGCCTATCTTGACGGCAGGTTTCCCTTTCTGCCCTGGCCACCAGGAAGCTCATGGCAGGTATTTCTGGTGAGGAGTCCAAGCTGCCAAGCCTGACTGCTAGCTTTCATCTCTTCCTGAGTCTTCTCTTCCTCCCAGCTCTCCTGATGGTGCCCTCCTGTGGGAGCCCCTACAGATCCTTTCTCTTTCTCTGTGCTGGAGTGAACCCCAGATCCTCATGCATGCCAGGCACAGAGTCCGCCACTGAGCCGCACCCCGCCCTTTGCAAAGCCTCTTTGAAAGCACCGGGCCAGGGGCAGGGTGTGCAGCTCGGTGAGCCCTTGGTACCCATGAGGCCCTGGGTTCCATCCCCAACACTGAATGAAGAAAAGAAAAAGAAAAGAGCAGTCGGGGACCTGACCACCCCCTCCACGATCCCTCTCGGAGGCTGCCCGTCCCCCTGGCTGTCACTGGGCTGAAGCTCCTCCCTCTGGGGACCCTGTGCCGTCCAGTGACCGTGTCCTGGGCCCTCTGTCCCCTAGACGTCCCTGAATAAGCTGCTGGAGACGCTGGGTAAAGCCGAGCCCTTCTTCATCCGCTGCATCCGCTCCAACGCTGAGAAGGTGAGCACCAGGCGGGGCTCCTAGATTTGTCACCTGCAGGGGCCAGGCAGGCTTGGGAGCCACAGTGAGGTCCACCCTGTGCCCAGGAAGGCAGCTGGGGCTCTGCAGGGCCACCTGGGTCTGGGCCTCCCAGAGGACAGCTGGATGGGAGCCCCCTGTGACTCTGCTCCCCTGTCCTGTTCCCACGTCATGCATCCCCACCGCTGGCCCGGCCCTGCTCTCCTGAGCCCTGCCAACCATGCTGGGAGCTGGGAGCTGTGGGCACCGGGCATCGACCGGCCTCCGCCATCCCAGCGGCGTGTGTGCCAGCCCCCACTAGCCCTCCTCCCTCCTCCCCTCAGCCTTCCTTCTCGGAGGTGACACAGGTGTCCGGCTCGGTCCCCCCTCCCACCCCCACCCCGGGCCTGGGCAGGAGAGGTGCAGCCCTTGGGGTGCCGTCCACTCAGGCTGCAAGAGGTGGTGTCATCCCCAGGGCTCTGGAGCGGGAACAGGCCAGGCACAGGCTTCCCTCTGGTCGGTGGCCCCTCTCCGGTCACCGGCCCCTCTCCTTGGTCCAAAGAGCAAGAGGGACAGCCGTGTGTGGTGGCACACATCTGTCATATCAGCACTCAGGAGGCCAAGGCAGGAGGGTCGCCCTGACTTTAAGGCCTTCCTGGGCTACATAAGGAGACCCTGGTTTAAAAAAACAAACAACAAAAAAGCCACAAGCAAGCGACAGACAGGAGCCTCTGAGCCGCCGCACCTGGGTCCCCCAGATCCCAGCACGGGTGTGGCACAGCCCTGACACCTCATGGCTTTCAGAAGGAGCTGTGCTTCGATGACGAGCTGGTCCTGCAGCAGCTGCGCTACACAGGGATGCTGGAGACCGTGCGCATCCGCCGCTCCGGCTACAGTGCCAAGTACACCTTCCAGGTGGGCTGCGCATGGGCAGGGCAGGGCCTGCCCTGGTGGGCGAGGCCAGGATGGCGGGGCTCCAGAGCTGCTTGGGGCCTGAGAAGCAGACCCGGAGTCCGCCCCCAGCCTGAGCAGCTCAGCAGAGACTGGGGGCTGGCTTCTTCGGGAGCGACTTGCACAGCGTGTAGAAGCCAAGTTCCCTGCCCAGCACTGCGGGAAGCCAAGGAAGTGGGGCTTGGCCAGGACGTCGCCATGGAGGGGCTCACACGAGTCTGCCCTCCATCCCCAGGACTTCACGGAGCAGTTCCAGGTGCTGCTGCCCAAGGACGCCCCGCCCTGCCGTGAGGTCATCTCGGCGCTGCTCGAGAAGATGCGCGTGCACCAGAGGAGCTACCAGATCGGGAAGACCAAGGTGCTCCGCCGCCCTCTGCCCGGGCCTCGCTCTCGCGGGTGGGGAGGGGCTCACGCTGGCCAGGCTGTGCAGGCCCAGGCCCTACGCTTCCCAGCGGGTTCAGGCCCATTTCCTGTTGGGTCCGGGGTGTGGCAGTGATGGGGAGGAAGCAGGGCACAGGGGCGCACACCCGTCATCCCAGCGCTCTGGAGGCAGAGGCAGGAAGAGCACAAGCTCAAGTCCAGTCTGCGTGACTTAGCGACTTAGTGACGCCCAGTCTCAAAACATTTTTAGAAGGATGGGGATGTAGCTCAGTGTGAAGGTGCTGGGTTCAGTCCCCATTATTGCCAAAAACTTACCCAGTACCCCGTCAGTCCGCACTGAGCCCCCGCCCACCTGCCCCAGGTCTTCCTGAAGGAGACGGAGCGCCAGGCCCTGCAGGAGACGCTGCACCGCGAGGTCATGCGCAAGATCCTGCTGCTGCAGAGCTGGTTCCGCATGGTGCTGGAGCGCCGCCACTTCCTGCAGATGCGCCGCGCCGCCGTGACCATCCAGGCCTGCTGGCGCTCCTACCAGGTGCGCCGGGCGCTGGAGAGGACACAGGCTGCTGTGTGCCTGCAGGCCGTGTGGAGGGGCTACCGGCAGCGTAAGGCCTACTGCCGCCAGCGCCGGAGTGTCATCCGCCTGCAGAGCCTGTGTCGCGGCCACCTGCAGCGCCGGAGGTGAGTGGCTGGGCACTGCCCCTGGGATGCACGGGGAACCCTCTGTCGGGGCACACAGGGCTCATGAGATGCTCCCCACTTGCTGGGAGGCCCGGAGGTGGCCCAGAGGTCGCATTGGTCCCCACCTAGGATCCGGCTTTACCCACCACCTGCCCGGCTCCACAGCACACCGTGTTCCGGGTCAGAGCAGGGGCTGCTCCCACTTGACCTGCAGAGCCTGGGCACCTGCTGGGCAGGGACCCCCCGCAGCAGCACATGGGTGGCGCCCATGCCTGTCAGTGCCCACATCCCCAAGACCAGCCCTGCCCAGCCAGCACCCGCCCCACCTCTACCTCGAGTGAGGACGCAGCCCCTGGGCCAGAGTCCTTGTCAGAGTCCCTGAGAGTACCCACGGGTGCAAGGCCTCCTGGAGGAGCCTCCTCCAGGGCATAGCCAGGACACCCTAGGCCTGTAATCCCTGCTGCTCCTGAAGCTGAGGCAGGAGGGTCACAAGGTCAAAACCATCTTGGGCAACTTAGCAAGACCCTGTCTCAAAATGTAGCTCAGAGACGACCCCGGGTTCAGTCTCCTAAACTGCAAAAGAGCAAAACAAGTCGCGGCTTGAGAGAGTTTCCCCCGAGCAGCCACCCACACACAGCAGCCTGGCAAGGGTCAGCGGGCACCCAGGTTGTGCGTGGCGATGCTGAGTGGGCACCTCCCACGTCCTCGTGTGGAGGCACTGACCCCACAAGTGACTGTGGGTGCCAGGCACAGGCGGGGACCGGAGCGGCCCCAGCCTGCAGGCAGCATGGGGGCATGGGCATGGAGCTCACACCCCTCCTGCCTCGGACCTGACCCTGCTCTGTCCCTGCGTAGCTTCAGCCAGATGCTCGGCGAGAAGCAGAAAGAGGAAGAGCGGGCAAGGGAGGCCCAGGAGGCCGCAAGGGGGCAGGACACGGAGCCCGGGCCCGGCCCAGAGGCCGCCGAGGAACAGGTGGCCGGGCAGGGTGTGGGGGCCGCTGGGGACTCTGAGCACCTGGCACCAGCACCAGAGCCACAGCCGGAAGAACGGTCACCAGCAGAGGAGGAGGCAGCGCCACCCCCGGGGAAGGGGCTCCAGACTCCAAGGAGCACGGCTGTGGCAGCGGGCGAGGGCCACGAGAAGGCAGCCAGCAGCCGGGAGAAGCGCGAGTCCCGGCGGCAGCGAGGGCTGGAGCACGTGGAGCTGCAGAACCGGCACGTGCAGGCCTCCCGAGAGGAGCCCACGGGCAGCAGGGACGAGGCCGCTCAGCCCGGCCCGGAGCCTGTGGGGCTCCCCGCACAGCGGCCCACCAGCCTGGCCCTGGACAGGGCTGCCGGCCCCGGGGCCGGGGCCCACATCCAGCGGTACCAGCCCTCCGAAGCCGAGCAGCTGGCCATCGCCGTGGAGCAGTGGCGCGGCCGGAAGCTGGGGACTGCCACCACCGTGGGCGCCACCCTGAGCCAGTCCCTAGACCTTAGCGACCGGCACCGGGCTGTGGGGCCGCCCCTCAGCCCCACCCGGTAAGCCCCTGGGGCCAGCACTGGGGCGCTGCCACGGCGGGGAGGCGGGGAGGTGGTCACCCGGGGAGGATGCCGCGGGCCAGGCTGGGCTCTGCTCACTGGGTGGCCCAGGCCTTGGGCTGTGGCCCTGCCTGGTCCCTCGTCAGTTAATGAGGCTCAGGGACCTCATGGGCCACAGAGCCTGCTGGATGGTGCATCCTCCTCCCTTCCCCAGGTAGGGGGCGGGGCTTGTGCTGCCTCCACCCCAGGAGTGGCTGGACGTGCTCAGGGTGGTGAGCAGCGCCCCTGGCCTCCGCCCCCCCAGAGCTAGCAGCAGTACAGAGGATGGATGGACGGATGGGCAGGCAGGCAGCAAGGTGGATAGGCTGGAGAAGGGGAACGACGACAGACACGGGTCGGGATGGGGGAGTGGAGCCATGTGAAGATACAGGCGATGCAGACGGAGAGTGTGGGCAGAGTGGGCAGGTGGGGGTGTGCAGGGAGGGAAGAGAGAAAGATGACAGATACAGGGAGGAATGGGGAGCAACCAGGACAGACGGGAGGGCTGGACGGGCGGTGGGTAGGTGGAGACCCATAAAGATGGTGGACGTCCATGGAAGGAGGACAGACGGGTGACAGACAGACAGACAGCCTTTCATGCGAGGCAAGGCTTCTCTGTGCGGTGAGCATCAGCTGCATGGGTCTCTAGCAGTGTAGCTTGGTGGGCGGACGGGGACGGAAGGCAACAGGGTGAGGAGGACGGATGCCTGTGGAGCCTTGGCGGAGATGAGATGCAGACAGACAGAGCGGACGCATGCAGTAGATGGCTCCGCGGGCGACACGATGAGTGGAGACAGAGCTGGTGACCGACAGGGAGAGCAGCTGGCCAAGGACGAGGACCTGGCCCGGCAGGCACCTTCGCTGTGCTCCCAGGCTGTGTCCTGACCCCTGTGGGTGCTGGGGTGGGGTGGGGCGGGGCAGCCCCTGAGTGAAGGCCTTGCCACCTGGCACTGGTCAGTGATCCGCACATTTCTGTGACCCTGCAGGGAGAGGCGCATCTCCTTGTCCACAGGCGACGTCTCCAAGCTGTCCCCAGCCAAGCCACAGGTAAGGCTGAGGCTGTGGCCTTGGCCCTCAGGGACAATTAACAGAGAAGTGGAATAGCTGGGTGTGGTGATCCCAGCCGTTAGGAAGACTGAGGCAGGAGGATCTCAAGTCTGAGCCCACCCTGATCAGTTTAGGAGATTCACCTCTCACTGAGGTGCAGCTCAGTGGTGAGTGCTTCCCCACCTCACGTGAGGCTCTGCGCCCTATCCCCCGCCAAAAGGAGGGCACACAGTGGCAAGCATAGTGCACGCAGGGGTCCCACTGTCCGCAGCAGAGCGGGCCTGCTCGCCTCACCCAGCCTGCCCCCCGCCCCACAGCCTTCCCCCGAAGCTGGCGGGGACCCCAGCACCAAGAAGCCGGCCGTGCACAAGAAGAAGTCAGGTGACGCGTCCTCTGGCCCAGACGCAGGGCTCTCGCCGGGCTCCCAGGCCGACTCCAAGTAAGGGGCTAGGGGCATGGGCCACCAGAGGATGCCTGTGGTCCCTGCCAAGGCCACAGGCAGCCTGCTCGCCCAGACTGCTCATGATCGGGCGGAGGGACCCGCAGTACACATTGGAGCAAGAGGGGCTGTGCTGGGCAGCTCCCCGGAGCCCATTTGACTCGGTTTCCAGGGCTTCAGTCCTTGGTCGCCAGCCCAGGGCAAGAGCATCGTGCCGGGAAGCAGAGGGCAGAAAGAAGAGCAGGTCTGGGGACAGCACTGGCCCTCAGGGCACAGCTCCCAGCAGCCCCTGCCGCTGTCAGCATAGCAGGCTCATCAGGCTAAGGGCGGCACCTGGACCCCACCTCTGCCCATCGCCACATTGGGTTCCATCGCACAGTGCGTGCGTTGGGGGCATTTCACACCCTGATTGCACCAGAGGCCCCATAAGGGCCACCCTCGAAGCCCACCCCGACCAGCAGGTACCTGCCTCACTCAGGCAGCAGCCACAGTTCACAGGCAGTGTTTGTTCCCATACAAGGAGAGGAGAGAGTAATTTTAATACTTTTTTTTTGGTACCAGGGATTGAACTCAGGACCTTCCACTTGCGAAGCAGGTGGTGGAACCACTAAGCTAAACCCCTGGCCCATCCCAGCCCTTTTTATTACTTTTAATATGTAAATAGAATCTCAGCCAGGGGTGGTAGCACTCACCAGTAATCTCAGCTACTCAGGAGGCTGAGGCAAGCAGATTGCAAGTTCAAGCCCAGCTTAGGCAGCTTAGACTGTCTCTAAGCTATTTCTAAGAGGACCCTGTTCAATCGGGCACCTAATGAGTGTTTGTTTTGTGCTTGATGGGGTGGGGCTAAGCCTTAGGCCCATCTTCACTTCCCAGGCCTTTGAAGAAACCACTCAGAGACCCCGGGCGTGGTGGCATACACCTGCATTCCCAGCCAGTTGGCAGGCTGAGGCAGGAGGATCACAGTGTAGTGACTTAGCAAGACCTTGTCTCAAAACAAAATTTAAAGTAGGGTGTAGCTTGGTGCTCCCTGGGCTCAATCTCCTGTACTGAAAAAAAGAAGAGAAACCACTTCCTGCCAGGCATGGTGGTGCCTGACTGTGATCGCAGCTCTCGGGAAGATGAGGCAGGAGAATCCCCACAAGTCCTAGGCCTGCCTGGACTACATAGTAAGACCCTGTCTCAAAAACACTGCAAAGACAAAACCACTTCCTGTGTCCCGCAGATCCACCTTTAAGAGACTTTTCCTACATAAGACCAAGGATAAAAAGTACAGCCTGGAGGGTGTGGAGGAGACGGAGAATGCAGTAGCATCTGGGCACGTTGCGCTGGAAGCCACCACTGTGAAGAGGAATCCAGAAGGTTGGTCACCCAGAGCTTCCTTCTGGGCAGTGGCAGAGCCTGCACATTGGCTGTCCCTGAGCAGGCTCTCCAGCTGCGGCGGGCTGGGTTCTGGCCGAGGACCGTGCCCTATGACCGTGCCCTATGAGGCCAGTGCGGTCCCCACCCCCACACAGCCCCTCCATGTCTCCAAAGCCCCGTTCGGCCACCAGCCGCGCCCCGCAGCAGGCGAGAAGCATACGAAGGATGCGGGCGGCAAAGGGAAGAAGAACCGCAACCTCAAGATTGGCAAGATCACAGTGACGGAGAAGTGGCGGGAATCAGTATTCCGCAAGATCACCAACGCCAATGAGCTCAAGTACCTGGACGAGTTCCTGCTCAACAAGGTGGGCCAGGCCCGGTGGATGGGCGGGGCGAGAGCAGCCTCCCAGAGCCCTGCTGAGGGAGGGGCTTCTTGTCTGGTGCTGAGGGCTCCTGCTCCCGCCTCGGCCCCGGAAAGACTCCTGTCTTCTAGCTATTTTGAAATTACTCAGGTCATGGATTTAGCTCAGTGCTTCCGCAGCCTGCCTCGCAAGCACAAGGTCCGGAGTTTGATCCCCGGTACCAAAAAAAAATTTACATGATACTTTGTTGTTAACTGTATTCACACTTATTGTGCAATATGTTTTGGTTTTGGTTTTTTTTGGTACCGGGGATCAAACTTGGGTCCTTGCGCTTGCGCAGCAGGCGGCGAAACCACTGAGCTAAATCGCTGGCCCTTACTGTACAATATGAACACCAAAAGTTACTCCTGTCTAGTTGGCTGCAGTGGCACACACCTGTAATCCCACCACTTGGGAGCCTGAGGCAGGATTTCATTCAAGGCCAGCCTAGGCAACTTAGCGCAAGACCCTTTCAGACAACAAAATTTACTCCTAACTGAAACTTTCCACCCTTTGACTGGCCTCTCCCACCTCCCGCCCCACCCCTGGGGACCTGGGCAGTGTCCAGGCGTTGTGCCCATCACCACTGGTCGGGGGTGAAGGCCAGTGTGGTGCTGACCCCGTGCCGCTGGCTCAGCCTGGGTTCCATGGATTGGAGAGCAGGGGCTTCGCCCGCAGAGCCGGAGCTTGTCCCTGAGGTGGAGGGACTTGGAGGGGGCCTGGGGACAGCGCCTCTCCTTGCAGATAAACGACCTGCGCTCCCAGAAGACGCCCATCGAGAGCCTATTCATTGAGGCCACTGAGCGGTTCCGCAGCAACATCAAAACCATGTACTCCGTCCCGGTGCGTAGAGGCCCTGGCTCCCCACGCCCTCCAAGGCCCCTTCCCAGTCTTCACAGCCCCACTGACGCCTCGCGTCCCTGCAGAATGGAAAGATTCATGTCGGCTACAAGGATCTGATGGAGAACTACCAGATCATCGTCAACAACCTGGCCAGCGATCCCGGTGAGGACACCAACCTGGTCCTCAACGTCTTCCAGTCCCTGCTGGACGAGTTCACGCGTCGATGCGCCAAGAATGACTTTGAGCCTGTGAAGGTGGGTGGCTCCACCCCATTCTCTGGCCCCGCCCACTACTACCGGGCCCCCACCCACCGCCATCCATTCCCCGCCCATACCACGCCCCATCCTTTCTGGGAATCTGCCTTCCTGCGGCACCTCTCCAGCCCCGCCCACCTCTCCAGACACACCTCCTGGGAAGCCACGCCCACCTCCCCGGAGCCTCCCCTCACCGCCCTTGGCGGGCTTCCTGGCTGGGTGGAGGGTGGGTGTCAGGGCCCTTAGCCTCCGGCCTCCATGGGGACAGAGTGTCCCTAGGCCAGCCCAGCATCCCCACATGACCGTTTCTGTGTCTCTCAGCCTAGCAAAGCTCAGAAGAAGAAGCGGAAGCAGGAACGAGCCGTGAGTAGGCGTGCATGTGTAGTGTTTGCCGGCCTACACGTGTCCCCGGTGATGGCGGTGGCGGGCAGCCTGCTGAGCCCTTGCGTCCTCCCGCAGGTGCAGGAGCACAATGGCCACGTGTTCGCCAGCTACCAGGTCAGCATTCCACAGTCGTGCGAGCACTGCCTGTCCTACATCTGGCTCATGGACAAGGCCCTGCTCTGCAGCGGTGAGCAGTGCCCCCACTGCATGCCCACCTCCTACTGTCCCCACTCCCGAACCGCCCCTCGGTCCTCCTCCCCACGCGCGGACCAGCTGCTGTGGTCCCATCTGCTCGGGAGCTGAGGCAGGAGAACTGCAAATTCAAGGCCAGCCTGGGCAACCAGAGAGAAACCTGTCTCCAAATGAGAAATAGGGCTGGAGGTGTAGCTCAGTGAAAGAACACCGCCTGGCCTGTGTGAGGCCCTGGGTTCCATCCCTAGCAGTGCAGAATGAGTAACAGAGCAGTTGGGACCTGGCTGGAGGGGTGGGTGCCCAGGGGCCTGTGCCTGAGCCCTGTCCTGTGTGTGCCCCTAGTATGCAAGATGACCTGCCACAAGAAGTGCGTGCACAAGATCCAGAGCTACTGCTCCTACCTGAGTGGGCGGAAGGTGAGCCCTCACCTGGGGCTCTCGGCACACTGCCCGGAGCTGTGTGAAGGCCCTGCCTCCGGCCTGCTCATCGTCCCAGGCCTCCAGGAAGCTGGGTCCCCGACAGCCCAGCCATGGGGCTGCAGGGGACAAGGGGCAGGGGGTGCGGCCCGCAGAGGGAGCCCCGCGGGCTCTGCAGGCCAGGAGGGAGGCCCCATGCGGCAGCATGTGGACGGGGACCCTGGCCTGACCACCACCCCGCACCACAGAGCGAGCCGGGCGCCGAGCCAGGCCACTTCGGCGTGTGCGTGGACAGCCTGACCAGCGACAAGACCTCAGTGCCCCTGGTGCTGGAGAAGCTGCTGGAGCACGTGGAGCTGCATGGGCTCTACACCGAGGGCCTCTACCGCAAGTCGGGCGCCGCCAACCGCACGCGCGAGCTCCGGCAGGCACTGCAGACAGGTGGGTGGGGCTGGCGGCAGCCCCAGCCCCTTGCGCCCACATTGCCCGCGCTCAGCGCCCCACCGTCCCTCTGCAGACCCCGCAGCCGTGCGGCTGGAGGACTTCCCCATCCATGCCATCACTGGTGTCCTCAAGCAGTGGCTGCGAGAGCTGCCTGAGCCCCTCATGACCTTCGCCCAGTATGGCGACTTCCTACGAGCCGTGGGTGAGTGCCCGGGGCCAGGGGAGGGGCAGCCCGGCAGCCGCTTTGGGCTCAGGAGGCTGGCCTGACGCCACCCTCCACCTCCAGAGCTGCCCGAGAAGCAGGAGCAGCTGGCCGCCATCTACGCCGTCCTGGAGCACCTGCCTGAAGCCAGCCACAACGCGCTGGAGCGGCTCATCTTTCACCTGGTCAAGCAAGTGCCCCTTACCACCGGGCCCGGCCAGGGTCCCCACCTCGGGGCTGGGGCTCCTCTCCTGTCTTGGGCCCAGGACCCTGAGCTGGGCCTGGCCTCCCTAACTGCCGGTGGCCGTGCAGGGTGGCCCTGCTGGAGGACGTGAACCGCATGTCGCCCGGGGCGCTGGCCATCATCTTCGCTCCCTGCCTCCTGCGCTGCCCCGACAACTCGGACCCGCTGACCAGCATGAAGGACGTCCTCAAGATCACCGCGTGAGTGCCACCCTCAGGCTGCGTGTGCTGGGAGGGGCAGCTGCGGGCTCTCCGGGCAGTCTGGCCTCCCTCATCTTACGGACGTGGTGACAGGAGCCCTGTCCCCATCCCTGCACCGAGGCCCCAGTGCTGGCTGCTCGGGATGAGGCCCTCTCAGGCTGGCCCTGAAGGCAGAGCAGGCCCAGAGCTGCCTGGGTCACACAGCACGGCCCAGGGCATCCCCAGCGCCGCAGTGGGTAATACAGTCGCCTCCCGCGACCCCGCAGGTGCGTGGAGATGCTGATCAAAGAGCAGATGCGGAAGTACAAGGTGAAGATGGAGGAGATCAACCAGCTGGAGGCAGCCGAGAGCATTGCCTGCCGCCGGCTCTCCCTCCTGCAGCAGACAGCGGTGAGGGGGCAGGGGCGCGGCCGGCCGGGTGAGTGGGCCCAGCTCTGATGGGGCCTGGGGCTGCACGGGGGCAGCCAGGGCCTGAGTTCCCACCCATGGCCCACGCCCAGCTCAGACCGCCCGGCCGTACTGTGGAGCCTCACACCGGCGCGGGGGAGTAGCAGTGCCCACCCGTGTGCCGCACGTTCACCCTGTGTCTGTCTCTCCCCAGCCTTGGCCTTTCAAACTGGGGTTCTCATCTCCCTGTGAGGGGGTGCTGGTATGTAGTGTGCGGTGGCCGCGGTGCATGCAGGTCCCTAGGGTAGACGCATGTCCTAACCTCCCCTCCTGCATGCTGGTAGCGCCTGCCGCCAAGCCGGTGCTCAGGATGCCGATTGGCCTGGACTCTGGAACTGCTCCCCAGTGTCCCCGCCCCTCTTGTCCCAACTAATCCTGGGCCAGCTCTCGCGCTGCCTCACGCCTGCCACCTCCGTGCAGAGCAAGAGCCCCAAGACCCCCGTGAGCCGTGACAGCAGCCTGGAGGAGCTGGAGGCGCTGCCCGAGGAGGAGGCGGCAGCGGCCAGGGGCCACGAGAACCGCGAGAAGGAGATCCTCATGGAGCGGATCCAGTCCCTCAAGGAGGAGAAGCAAGTGTCCCCATCCCGTCCCCAGCCCCTTGCTGTCCAGCCCCCTCCAGCAGCCCGGAGGCCTCCCGCCTGGCCAGGCCTGCTGCAGTCCCTAGCATGGGAAGAAGGTCCCGTCCCCCGGACACTGTTGTCCTAGGGTTCAGCCATGATGCCTGTATGGGTTCTGCAAACACAGGCTCCAGCCCAGGGGCCCACGGGAGCCAGCAAAGCCCCAGCCCTGTCCTGATGCTGGTCACACCTGCTGCTGGCCTCGTTCATTGTGCTCAGGGTTGAGAGTGGGAAAAGGGCACTACTGAAAATGGATGCCGGGCTGGGGTGTAGCTCAGCAGTGAGGAATTGCCTGGCATGGGCAAGGCCCTGGTTTCATCCCCAGCACTGCAGAAAGAAAAGAGAACTACGTGCCTGTATCCCTGCTGCTCACTCCTTGGAGGCTGAGGCAGGAGGATTACTGGAAAACAGCCTGGGCAACATAGCAGCCTGTCTCAAAAACTTTACAGTTAATCCCAGGAGAACAAATGTGGCCAGGTTGCTTAGGGAGTGGAGCTGGGTGCCCAGGCTGTGGGAGCAGTGTGTGCAAAGGGCCTGGGGCAGAAGCTCGCTGTGAGCTCAGTGCTGGGCTAGATGCCCAGGCTTCCCTCTGCTGATCAGCTCTTTCCTCGGGTGAGCATCAGGGCCAAGAGCACATTAGGCCAGGTGAGCTAAGGGTGGGTTGGGGACAGAGTGACCCCAGGAGCAGGACAGCCTGTTCTGCCCCCCATTGGCCAGGCCTTCCCATGTGGTGGCCTCTCAACACTCACCCTGGCCCCCAGGGAGGACATCACGTACCGGCTGCCAGAGCTGGACCCTAGGGGCTCCGACGAAGAGAACCTGGACTCAGAGACATCGGCCAGCACCGAGAGCCTGCTGGAGGAGCGGGCCGGGCGGGGGTCTGCGGAAGGTCAGTATTAAGGTAGGGTCTGCTCTGCTGCTGCCCAGGTGGGTGGGAGGCCTGCAGCCTGAGCAGCAGTGACCGGCATCTGTCTCTCCAAGGGCCCCCTGCGCCCAGGCCCCCCCAGCCCAGTGCACCTCCCCCGAGCCCCCTCCCCTCGATGGCCCCTCCAAGGCGCCAGCCAGCGCCCTTCGCCACGGTGAGGGTGAAGACCCCGCGGCGGACGCCCGTCATGCCCACCGCCAATATCAAGCTCCCACCCGGCTTGCCCTCGCACCTGCCCACCCGGGAGCCCGCTGGCCCGGTGAGGCGCCGGGAGCCGCCTGCGCGCCGCCCCGACCAGGTGCGCTCCGTGTACATTGCCCCCTGCCGCGGGCTGCCCACACCTGGAGCCCTGGAGCCCCTGGACAAGGACGCGCGGCCCCGGGGGGCCAAGCGCAGGTACTCGGACCCCCCTACCTACTGCCTGCCCCCTGCCCCGGGCCAGGCCCCTGGCTGAGGATGAGGCAGGTGCATCAAGGACGCCTGTGCTGGGCTGCAGCTGGCACTGGGCTCTGGGAGGACCCCGATTGGAAGCTCCGCAGTGACGGGTCGAGGGCGCTGCCTGGGCCGCAGTCCAGGCCAGAGAGGCCACTGAGCGCCATCGGGGCCACTGAATCCCAGCGGTGGCCTCACCTCCCTCTCCCCTTTTGTACGTTTTTACGGTAACTTTGTACGTGGTTTACATAACTTCAAACTGTAACAGCCTCAACGGGAGATCAAACTTTTCTACGCGTACGTCAGACTTCTCCATTAAGGCTGTGCACATCCCTGTAACCCGGGCCTGGGCAGAGCAGAGCGCGCACTGGCCGCCACACTGGTCCCCGTGGGTGGCCACTGGGACCTTGCACGGCACTGGCGCTTTGGACTCTTGGGGCACCTGCCCACCCCCATCTGTCTCCAACGTGGGACTTGCGCTTGTGGTGGCCACAGCCACCTGGCTGAGGTACATTCCAGAGCGCGTCGGAGCCCTCTGTGGGGTCACAGGACATGAGGTGGGGTGGCACTGCCTGCAGCAGCACAGTCTGCACCCCAGGGAGACCAGACCGTGGCTATCACACCTCTGTCGCCATGTTCTGTGGGTGCCAGGGCTGGAAGAGATGGCCTTGTGACTCAGGACCATGCCCCAGCCAGAAGCTGTCCGTCCTGCTCCTTGGCTCTGCAGCTCCAGACATCGGACACTAGGACACAAGGCCACAGGCCTGGGACCCAGGGCTAAATAAAGAGGAAGTGCCTGTGATGTTTTGCATGTGAGTTATGGGACCCTACCACTGCCATCAGGGTGTCAGGTGGACCCGTCACACGGGACAGAGGCCTGCGTGTGGGTGGGAAGTGGGGGACAGGGAGCCCCAAAGAGTATGAACACGGGCTGCTCACCCCTCAGGCCGACATTCTGAGCATGAGCACCACAGCACAGGCGGCAAATTCATGCCTGACATCACATGAGGGTCACAGAAGAGACCACTAAAAGACCTAAATTACCCTACGGAGGGAGGGTTGTACAGCTCAGAGCTACGGCACATGCTTAGCCCCAGGCCCTGGGTTCCCTGCCCGCACAGAAAGGCTGTGTGTGCCTAAGGTGTATATGAAACATGCAAGCAAGTCATCCCAGCACTCTGGGATACTGAGCCAGGAAAAGCCAAATTTGAGGCCAGCTCAGACAATTCAGCAACTTAGACCCCGTCTCAAAAGAAAGGCAGAGAGGCCGGGTATTTAGCTCAGTGCTTCTGCTGTCTGCTCCGCAAGCGCAAGGACCTGAGTTCGATACGGGCTACCAAAGAAACAGAAAAAAACAGAGTACAGCTCAGTGTAGGCCCTGGGTTTAAGCCCCAGTACACCCCCCGCCCCTGTAAATGAATTTTGTGTTTAAACTTGGGTACCTTCCCCAAGATACCTCATTATATATGCATATATTCCAAACCCAAACCACTGGACCAGACGGAAGGGGGACCAACCGCAAAGTGGATTGCCCACTCACCCAGCTTCTCAAGGGTGTTTTATGGGACAAAGCCAAGAGGTGAGGCGGGTTCAAGGTGGGACAAAACTATAATCAACTAGTAAGATTACAAGTACAGTTGCTTAGGTAATACTGACCCAGTGGGAAATCACAAGGTGGATAAGACTATGATCAACTAATAAGATTATGACAAGTATAGTCGCCTAGGTAATATTGATTAAATGGGGATCCAGTGGGGAAGCAAAGTCATGTAGCAAGCGTAGAAGGAATGAGCAAGGATTTTCAGTGGCAAGGGGTGCGTCAGGGACCTTTCCAGGAAGACCTTGGTCCCCCACCCAGGTGATTGATACCTGTTTAGAATATCCATCATTGCTATTCATCCTAGCCTACGTGGGTGTGGTAGTTTCTCTCCTTTTACAAAGCTGCCCTTCAGTGAATGTGGCTTGACTGACCTCCATGTGCGCTCCCAGGAGCTGGCCCTGTCTGCCTACAAGACCTCTAATCAACTTACCTATCTGCCGTCTGTACTGGTAGAACCTGGACAGCCACCCCACAGGTGGCCAGTGGTGCCACTAGGAGTGGGAACTGGGGGCTGCAGAATCCAGGGTCAAACTGCAAACCGGAGCAGGGGCAGCTAGGACCCAGACTGCGGGGTCTGCTCTGAAGGCCCCGCCCCTTATGGTCACGAGAGTTAGGCTCCTCTGGTGTTTTCTGAGGCTACTGGTGGCAGGCATCCTGGATCCCAGGTGGTCTGAAGGGAAGGACAGCAGCAGCAAGCAGCCCAGGCTCTGCAGACCCGGGGTCACCCTGGCTTCCTGGAGACCTGGGTACGCTGGGATGGACTCCTCGCCATGGGGTTCCAGACACTTAGGGGTGATCTGGCCCTCTCCCTCTCCCAAGGACAGGCTGTGACCCCTTGAGACATGCATCATCGCAGTGCCCACTTAGGCTCAGCAAAGCTGAATTCACCCAAGGCCACAGCTGAGGGTGACGGCAGGGCTGGGACCTGGAGGGTCATCCTGCACACCGTCCACGAAGCCTGCACGAGCCCCTGTGACACACAGTAAGGGTGGAGGAGGCCTTGGAGGCTGAAGCCCCAGGGCAAGGCTCCTTCCCCAAGAGAAATGGGGGAAGACCAGAGATGAGGCATAGCTTGGAGAAGAATCCAGGCATTCTGAACAGGTGGAATGGAATGACCAGAGGGCCGCACATCAAAGGACCTGGTTCCTTAGAAGCTTCTCAGAGGGTTTAAGATTCTCCTCAGGAAAAGCAAGCGATTTTTGCCCTGAATAAATATGGCTGGATAGGCGACCCCCCCCCCCCTTGAAACAAGATAATACTTCCGCCCCAAAGATGGGCCAACCAACGCGGAGAGGGGAAAACACATACGCCCAGAAGGTGCCCAGATGAAGCCACTTCCGCCCTATCCCAAGATGGCGCCGACGGAAGGGGCAGGGTACGAGCCGCTAAGGATGGCTGCGTCAAGGCTGGAACTGAATCTGGTGAGGCTGCTGTGCCGCTGCGAAGCAATGGCAGCTGAGAAGCGGGACCCAGAAGAGTGGCGGCTGGAGAAGGTGAGGGAGAAGAACCTTACTCCTGTAGGGTGGCTCTTGCGGCAGTCGGCCGACCGGCCTGACTCCACCGCCATAACCACCCCCTTGCCACGCCCCTTCCGTCCAGCTCCGCTGACACACCCCTTCTGGTCGGCTCTGCCACGTCCCGCCACTTTGCTCCTACCTGGGACCCCGCCCTTCTCACTGGCTCCGCCTTCTCGACACTTGTCCCCACCTCCGCATCCCCACGCCCCTCTCCTGTCCCTTGCCTGGTTGGCATTTTGGCTCTTCCCCTTTCCTTCCCGGACCTTGTATCCCTGCTCTTCTGTTGGCCACGCCCCATTGACTTTTAACTCCACCCCTTTCCTGCCTGGCCCCATTCCCGACCCCTCTTCCTTTGCACCTGGCTCCTCCCCTTCCCTACCCCTATCATCACCCTGCGGTTAGCCCAGCCCCATTGACATTTGACTCCACCCATTTCCTGCTCCGCCCTGTTAACCACGCCCGCCCGCTGCTCGCTGCTGCCGTGACGTCCCGCCCTTCGCCTTGGCTCCGCCCCTGGGGTCTGGTCCCTCCCTGCCCCCAGCTGTCCCCGCCCCCTCCTAGTTCCGCCCGGGTGATGGGACCCGGGTGGGACTCGCTGACACTTTCCCCGCAGTACGTTGGGGCCCTGGAGGACATGCTGCAGGCGCTGAAGGCACAGGCGAGGTGGGTGCAGTGGCCAGGGTCCCCAGGCGGGTTCGGGGTGGTGCGGGGCGCGGCCCCAACGTGGGCACAGCACCGCCCACTGCCCCTCGCCCGCAGCCGGCCGGCCGCTGAGGTGCTGCACGAGTACGCGCGCAAGGTGGACTTCCTGCGGGGCCTGCTGCAGGCCGAGAAGCTGGTGAGCCCGTCCGCCCGCCCGCGGCCCCACGCGGCCCCACGTGGCCCACGCAGCCCACGCGTGACCCCGGCTCCGCCTCTGCAGGCCTCCTCCTCTGAGAAGGCGCTGGCCAACCAGTTCCTGGCGCCCGGCCGCGTGCCCACCTCGGCCCGCGAGCGCGTGCCTGCTACCAAGACCCTGCACCTGCAGACCCGCGCGCGCTACGCCGGCGAGATGCGGCAGGAACTGCTGGGCACGGTAGGTTGGGCTGGCGAGGTTCCTTCGCAGGCCGAGAAGAAAGGGGTCATGCACCTTGGATCTCAGCACTCCGGGAGGCTGAGGCAGGAGGACTGAAAGTTTGAGCCCAGGCGGCCTGGTCAACTTGGCGACTTGGCAAGGGCCTGCCTCAAAATGAAAAGAGAAGCAGGCCCGGGGATGCGGCTCCGTGCAGTACTGGGCTCAATCTTCAGCGCTAAATAAAGAACTGGGTCTGGCTGAGCCCAGAGCTGGCCTGGAGGCAACGCAAACCTCGTGGGACATCCTGGGGTTTGCGTGCGGACGTGGGTGTTCACAGCAGGACAGGTCTAGGGACAGGACCTGGCAGGGACTTCACGCCTCTCCTTGCTTTCCCTAGGACTCTGCGGGAGGTGAGTCACCAAGCAGAAGAGGACTTGCGCCCAGGACCTGGCCCAGGACATGTGTCCCTCTGCCCCTCGTGCCCAGGCCAGGGGAGCTGACTGGAGGGGCTGGGATGGGAGTGGCCCCAGGAGGAGACCAAGCTGAGCACTCCCAGCACGCGGGGCCAGCACGAGGCCCTTGGGGAGTCCAGGCGGAGTAGGAAAGGCTTTCTGCAAGAAGGGGTGGTCTAGCTAGGGCTTTGAAGCAGCAGTAGGAGCCCCCTGGGCAGCAGCCAGGATGGGGAACTGGGATTATGGGGGCAGCGATGGCACAAAGGTGCGCAGGCTGGAGGTAGGACACCAAGTCCTTCCCCTGCTTGCCCTGTGTTTGCTTCCAGAGCGCCAGCCTGAGGCGAGGAAGCGGAGGTGAGTGTCTCCACTTTCTGGCCAGGGGAGAGGGGAGGGAGCTGGATGACCAGAAGCCAGTTGGGGGCAGGGAAACTGAGCCCCTGAGAACATGTTGGCCTCTTTTCCCCCTGCCCACCGCCCTCATGTGCCTGCATGGCCACCTTGTGGGGGGTCAGTGGGTTGGCTGGACCCAGGCCCACAGATAAGAAGCAGTCAGCAGCCGAGCTAGACCTCGTCTTGCGGCGACAGCAGGACCTGCAGGAGAAGCTGGCAGAGGAGATGCTGGGCCTTGCCCGGAGCCTCAAGACCAATACACTGGCCGCTCAGAGTGTCATCAAGAAGGACAACCAGGTACAGGGCTGTGGGAACTCTGCAGACATCAGAATTGCCCTCTCAGGAAAGGAGCACTGTGACTAAGGCTTGGCTGGATGAATAGGAGTTTGGTAGAGGGCCAAAAACGGCGTTTTCCCACCAATGGGCACAGCACCAGCAAAACTGGAGAGGTTTAGGACTGCCCCAGGGCAGTAGTGAGAAGCCACGCTCCTGTCCTGCTGACACCCGGCCCGCCCTGCCTGCAGACCCTGTCCCACTCGCTCAAGATGGCTGACCAGAACCTGGAGAAGCTGAAGACGGAGTCGGAGCGGCTGGAGCAGCACACGCAGAAGTCAGTCAACTGGCTGCTGTGGGCCATGCTCATCGTGGTCTGCTTTCTCTTCATCAGCATGATCCTCTTCATCCGCATCGTGCCCAAGCTCAAGTAGCGGGCGATGGCAGGCACTCTGCTTCGCCCAGGCACCAGGCTGCAGAGCCAAGCCGCTGGAGGCCCAGGAGGAGCCCGGTGCGCACACACTGTGGTCCCAGCTACTTGGAGGCTGAGTCAGGAGGATCAAGACCAGCCCGGGGAAACACAGCGAGACTCCAGGGCAGAAGCACAGAATCAAAATGCAAAATAAAACGTGTATTGTGGCTGTGAAATACGTCGGAGGGCTCCGCTGATAATAGTGACAGTGAAGGCTGGCTCCACTGAGCAGGGAGGAGGCCCTAAACCCAACAAGAGGAAAGCAAAGACCTGCAGGATCCATACCGGAGAAGGGTGCAATGGTTTCTGAGCTTCTTCACTGACGGGACCAGGTGAAAACATCCTCGTCGACTCAGTGCCCCGGAGGCTGAGGCAGGAGGATCGAAAGTTCCAGCCCAGCCAGACCCTGTGAGGGGATGCAGCTCAGGGTGAAGCCCTGGGTTCAGTCCCCAGTACTGCAGAAAGCAACACTGTTACAATGCACTGGATGCACTGACAAGTGCCTCGGGACGCTGGTTAGGGCAGGAGCAGGAGGAAGTTGCTGAGGAGGGGTGGCAGTGCCCTGGCCTCGGTGCCTGGCTCATCAGTCTCCTGCACTCACCGCAGCCAGCCTCCTACATGGGCTGGGGATGCTGCTTCCCCGACAAGGCCTACGGAGCCCCTTACTGCGGTCCTATGCATTTCTACTGCTTTTGTAACATGTTCCTACTGATTGTTAAGAGATTTGTGTGTGTTACTGGGGCTTGAACACAGGGCCTTTGCACTGAGCTGCATCCCCAGCCCTTTTTATTTTTTTATTTTGAGACGGTCTGGCTAAGTGGCTGAGTTGCCCAGGCTGGGCTCCAGGTTTTGATCCTCCTGCCTCAGCCTCCCAGAATGATTAGATTACAGGTGTGCACCACCAGGCTGGGCTTTAAGGAAATATTTTAAAAGTACAATTGCTGAAAAAATAAAGTTAGATTAATGAAAACCATCCCTTTTTCAGTCCAATAAATTAAGAATTGAAAGTCTCAAGGCACACACCGTCAGGTCGGATTCGAACCTGCGTCAAGGGTGCGAGCCCAGTCGCGCTCCGCCAGGCCACGCCCCACGCTTGTAGCCCCGCCCTTCCCGGGGCGCGCGACCTCGCCAATCAGGTCCAGAGCGCATTTAACGCGCAACTCAGACTCAGGTGCCTTCCCGGCCTCAGACCTAGGCGCGGATCCCGGACGCTGGGACAGGTGACACCGGCGGGAGCGAGGCGCGAGGCCTGCGTGCGGCAGGGGTCCCGGGGGCACTTTGGGGTCTGGCTGTGGGCTCCGGCTGGGAGGGCGGGCTCCAGCACCGCGGGGCTTAACTGAGGGGCTGCGGGGACTGCGGTGTCGTCACGTCTCATTTGGGTAGCGCCCTTCCGGTTACGGGGGCCGGGGGCGGGGTCTGGTCGCGCCGGCACCCAACCGCGTGCTCCTATGCAAATAGCGGCGGGGCGGGGCGCACACTGGCCTCCGCGCGTGCTCCTGCCGCGCTGCCTCCAGGCGCACCCTCCCCGCGGGTCCACAGGCCGCCCGCAGACCACGCCCGCCACGCTCGGGCCGCGACGCCCCCCGCAGGACCCGACCGCCAGCCCGGGGACCCGCGCCCCGCGCCCCGCCGAGGCCGATGCCCACCCGCGAGCGCCCCCAGGCTCGCGGCTCCCCGGGGAGCCCTTCCGGCCCCGGGCCCCCGGTGAGGACACCCAGAGGCCCAGCATTCAGCCCCTCCCTGCCGGGAACCCCACTTCCGGACGCCCCGTAACCCCACCCCACGGTTCCTGCCTCGTCTGTAGACACTGGTGTCTCAAGGCCACAGAGCCGGCGCCCGCCGCCCTCCGTGCCAGCCCCCGCCCGCGCCCCACCAGGCCCGGCCCAGGAAGATCGTGTTTGAGGATGAGCTGCCGCCCCCGGCCCTCCCGGGTGCCAGGAAGCCTGCTGTAGCCGGGCCGAGGGGGCAGACATGCAGGCCCCGCCTAGTACCCGACTACGAGCTGTGAGTGCCCCTCGCGTGGTTCTCCAGGCCTGGGAACAGGAAAGGGGCATTGAAGGCAGGGCTTTGCTGGGTGAATAAGAGTTTATCAAATACGGAAAAGGGCATCTTGGAGTCTAAAAACAAGTCAGATTAAGAAGGGTGCAGTGCCTTCCACTCACACTCCAGCCCCCTCGAACCCCTAGTAAGTACCCGCCGCTGAGTAGCCAGAGGGCTCGGAGCCGCTACGTCGCCGTGTTCCAGGACCAGTATGCCGAGCTCTGGAAGCTCCAGTGCGAGGTGGGCGCCACCCAGGCCAGGCTGCAGCAGCTGGCAGCGGTGCTTCGCTCCCTGCCTCCGCCCCGAGGCCAGGTGAGGACGGGCAGCGCTGGGGGCAGCTCCTGGGCGGCCGCCGCCCACCGCCCACCGGAGGAGCCTTGTTTCGCGTGCCTCCTTGTCCCCTCGCCCGCAGGAGGAGGCCCGGGCTGCTGCCAGAGTCCGCCGCAAGCTGGAGGAGAAGCACTGGGTGAGAGGGGGCCTTGGCCTGGCACTGCCGCGGCGTGGGGCTGCCTGTGCCAGTTCAGAGGAGACTGAAGCATAGCCATGGTTCCCGCCTCCAGGACCCAGGCTTCCTGCACAGGCAGGCACGCTGTTGCTACCTAAAGGGTAAACTGAGGCATCTCAAGACCCAGATCCAGAAGTTTGATGACCAAGCAGACAGCGAGGGCTCTGTGTACTTCTGAGTGTCCTGACATGGGCACAGGAGGCCCCGACCCTCTCCCCACCTGGCCAGGGCGGCCCTCGCTGGGTGACCCTGTGGGACCCTGGTCTCAGTCCCAGTGGAATAAACACATTGCCTGCTCTGTGCGGCCCCCTAACACCTGACTGCACCCAGTTGTCACCAAGTCTGTTCTTCCGTTTTCCAGGGGAGGAAAAATAAAAAATGAGATCCCAAGAAAGGGCCTTGTTCAGGGCCTTGGACCCAGAAGGTTGTTGTAATTAAAGTAGTTTCCCTGGATGCTTTCAAATCTGGATCAAGCCCTACCTGAGACCCTCGGGTGAGGCCTCATCTGTCCCCACAGCTCCCTCTTCTCCAAGAGTCTCCAGAGGCCTTTGGGTCTGAAGCTGAAGGGCCAACATCCAGGATCACCCACCTGGCCAGGCCAGTGACAGAAAGCTGGACAACAGAGTCTGAACCAGGAAGGTTCACAGTGATTTTCTGCAGAAGGGTCCATATGGGTAGGGTTTTGTAGGAAAAGCAGTTTAGTTTAGCACTTGTGGGGACCAGGCAGCAGGACAGACATTATGAAGCTGTGAAGTGGGGTGTTGCTCAGGCACCTACCCATGCCTCTGGCCCCACCTGGGACAGGGCACACCCCTGAGACCCTCATTTACTCCACAGGAAGAGGCCCAGGCCCCTCCCTCCCAAGCCCGCTAAGATGAGCCATTTCTGGAGCTCGCCTGAGCACCTCCCCCGCTCCCTGTGGGCAGAGGCCTCCCTTGAGCCTTCGCAGGCCGGGCCTGGGCCTTGCCACGTGCCCAGCACAGGAGCCGCTACCACAGCCCACACCGGCACGTCCCACCCTGGAGTGGACGGCCGTGTTGCCGCCAACCCAGCCCACCTGCAGCTGAGGCCTGGTTTCCCATCTGAGAGTCGAGTATTCTGGGTGCCCGCAGAGAGCATTGAGTGCTGGCATGGAAGGGGACCTGGATGTGGGATGAAGCCGCCCCAGGGCTCGAGTGTGGCTGCCCCAGGGCCTCCCTGGCACCTGGGAGACTGGTCTCCGCTGGGCTGCGATCCTGAGCCAGCCTCACGCCCAGACCAGAGCCAGGGTGTGGACCCGAGCTGTGAGGCCAGGGAGCCCAACTTCGGGCCCAGCGCCGGCAATTTAGCGACACCAGCTCGAAACAAATAAGGGCTGGGCTGTAGTTTGGGGCGAACGTCCCCGGTTTAATCCTCAGCACAGCGAAAGAAAGCCGCGGTGGAGGCGGCGCAGGTAGGAAACGTCTTTATTATCGGCCCGCCTGGCCCGCCCCGGGTGTCCCACACAGGTTCGGCTCCAGGGGTCGGGCGCCTGCCTGCGCCCCAGAGTGCTCGGGAGCCGGGATGCCGGGCGCTCGAACCAGCCGGAAGATCCGTCTCATTTTGGTTTTTGATCATTTAAAAAACAGAAAGGCCAGACGCCGCAGTCTTTAAAAACGGCCGGCGTGGTCACTGGCCGGCACCGTAGGGCCAGCTGAAGGAGCTGCCCGACAGCAGCATGTCGCGGATCAGCGTCTCGATGGGCGTCTTGCCCACCAGGCGCATGAAGAAGAGCTGCGAGATGAGCGAGGCGGGCACGGCGCGCAGGGCGGGCAGGCGCAGCAGCAGGCGGCCGAAGCGCTGGGGCTGCGTCGGGTACTGGGCGCGCACGTACTCGGTGAGCGCCACCTGTGCCTTCTCCTGCAGGCTCTCCACGTGCGCTGGGTCTGACAGGCCGCAGGCATCTAGGGACAGGGCTGTGTCAGAGCGTGGGTCGCGCGCGGGAGGACAGGGCCTGGAGTGTGAGTGGAGTACGAGGCAGGAGTGTGCGAAGTGTGGTGGAGCCTGCACTGCAGCCTCCCGCAGGCAGACAAGCATCTCTAAGATGCCCAGGCTGGGACCGAACTTGAGACCCTGCTGCCTCGGCCTCCCTAGTGCTGCGATGGCAGGCGCCTCCCCGAATGCTTGTCCCGCAGACTTTGCGCAGCCCCTCCAGGAAGGCGGTAGGGCCTGGAGCAGGCGGTCTCTGCCCGCGTGGGGCCACCCGGGCCTCACTCAGGGTTCCCCAGAGCCCGGGCAGAGGTCCTGGGGGCAGGAGACCCCAGGAACCACAGGTCAGACCGGGCATCCGCCCTGCGCCCTGCCACGTTCAGGGTACAGGGAGCGCAGCAGAGCGCCGGGCACAGGGCGTGGGGTCTGCGGCCGCCAGGGAACCCGGGCCTGGGCTCTTAGGGGGTCTGAGGATTGGGAGGTGAGGGACCCAGGTGATGCCGCACCACCCCAGCAACCCGAGTCGGGGAGCAGGCCTGGGAGCGGGGTCTGGCCTCGTGGGCGGGGCCAGTCCTGGGCGTGGCCTCTGTGCCCGCGCTTGCGCCTGGACCCCCGTCCCCCGCAGCCCACCCAGGGCCCTCGGCTCACCCGGCGTGAAGAGCGCGATAGCCTTGAGGCAGCCGTACTCGGCCGAGTCCACCTGCAGGCGGCCCAGCTTGTCCACCTGCTCCTGGAAGGCGCGCACCTGGTCCATGAAGGCCACGGCGCGCTCGGCGGCCATGGGCGCGGCGTGCAGCCCGGCGGCGGCCAGCAGCGGTGCGGTGTGCAGGGGCAGCGCGGCCTGCGCGGCGTTGAGCACGAAGAGCTCGCTCCAGCTGAGGCGCAGCAGCGCCACCTGGTCGGCCACCGGCAGCTCGGGGAAGAAGGGCGCGTGGCGCGCCCACTCCACGGTGCTGAACAGCAGGCGCGCTGCCAGCTCGCACACGTTGTCGATGCCCAGCACCGCGCCGCCGCCGAAGCGCCCGGCCGCCGCCGGGTAGGGCTCGGCGCGCAGCAGCTGCGCTATCAGCTCGGACACCGGCGGCCCCGGGAACGCGTCCCCGCCCGCCGCCAGCGCCGAGCCCGGGGGGCTGCCGGCAGGGGGCGGCGCGGCTCCGGGCAGCGCGTGCGGGATGCGGCCGCGCTGCACCGCTGGGGGACGGACGGGACGGGACGGGACAGACGGGGTGGGAACGGGGAGGGGGAGGACGAGGCGGGAGAAACACGGTGGGAGGCAGAGGAAGGAAAGAGGGGGACAAGCGTCACTCAGCCCTTCCTCTGAGACAGGGCCATCCCCAGGACCCCAGACCTCACCCTGCTGAGTCCCCGACACCTTCACCCTCCCTGGCATCTGCTCACAGGGAGCAGCCGCGAAGCCCCACCTGTCAATCAGGACACTGACAAACGGGGTCTCGGAGCTGATGTCGGAGCCCAGGGGCCCGGGCACTGCGGGCAGCCCGGTTCCCAGACGAAGGACCAGTCCCCAGCCACTGCACACTGTCCATCCTCCACCCAGCCCGCCAGAGGGACACCCCAGGGGCACTTGAAGCCTTGCCCGTGACAGGAGCAGGACTCAGACCCAGCGAGCAGGTGAGTGGGAAGGGGGAAACTGAGGCAGAAGACGCTTGGCTGCAAGCCCACCTGGCCCGTGCCAGGGTGGGCGGGTGCAGAGCCAGACCTGGCCAGATGCCAGGCAGAGGCTAATGATCAAGCTTAAGGAGCTGGCTCATGAAACCGTGTGTCACTGCCGGGTGAACAACAGGTCAGCTGAACATGGCCACCAGAGGAAGGGACTTGGAGGGACCAGGAAGCGGGGCTGGGCGAGAAGCCACTTCCTGATGCTGGCAGTGCCTGTCAAATGGGCGTGCAGGCAAGGCCCCTGCTCCTTGGCCCAGGGGACCCTCTCCTCCGGGGTGCACACCTCACTGCAGCGCTCCTGGTCGCCAGCCAGGGCCTACCCTGGGGCCTTTGGCTTGCTGCCTTGAGCTGCCTGGAGCCCCACCCCAGCCCTCCCTCTGGTCCTCAGCCCACACCACGGGGCTCAAGTCCCAACCAGACTCTTGATCAGCAATCCTGGCACAAGCCTCAGCCACCTGTCTGGCTCTGTGCCTCAGTTTCCTCATCTGTAAAACACAGATGTTAATGATGATGACAGGAATTGCTGAATTAAATGAGAATCTATAAAACTTGCTCACTTTTTTGTACTACTTTGGTTTTGTTTGTTTTTGAGACAAGGTCTGGCTATGTAGCCCAGGCTGGCCCCAAACTAACAGTGACCCTCCTGCCTCAGTTTCCCCAGTGCTAGGATTACAAGCGTGTGCCACCACGCCCAGCCTTGTTCTGGTTTGGTTTTCTGAGACAGGGTCTTGCTATGTAGATCAGTCTGGGTAGGAGCCCACTGCGTGGCCCAGACTGGTCTGGAACTCGCTGCAATCCTCCTGTCTCAGCCCCCTATAAAACCTGACCTATAAAACTTGCTTAGAATAGTGCCTATCACAGGAGAAGTGCTAAGTGTGTAGTCATTCAGACCAAGAGCCACTTAATGAGCACCTACTGCATACCAGGCCTCCACTGAACTGCAGACAGGCCAGTGAACAGACAACGCAAGTCCCTTCCCTCAGGCATTGGGCATTCCGGTGAGGGCACAGGTCCAGAGCAAAGTGCATGTGACCATAAAGGGGGATGGGCAGCCTGGAGGGCTTCTCTGAGGAGGGGGTACTGGAGCTGCACTGAAGGGGCGAGAGGGCAGCTGGGCCTCTGCAGGAGGAGCAATTGGGGCCAAGGGTGCAGCCCGTGCAAAGGTCCTGTGGCTGGAATGTGCTTGGAGAGGAGTCAGGATCAGGAAAGTTGCCACCTGAGCCTGGAGATCAGAGCCCTGATCTGAGGCGTGTCGGGATTCTGATCATATGGACAAGTGCAGGCAGAGTCCAGGTGAGGTGACCGGAGCCACTTTCAAACTGACAGGGACCGAGGAGGCATTAGTGGGTTTAGGAGGAAGGTGGAGTGGCCCTCCCGGGGCCCCCGGCTTGGCGAGAAGCAGCCAGCTGCTTAGTGCGGAAGCCTGCCAGGCAGGACCCCGGACAGCCCGGACTCCCGCCTGAGGGTCTGGCCACCAGGTCACCTGGGCGGGGACAGGCAGACGGGCCTTGGCCTTTCGCCTTCATCTGGCTGGCTCCTGCCTCGGGCAAGCACGGCGCAGAGGGAGTGGGTCAGGTCAAATCTCGTATCTGGGCTCACAGAGGGACAAGGAGGTCACCGCTGTGTCTGGCTGGGGAGCCGGCGCGGGCTGGGGCCACAGGAAGTCCCAGGTGGGCCTGACACCCGTCCCTGGCATCCACAGGCGGCCGATGGGATCGGAATTGGATTCCGGGAGCCCACGCGCAAGAGGTCAGGGATGGCGGTAATGAGGTGACCAGGCCCCGGCCAGGCCCCGCCTCCTGGATTTGGCCCCTCCCCCTGGATTTGGCCCCTCCCCTCCCCGGGCTGCTCACCTTCCTTCCGCATGCCCACCCGGAAGCACTTCTTGAGGCGGCAGTACTGGCACTGGTTCCGGTGATGCTGATCGATCTGGCAGTCACGGTTGGACCTAGGGGCACACAGAAGCCAGGGTTTCCTGGGACCCAGATCCCCAACCAGGGAAGCTGCCCCTGGGAAACATGGGACTTGGGGAAGGAGTGCAGGGGCTCGGCCTGCAGGTCCCCAAAGAGGAAAGGACAACTAGGGTGGGTGTTAACGGTTGAAGAGGAGCCTGTGAGGGAGTGGATGAGCACAACAGGAAGGGCACTTTGGGACCATGTTTTGAGGGATGAGTAGGAGTTGCCCCAGCCATTTCTGGCACAGGGTGCAGTGAGAGCAAATGGTTTGAAATGCAAAACCGAGAGGACTAAACGGCTTCATTCATTTGGTCACAGTCAAGAGGGTGGAGTCGCCACTGTGAGGGTGACTGAGCAGAGGAGGGGCCGGACCAGGGATCTGGGCTTCAGGCCAAGTGCCAGGCGGGTGCAGGGTCACGGGCACTGCAGGCCCAGCACTGCTGCCTGCGCCGAGAGGGGTGGGAGGAAGGAGGGAGAAAGGGCAGGAGGGCCCTTCTGGCCCCGGGGGCCTGGCCACAAGCAGCCCCATGCGCCTGCTCCAGGTGCCCTCGGAGGCCGTGATGCCCTCTGTCCCCTGTCTTGCCGGGGACTCTACAAGACCGGGGTGCCGGCCGGGCACCAGGAGGCCACTCCTGTCCAGGGTCCAGGGGAGCCCTGCAGGCCCCAGCCAGCCCTTGGCCTGCCGTCGGCCTGTCTCCATCTGCAGGGGCCACGGGGGGCGCTGGGCAGCTGGCTCAGGAGGCTCGTGCCCTACAGCGCTGCTCGGCCGGGAAGGGCCCGGAGGCAGCAGGAACTCAGGCAGAACCAGAACAAAGCGGGGGCCAGGAGGGCAGTGAGAGGCCTCCCGGCAGCTGAGTGGAACGGCCAGGCCTGGGACAGCACCGGGGCCACAGCTCAGGGGGTCCTCCAGCCTCTGCCTTGCCTCGCCCACCGTGGAACTGGCACGGAGCTGTCTGCCGGGTATGGGGACATCGTCTCACTTGAAGAGTATGCTTGCGGCCCAGGCCAGCCTCTGCCCATGTGGGTTTGTTTGTTTTTTTGAGACAGGGTCTCTTGATGGTACCCCAGGCTGGCTGCAACTCCTAGGCTCAAGGGATGCTCCTGCCTCAGCCTCCAGAGAAGCTGGCACTGCAGGTGTGCACCTCTGCACCCGACTTCCAGCCCCATTGATCAGAGCTCCCCTGCTCACGCACAGTCCACGGTCACAGGTGTACTCCACCCTCAAAATGGGGTCCCTCAGGGTGCCCTTCCATGACCCTGGGCCACTGAGGGGAGCATCCTTTGCCCTTCCCTGCCTGGGCCCTGCTCCAGGGAAGCCCCTTGTGCTGTCCCTAGAATCCAGGCCTCACAGCCCCCGGCCCCAGTGGCCTCCAGACTGGGCCCTAGAGGCTGACATCCAGCCACCCAGGCTGTGCCAAAACCCGTGGTGGCTGCGCTGGGTCACAGAGCTGATGGTGAAGCAGCTGCCTGCCCTGAACACACCTCGTGTAGCTCCTGAGACCCCAGGGAGCAGCCTCCAGCTCCTGGAGAAGAAGGAGGCCAAAGCCTGCTGGCCCAGTTCTGGAAGGCCAGGGCACATCCCCCACACTGGGGCCCTGGGGACCCCACTAGGGGCCTCAGCCCACACAGACCCCACCTCAGCGACACCCTCTCGGCCCTAGATCCTCTGCTAAGCAAACTAGGGCAGGGCCCCTGGCCAAGCGACCCAGGGCAGGTTCCAGGGCAATCCCACACCTCGGCTGGACCCCAACCCCCTTTTCTAAGGGACCCTGCGTCCCAGGACGGGGCAGAAGAGCCAACAAGGCCGTCTTCGCTGGAGGGGTTTCCAGGCAGGGGCTCCTTCGAGGAGCACTGCCCTCCCCTCCCGTCTCAGAGCCATGGGGTCTGTGCCTAGCCCGGGTGTGTGGGGTGCGGCCAATTCCGGTGGCCCCGCCGGCCCTCCAGGGGCGTTTCCGGAGACCCAGAGCCCAGGGATGGCCCCTCAGGCAGCCCCAGCGGCCCCTCTAGCCTCTGCAGCTGCTGCGGAGCCAGGCGACTTTGGAAGTGATATTTGACCCCAAGGGCGCGCCGTATCGATCCGCGCGGCCGCAGACAATGGCCGGGACGCCGCACGGGCCAAGTTCCACGTCCGATTCCCGCCGGGTCGGGCCACCGGGTCCCGCGAGAAGGGCGGGGACGCGGCTCCCTCCTGACAGCGCCCAGCCCCGCAGCGCGCGCCAGGACCCCTCCGGGCAGGGAGCCGAGGAGGCGCTGGGCCGCGCACCGCTGCGGCGCCGGCTGTATGCGCCGGGACCGGCTCGGGGCCGGGCAGGGAGGCCAGGGCCGGCCCAAGGTGACCGCGGGCGCGGGGCTCACCGGCAGGTGTAGCTGAGGTTGCGGCGGATGCTCCGCTTGAAGAAGCTCTTGCAGCCCTCGCAGGTGAAGACCCCGTAGTGCTTGCCGCTCGACTTGTCCCCGCACACCACGCAGTCCACCTGCAGCCCCGGCCGCTCTTCGTCGCCAGGCTCCGCGTCGCTGGCCACCCCTGGGGGCGAGGCCGAGTCCTCCTCGGCCGCCCGCGGGTAGCCTCCCGCCTTGTCCACGCCGTTCGCGTCGCCGCCGGGCCCGGCCCAGCCGCCGGTCACCATGGCCATAGCCCCCCGGGCGGGCGGCGGGGCCGGGACGCCCCCTGCTCGCGCCTCCCTGCGGGCGGCGGCCCTGGCGGCCCCGGGGTGTGGGGGGCCGGGCGCGCGGCTGGGCGGGGGGCGGCACGGCTGCGCCCCCGAGAAAAGTTTTGCAGCAACTTCCTGCGGCCGGTCTGCGCGCCGGGCGGAACTGGTCGGGCCGGTTCCAGGCCAACTTTCCCACGCGCGCGCCGGGCCGGCGGGGGGGCGCGCTAGAGGCGCGGGCCAGGGGCGCCCCGAGGTCGCGCCCCGCCGCCCTGGGGCCCCGGCGGTGGCGCGCAGGCCATGGCCCGGCTGGCGCTGCGCGGGGGGCGCCCTGGGGCCTGCGGGGCCGCGGCCAGCTCAGTGGGGCCCCATCGGCGAGCGCCCTGCTCGGGGGTGGGGAAAGTTTGGCCGCAAGTTGCGCGGCCGCCAGCGGCGAGGGGGAGGGGCGGCGCCGGGTCTCCCCCGGTCCCTCCGCGCTCCCCGCGAGCCCGCGGTGGCCGCTCGGGGCCTACAGGGCCGCAGGCCGGCGCCTCCGGAGCTGCGGCCCCTCCGCCGCCGGCCTGGGCCTGCGCTCCGGCCGAGCCTCGCCCTCGCCGTGCTGCGCCGCGTCCGCGCCCGCGCCGCCGACCCCGCGCCGGCCTCGCGCTGCGGCCGGTTTGACACCGCGTTCCCTCCGCGGGGCGGGCGGGGGCCGGGGGCGGGGCGGGGGCGCGCGCTGCGGGCTGGGGGCGGGCACTGGTTGCCCCGGCGACGGCCGCCCTTATAAGGGCATGGGTGGCCGCTCGCGGCGCCCGGCGTCCCGGCCAGCGGGAGGGGCGGGGGCGGAGCGCGGGCCGCTTGCCTGACCCTCCCCCACCCCGTCCCCGCCAGCTCCGGCCTTAACCCCTGCGGGGCCGCGCCGCCCTCTGCCCTTCTCTGGCCTCTCCAACATGTCGCTCCAGGGCCCGCCTCCACCTCCGGCCGCGGCTGCAGCGCCGCTCCTCCGCCCTCCGGGCGACCCCTCTCGCCGCACTCCGGGCGGGAGCCTTTCGGGGGTCCTGTGCAGTGGGAACGTGTAGACGGGGGCGTTGCATGGGGTCACGCCCCTGCGCCGAACACGCGCGCACACCCAGGTCCCGCTCCGCTGCGCGCGGCACGCGGGATCGTGTCTGCCTCCTCTCGAAAGTCGCCGCTGCCCCCACCCCGCTCCGCCTGGCTGAACACCTGGTGCCGAGCCATCCAGGGAGAAGGGGCGCAGGCCTCTGGGGCCGGGGCGGGCGCGGTCAGGGGACTGCGGGCCTCTGGGGCGTGGCGCCGCGACCCCGAGGCGCTGGGGCGGCAGGAGAGGCCCCCTCCCCGCCAGCCCTCCCCCCCTGAGTCTCCTTTTCTTTCTGTGCCGCACGGGGAGGGCACGGCCGGCTGGACTGCAGATGTCACTCTGGGCAGCCCAGCTGCCTCCTGTCCCCGCCCCTCGGCCAGGCCCCAGCGCGTAGCGCATCTATTAGGCGCTCTCTGCATGCACGCCCGGGCTCCGGGCCTGTTAACTTTTAACCGCAGTAGAAGGCCTGGCCGAGGCGACCTTTCACCTCCGCCTTCAGGTCAGCACCAGCCAGCTCCGGCCTGCTGGGCAGCCAGCGCCCTGGTCCACACCTGCTCCTGGAGAGCCGCCCTTTTGGAGGTTACGCAACACCTAAAGGGAAACAGCACGGTGTAGCCAGCCCGGCGCACCCCTCGCAGCGCTCTGCCTGCTTTCATGAACTCCGAAAGCAGGCGCGACTCGGGGCAGTTCTGGGCAGAACTTCCCTGGGTCTCACCCAGGGGCCACAGAGCACGGTGTGTGGTTTCCTGCGAACACAGGAGCGCTGGCTCCTCATTTGGGGTGAGGACAGGGGTCCCAGCAGTGGGGCACCAGAGACGGGTATCATGGAATGATAAAAAAAACCCAAGGACTTAGGGAGGGAAGGGGACCGAAAAGGAGGGGGGGACTCAGAGGATGGAGGGAAGGACCCCGCTACTCACGGCGGACCCCAGAACCCCAGGGGCCGCCCTGCCACCCTTCTCAGTCCCGCCCCTTGACCCCTGCCCGCGGCCCCGCGGTGACATCTGACCTTGTGGCTGCCGCGGACGGGGACAAAGGGCCCGGGCCCATCTGCCGCAGGGGCGCCCGTGGGAACCGCCAGACACTGGCGCTGCGCCTGGGAACCCGCCCCGCCCCCAGGTGACCTTGGCTCCCTGGTCCCCCACGGCCACCTGGGGGACTGGGGAGTCGCGGTGGGGGAGGGAAGTTGGCTTCTCTCTGCACACCCTCACCCCCTCCCGCATAGCAGTCCGCCTCAGTTTCCCTGCTTTCTTTCAAACTGGGGCGTGGGAGGGAGACCAGGGTTAGGGGAGGACACGGCGCCCTCCTCCCGGTGCTGCCTTTGGGGCGGGAAGGAGCAGGTACCAGGCGCTGGTGGGCTCGGGGAGACTTCTGGCCAGGCCCGCGTGACTGGCCCCAGTCCACACCTGCCCAGGTGAGGCCTGAAGCCCCCGCCCCAGGCCGGGGACCAAATCTTTCTAATCCTGACTTGGGTTTCAGTTCTGGCCCGGAGGGGACAGCAGGCCTCTAATCCCAGCCCCACGCCCCGCGGCTGTGGGGCGCAAGGGTGTGGCCTATCCAGAGGACAGGCTGATCTACCTACCGCCTGCTGCTCACTGGGCAAAACCAACCCCCACGCCCTGCCGAGGAAGCCAGAGCTCGAGACTGGACTGCGTGGTCCAGGCCTGCTTTCCACCACTCACTGGGACCTCCAGTCTCACCCCAAAGCATAAGGACTTCCAAGCTTCTGCCTCTGTAGTGCCTGCCCCAGAGCCTCCTTATTTTAGCTCTACTTTTTTGTGTGTTTATCAGTGCTGGGATGGAAGCAGGACCTTCACAATTGAGCTACATCCTTGGAACTTTTTTTTTAAAGACAGGGTCTCCCAGAGTCACTAAGTTCCCCAGGACTGAGATCCTCCTGCTTGGCCTTGCAGATTGTGTGCCAACTTGTGGGGTATTTCGCTCCACCTTTAAATGCAAGTCTCTGAGTGTCTCAGGCCACTCCTCCCCTCTTGAGAGCACCCGATAACCTTTCAGGCTGTGAACCTGAACTGGCCAACCTGTCTCCCTTTGGAGCACCATCCCTTAGGGAGGAGGGAGGCCGGGGAAGCGTCGTCTTGCCCTCATGACCCCTCCCTGGCTTCTGGACCAAGACAGCTGGCACTTCAGCCCTGGCTGTGTGGCCTCACTGACCCCGGAAGTGGCCCAGCCCAGGTCCCTTGAGCATGGTCGCTTCTGACCACACCCCACTGATGAACCGGTTCATCACCACACGAGGGGCTAAGCCAAGACCCTGCCCAGCCACACCCAGCAAGCCATGGAGGAGAACCAGGCCAGCAAGCGAGTCACTCCTGCACAGTGTCACTGGAGGACACTTTATGACACCATGACACCGACTACAGCAGGGTCTCCCCCAGCAGGGGCAGCGGAGGGCACGTCCGGGGCTTCCCCAGGGCTCGGGCAGTGGCCTCCAGCCTGGCCAGCTCCTCGGCCTGCCGGGCTTCCATCTGTGCCATCTGCTTCTCCACCTTCCAGCGCTGCTCTTCCTGCTTCCGGTGGGCTCCTCGGAAGCCCAGGACCAGGGCTCTGCGGGGGACCTGGGTCAGGCTCTGTCCTCCCATACTCAGGCTGGGAGCAGCCATCCGGGGAGGACGGAACACACGGGGGAAACTGAGTGAGACCCAGGGAAGACCACCAGGAGGGGACCAGGCCCACCTGTGAGCTCTGCACAGCTCTGCGCTCAGCTCTGCACTCTGGGCCCGCCCAGCACGCCCTCGCTGGGCCACCTGCTCCAGCTGTGCCCGGAGGGACCGCAGCTGCTCCTGCAGGCCCTGGGCGCTGAGCGGGAGGGGACAGGGTCACGCCACAGCCTGCCCTGCGGCCTGTACTCCCCACCCCTCCCCCCAGCCTCGCCCAGCCCCAGCACACACCGGCTGAGGGACAAGGCCAGGTCTTGGGCCAGCTTCTCCTGGTCCCATGCTCTGCACTCCGGGCCTCCATCCATGCCACTGGCCAGGCCCTGCTGGAGGAGGAGGGAGGGGAGAGGGGGAGAGTCGTAAAGCTGGTGGCAGCCACAGCGCCTGTCCTCAGGCACATGAGGTCACCCATGTGTCTACCCCACTTCCTGGCAAGGAAAACAAACAACAGGACCCGATCCAAAGACAGTCTGGAAGGCTGCCCTCAGGAAGGGATCCTGGCTCAGGACAGCAGAAGGTCAAGGACTTATTGATTTGTTTATTTATTGGATTTTTAAGACAAGGTCTCACTATGCAGCCCAGGCTGTCCTTGAACTCACTGTGTGAGTGCACTGTGTCATCCCCAGTGCTGGGATGACAGGCATGCGTCACCATGCTGGGCTGGTCAAGGACTTTAGTATACTAAGAAGGAAGTGACCATGTTCCTGGCAGGGCCTTGGAGGTGGGAGTCATGATTCAAGGGGCCGCAGTAGGTAACCTGGATTGAGCCACATGCCTGCCAGGAGGAAGGCTGAGGCAGGAAGACTGCTGAACACAGGACTTTATGGCCAGCCTGGGCTACACAACAAGACCTTATTTTGAAAAGGAGGGCCTCAGACTTAGCTCAGTGGCACCATGCCTGCCTCACAAGCACAAAGTCCTGAGTTCGATCCCCAGTGTAAAGAAAAAGAAGAACAAGAAGCAAACATGGTGGTGCACACCACCACTTGGGAGGCTGAGGCATGAGGGTTGCAAGTTCAAGACCACCCTAGGCAATTTAGCAAGATCATGTCTCACAATAAAATATAAGAACAAAAAGGGCTGGGATGTAGCTCAGTGGTAGAGCACTTGCCTAGCAGACAGGAGGCCCTCAGTTCAGTTCCCCAGCACCCAGGAAGAAAAAAAGCTGTAAGCCACTAAAGACCTTAAACAGAAGATAGACATGATCAGACTCTGGAGAAAAGGGAAGACATTACTGGAAGGGCTGGAACCAAAATCTAGGACACAGCTGGGCAGGGTGGTGCATGCCTGTCATCCCAGCACTTGGGAGGCTGAGGCGGGAGGATCTGAGTTCAAGGCCAGCCTGGGCCATATAATGAGACCCTGTCTCAAAAAACCAACCCAAACAGGGCAGAGGATTTAGTTCAGTGGCACCGCACCTGCCTCGCAAGCATGAGGCCCTGAGTTCACTCCCTGGTACCAAAAAAAAAACCACAACAAAAACAAACCCAAACAGAAAATTAACAACAATAAAAAATAAGAATGACCCCCAAATCTCTCCTGTGCTCATGGAGGGGCTTTTGAAGGCGACAGACTCAGGCAGGAGGGCTTAAACTGACTTCTGGTTTGGAGGCGGGGCCGGGTCTGAGGAGGCGTGGCCACGGGCGTGGCCTGGAAGGGTTTCCAGCTCTCTCAGCCTCTTCGCTTCTCGCGCTACTGCTGAGCGCCCTGATGCCAGCAGCCTCCCTCCGCCGGCCCTTTCTCTGCGCCTTCCTGGCTGAAGCCAGCTGACCAAGACCCGAAAATGTGACCATAATCAACCTCTCCTCCTGTAAGGAGCGGGGTCAGGTCTTGTGTCTGTGTCTCTACAGCAAGGAAAGTGACTAAGACACAGGATCTCCCTAAATTCTCCAAGCTGGGCTCCAACTTGTGCTCCTCCTGCCTCAGCCTCCGGAGTAGCTGGGATGGCAGGCGTGCACCTCGACGCCCGTATTCGGCATGCTTCTCTCCGCGGAAGCAGAAACAAGCTAAGAGGGTCCCGCCGCCGCCAACGCTGCCCCTCGCCCTCCCGCGGGCTCACCTGGGGCCACGCCTCCTCGTCCTCACTGCTGTCGCCCGCGCTGCTGTCCCCGCTGCTGCTGTCCTCGGGCCCGAGCTGTGCCCGCTCCCAGCGCAGCTGACCCAGCAGCAGCAGCAGCGCGGGCGCCTGGGCCCGCAGGGCCGCCTCCCGTAGCTCCAGGGCCCGCTTCTCCCGCCGCGCCAGCTGCAGCTGCAGCACCAGGTCAGCCAGAGTCTCCTGAGGGGAGGAGTGGCAGAGGAGGCAACTGCTGGGGAAACTGAGGCTGCAGGCACCAGGCTATGCCAGGCAGAAACCCAGACCTTCCCCGTGACCTTGGCAGATGCCTTCTTCCCTAAAGGTCTACAGCTGTGGAAATACATTTCCTTTTTGGTTGTTTGTTTTGTTTTGTTTTTTGGTACTGGGGATCGAACTCAGGACCTTCTGCTTGGGAGCCAGGCGGCGACACCACTCAGCTAAATCCCCAGCCCTGTTTTGTTTTGTTTGAGACAGGGTCTCACTATGTAGCCCAGGCTGACCTTGAACTCACAGTGATCCTCCTGCCTCAGCCTCCCGAGTGCTAGGATCCCAGGTGTGTGTCACAATGCCTGGCCTTGAAAATGCACTTCCTAAAGGACAAATGTCTTAAACAAGGTTGAGCAGCAGCTCAGTGGAAGCTTCTGGAATTTCTCTAACTCCAGAGCTTTTTTGTGTGTGTTTATTTGGGAGCTGAGGATGGAACTCAGGGTTTCATGCATGCTAGACACACACTGTATTGCTGAGTAACACCACCAGCCCCACAATCTCAGATCTTTCATGCAGGCCTATGGGCCCAGGTTATTTCCTGACCCATGTCTTCTCATAGGAAGGGCATTCCAAAAGCCAGATTCAGAGTCCAGGGAGAAACTGAACCCCACAGAACAAACTCCTATGCATCCCTCAAAACCTCAACTCCAGTTCTCCTCTTGCCCTTGGTCCTCCAACAACATCCCTCTCAGCCTCAGCAAAGGGTTTTGCCCCTCCAGCAAAGAGTGACACGGTGACCTCAGCCCGTGTGTACCCGTGTGGCCACCAGGTCCTGCTGGATCTTTGTCTTCTCCAGCCGGGGCAGGGCTGTGCCAGGCTGGGCCTCCAGAACGGCCTGCACCAGGGTGTCCAAGTGGGGCGTGGTGGGCCTGGGTGCCAAGGTGGGGCCAGGCTCCGGGGGAAACTTCAGCAGGGCACGGTGCTCCTGGAGGTGCCAGATGTAGCCGAGGAGCTGGGTGGCCACTTCCTGTGGAGTGGGTGTGTCCACACTGCTGCCCGCAGGGCTTCGGGAGGCAGGAGGGGCTGCGTGAATGCTGTGGGCACAGCTGTGCCAACTTCACGGCTGCCACGCCATCCACTGTCTGCCTTCTGCTGGCTGGGGTGGGCCCTGCGGGGCCTGTGGTGGACCCTGTGCCACACTGACAGGCCACACACCGCAGCGACACGGGGTCTCAGGGGCCAGTCCATGGCTCCACCACTGTGCCATCGTGGTGAAACCATGCTCAGGCCAAAGCGGAAGATGCCATCCTACCAGCCTCAGCACCTCAGCTTCAGCTCACACTACCCTGTGGACACACCGCCAGCCATCCAGGGGCTGATTCTGGCATCACAGCGGCCAGCCTGAGGGCACCAGCACCACCTGGCCAGCCTCCTCACGGGGTTCTCACGGGTGGGCACCAGCACCTGTCTGCACGCCAGCCATGCGGGTCCCACCCGCATGCCCACTCCAAGGGCTGCCAACCTCATGCCTCCTCTGGCCCCGCCCTGTGCCAGGCCGCCCTGGGGACGCAGCGCCACCTCCCCCCGCCTGCAGGAGCCTGTGGGGCTGAGCTCCCTCCTGAGGACCCGCCCCTGGCTGGCACAGCTCTGGGGTCCCAGGTACCTGGGCTGCGCTGCCCCTCCGCCCGAAGCGGCCCCGTCGCGGGCCAGCAGCCTCCGCGCCTCCTCCTGGGCTGCCTGCAGGTCACCGCTGGGGGCTGTGGCGCTGGCCTCCCGCAGGGTGAGCAGGGCCCCGTAGGCCGCCTCGCAGTCCTCGCTGTGCACAGCGGGCCTCAGTGCCCAGCCCCGCCCACCGCCCAGGCTCACAGACCCCGCGAGCCCCTGGCCAGCCCGACGCCGACAGCGGCACCGACCTGTACTGCAGCGCCAGGCGCAGCGCCGTGGCCTCGGCCTCCCTGCAGCCCAGCCGCATGCTCAGCGCCTCGCAGCGGCCCTTGGCGCCCTGCAGTGCAGCCAGCAGCAGGCGGTTGAGGCCCTTGAGCTTCTCCACGCTCCTGTGGGGACAGGGACCGCTCAGCTCCGCCCCCGCTCGCGCCCAGCCCAGGGTCGGTCAGTGCGGCGCTGGGGCTCTCACCCCCGGAGCTGCTCCTCCTGCCCCTCCAGGACTCGAGGCCCGAGGGTGTGGGCGCTGGGGTGGCTGCGGAGGCGCCGGAGCAGGGGGTGAGCCGGGGAGGGGCCCTGCAGGGAGAGGTGACTCGATTTACCCAAATTATCATCCGGAGCCCAGGACTGTGAGTGGGGGTGGGCTTTCTGTACTGTTTGGTTTTGGTGGTTATGGAGATTGAACCTAGGGCCTTTGTTCATTTTTTTTTTTTATTTTCACAGAGTCTTGCTAAAATGCTAATTGGTCAGGCTGAGCTCAAACTTAAGACCTTCCTGCCTCAGCCTCCCAGAGAGCTGGGATGACAGGTGTGGACCACTGTCCCTGGGTCCCCAGCTTTTTTTTAGTTTCTTTTTTTTATGAGACAGGGTCTCACTGTGCAATTCAGACTGACCTTAAAGTCACTAGATAACCCAGGCTGGCCTCGAACTTGCAGTGATCCTCCTGCCTCAGCCTCCCAAGTTCTGGGATTGTGGACATGCGCCCCCATGCCCACCTTGTTTTTTAATTTTTATTTTGAGGGTCTCACTTAAATTGGCCAGACTGAGGTCAAACTTGTGATGCCCCTGCCTCCGCCTTCTGAGTAGCTGGGATGCCAAGCAAGCGCCACCACGCTTGGCTGACTTTGGGCTTTCTCCAACCCCAGAAGCCACTGGGCCCATGAGCAGGAGCTGAGTCTCATGTGCTGAGGCCGTCGGGACCAGGGGTTGGTACCTGTCACACTCACCCGCGGCCCCCCAGACTCCCTGGCCGCTGCAGAGCTGCTCCAGTTGCTGCCTGGGCCGCTAGCGTGGCTGCGGGAGGGAGCCGGGGTGGACTCCAGCCTCCTCAGGGAATCCTGCAGCTCCTGGACCTAGAGCAGGGACAACGGGTCACCAGCCATCTCCCAGGCAGGGCAGAGGGGTGCCAGCTGGCAGGCAGGAGCCCGGGCACTGAGCACACCCAGTCCCTCGTCCCCAGCTATGCAAGCGTTGTCTTTCCTAGCAGGAAAATGAGTCCCCTCTGGAAGGAAAATGATCCCCCTCTTTTCTTTATTTTTTTGAGAGGGGATCTCACTATGTTGCCCAGGCTGGCCTCAAACTCCTGGGCTCCTTGAGAGATCTTCCTGCCCCAGCCTCCCTCCAGGGTAGCAGGGCCTACAAGTATGCGCCACTGCTACACCTTGCAAGGGAGATTTCATTTATTTTTTTGCAGGGTGGGGGAGTTCTGGGGATGTAACCCAGGGTCTTTTGCATACTAAACACGTGCTCTATGCCAGGCACAGTGGCACACACCTGTCTTCCCAGCATTCTGGGAGGCTGAGACAGGAGGATTACAGGTCCTGGCCCAGCCTGGGCTCAGTAGTTCCGGTTGCATACAGGCTTCTCAAGAAATGACTGTCACTCCAGCCTCCTCCCGCCTCACCTCCTGTCTCAGCGTGTCGCTCTCTGCCCGCATGTGTGCCAGCGTGTCCTCCCGGGTATCCAGGGCCAGCCGCAGCCAGGCATTCTTCTCAGCCAGGTAGGCCACCTCCTGCCAGGGCCCTGGCATTCCCTCTGCCCGGCCTGCCACCTCCCCAGGCCCCGGGCCACTCAGGAGCTGTGGGCGCCAGGCAGCAGCTGCGGCCTCCAGGGAGGCCAGGGCACTCTGGAGGGTCTGGAACACATCAGGAGCCCCACACGCAGGGGAGAAAGTGCCCCCGGCCTGTGGGGCTGCCATCTCTGGGTGCTGGATGGTGTCCCCTGCGAGCAGCTGGGCCCCTTCTGGGGTGGGGGCCAGTGATCCATCCACATCCTCTGAGGCCTCTTTGCTGGCCCTGTGGAAGCCAAGCAGGAGCTGAGCCATGTGAGTGTGCAGGGGCTGGGACTCAACTCAGGGCACTGGGAAGCTGCATGTGCAGGGAGCAGGCGGAGCCATCATCCAGGAGGGGCCTGGGACTTCGGGAGCAGATAAGAGTGCACTGGAAGGACCGGGATTTAGCTCAGTGGCTCGGCTGCCTGCCTCAAAAGTGCAAGGTCCTGAGTTTGATCCCTGGTACCAAAAACAAAAACAAACAAACAAACCCAGAAGAATGCACTGGAAGCCGGGCACAGTGACACAGGCCTGTCATCCCAGCACTCTGGGAGGCTGAGCCAGGAGGGTCAGGAGCCCCAGCCCAGCCTGTGCAACTTAGGGACTTAGCAAGACCCTGTCTCAAAACAAAGAATGAGTAAGGCCGGGGATTTAGCTCAGTGGCACTGCACCTGCCTCGAAAGCGCATGCGCAAGGTCCTGAGTTCAATCCCTGGTACAAAAAAAAAAATGAATGAGAAAGGGTTAGGGATGCAGCTCAGTGTGAAGGCCCTGGGTTCCATCCCCAGTACTGGAAAAAGCAACAAGGAAGGAAAGAAGGAAGGAAGGGAGAGAAGCAAAGATGGAAGGAAGAAAGAACAGTTGGAGTCTGCAAGGTAAAGGCAGATACCTGGGACCAGGACCATACACCTGCATGTAACCCTAGCCCTGTGGGAAGCTGCATCAGGAGGGCTGCAAGTTTGGGCAATTTAGCAACTTAGTGAGATCCTGTCTCAAAATAAAAAATAAAAACAGGGGCAGAAAGGTGCCCAGGTGGAAAACACAGCCCAGGCACAGGCCTCGTGTGCCCAGCCAGGTGAGGGATGGGTAGGCACCGTGCTGGGGAGGACAGGGTAGCCATGGATGGCAAAGCTGAGAGGCAGAGCAGGGTGCAGACCCGGGCCCTTACCTGCTCCCAGGGCCCTGGCTGCCCGACTCCGCTGCAGGCCCCAGCTGCTGTGGTCCTGAGCTCCCCGGCAGTGCAGGGCCGGGCCCCGAGCTCCCGCTGGCCACCTCGCCCTCCTCGGAACTCTCGGCTACAGGGTCCAATTCACCCTGCACAAGACCCGGCCCAGCTCTGAGCCTGGCAGGCCTGAGGGCCTCAGGCCACGGCGTGCAAGGCAGAGGGACACTTACAGGCGGAGCGTGCCTGCCACGCCGGCTCCGGGGCCGAGTGGCCCTGGCGCTCATTGCTGTTGAAAACCTGCGCCCTGATCCTCCTGGGTTCCTTGCCCCTAAACACACAGCCTGCTGTCAGCTCCTGCCTTTGCTGTCCTGGGAAACGACAGCCTCAGTCTCCTCTCCTGGCGAGCGGGCACTGACTCCCCGTGGGAGGATCTTGCGTGACTACTGTGGATGCAGCACATGTGGATGCCTCCTTAGCCGGGCAGATCGCGACCCACCAAGTTTGCCCTGACCATCCCATTCTCCTCTGCCTCCTGACTTCTGGTCTCCCCTTTGTCCTCGACCTGAATGGGATGGGGACCCCGACACCACCCTCTTCTCCCCCAGGCTCCCCTGAACCCGAGGGGCTGCCCCCGGGGCAAGGCCCCTCAGCTCTCTGCACCTCTCTGTTCCTCGCTGTACTGTGGTCACTGCCTGAGCTCCCAGGTCACTGTCCGCTGCCCGCCTGGGCCTGGGCTGCCCAGGGCTGGCCGGGGAGGGGCTGGGAAACAGGAAGCCCCGGCCCGGCCACATGACTTCTTATTGTGGGACTTCTTCCTCCTCCTGGACCAAGCTTCCTCCCCTCCTCCCGTCGGCTCCTCCGCCTCCAAGCCTTGGGGTTTATTTCCCAAGAGCCAAGTGTCCCCCTGTCCCCAGTGATGATCATGGGACCCCTGTCATTTCGGTGTGCAGTCACCACTGTCCTCCACTTCGGTCACGGACGGGTCCAGACTCTAATCTCGAGCTGGCTACAGCCCTCTTTGAACATTGGTTTCCTTAGCTCTAGAATGGGGAAGAGTGTAGCATTTCCTTCCAAGTCCCAGGAGGTTGTTCTTATGCTTGCGGAGATCTCACCACTCCCCTCCTCTCCCCCGACCTCCCAGGGCTCCCTGTTGGTGTAAATTGTGCAAACCCTGGAGCTTGAGTCCTCCTGCCCCTGCATCCCCCAGAGGGGGGAAAAGCAAGGTGGTGGGGAGAGAAGTCGCACTTCTCTGGCCGGAGGAGCCCTACCAGCACGGGAACCTGCTAGAGGCCCCGCAGCCACTCCAGAGCTTTCCCGAGGCTTCAGGCCTTTGCTCAGGTGGTTCCTCCCCTGGAATGGCCTCCTGCCTGTGTTTTCATGGGAAAGTCTTCATCCTTCCATACTTTGGCAGCCCCTCTTGGCTGAGGCAGGCAGGCTTCATTGAGTCTTTCAGAAATAAACTAAGGTTCAAGCCAGGTGTGGTGGTGCACTCTGGGAGGCTGAGGCAGGAGGAGTGCAAATTCTAGCTCAACCTGGCAATTTAGGGACTTAGGGAGTCCCAGGATGAAAAATACATAAAGGTTTGTAGATGTAGCTCAGTGCGGTAGCCCTGGCTGTGTTCAATTCCTAGTACAACAAAATAAAGATTAGTGTGTTTTTTTCAGATGCTTGGGATGGAACCCAGGGCCTCATGCATGCTGGGGAAGCGCTCTACCACCGAGCCTCACCCCAGATCAGGTTTAAAGTTTTTTGGTGTATGCATAATATGTAAAATAGGGGCAGAATTAAGCAACTGGGTGGGGTCACGGGGTCGTGTCACGCCCACTTCCGCCCGCCCCCACTGAGGCACAGCCTGGCTCCGTCAATCATCAATCAGTCCTTCCTCTCCGCCTAATTTCCGCTCAACTCAGTCGCACTCGGTTTATCACATTGCGAGCTAGGCCTTCTGTTGCCCAGCACTGACCAGTGCAGTCTGATTGGGCCAGAAACATACAAACTCCGACTAATCTGAGTTTAGCCAATCATATTTCACAACTCGCTCTCAGTATAGCCTATCACATTCCAGATATCGCCCCATTCGGCCCCACCCCCGTGCAGAGTCTGGCACAATCCCAGCCTATCAGGTTCCAAGATCACTCCGGCTTCCTTCGGTTAGTCTCTCCGTAAATCCACAGCTCCGCTGAACTACATTTCCCAGGAGGTGCTGCGGCCACGTCTGCTAACTTCCGGTTGGGAAGAGGGCTGCTTCCTAGGGAGTTGGGGGTTGATTTGGGGGAAAGCTCAGGGTGCGGTGAGTGGATATTGGGTGGTGACAGCGCGCGCGGCAGGTCCCAAGCCAGGTAGCTTCTCTGGCTCCAGAGCCCCCGCTCCTTGCCCTCCCCGAGGCTGCTGCCTTCCTCCCTGGTTTCTCCCGAGGCCTGGCCTCCATCCTTACTGCTGCAGCTGCAGCTTTGTCTCCCGCGGAGGCGGGGTGGGGGCGCAAGTCGCCCAGGGCCAACTGCTCCACTGGCGCCCCGTGTCTCCCCAGGGACCTGCAGCACCCGGATCCGCGCCCCGTCGTCGTGCAGACACCCTTGGCCAGCCCATCGGCCCTGGGAAAACTCAGAGCCCATTGCTCCTTATTCGCCTAGACGGTGCCAGTTTCAGGTAACAGAACCCAGCTCAGAGTGGCGTCAGCCAGAACAGGAAGTTGGTGGATTATAGAGTGTGTGCAGGTATAGTTGGATCCGGGTGCTCAAAAGTCCATGTGCTGTTTTCTGGGTGGGCATCACTTCGGGACCTCAAGCAGGCCTTCTTTTCCCGTTTAGAGGCAAAAGTGGCTCCCAGCAGCTCTCCGTTTTTATCTTTCCGGCTCTCTAAGGAAAGTCTCTTCCCAAAGTCTGTACTGGGAGTCCCAGATCTGCCAGTCACTGCTCAGCAAGAGCCATTCACAGGGGACAGAAAGCTGGGCCGCACTCACTGGCTGAGTGACAGAGAGAGGCAGGGTGAGCCCTGCAGCAGAAGTAGGAGCTGGACTTCAGGTTGGATTGGATGCTGGGCTGATAGGTGTGAAAGGATCCACTCTCCAACTTTGCAAGCCAAGTCCTAAGGCTTAGCCCATGTTCCTGCTTTGTAACCAAATGTCTTCAAAACCTCTAAGGAGAGGATCCTGGCTTCCCCCGCCCCTGCTCCATCCAGCCAATCAGGCACCATGGAAGTGGCTGAGCCCGGAAGCCCTACAGAGGAAGAGGAAGAAGAGGAGGAGGAAGAAGAGGAGGAGGAGGAGGAGGAGCAGTCGGCTGAGCCTCGGCCTCAGACACGCTCCAATCCTGAGGGGGCTGAGGACCGGGCACTGGGGGCACAGGCCAGTGTGGGCAGCCGCAGTGAAGGGGAGGGGGAGGCGGCCAGTGTGGGTGACGGGACCCCCAACCCTCCAGGAGCTGGCCCCCAGCCCTGGCAGGTGCCGCCGTCGGCTCTTGAGGTCCAGATTCGAACACCGAGGGTCAACTGTCCGGAGAAGGTGGTAAGTAGAGGTTTCGGCCTGGCTCTCTGAGCTCCATCCCCAGCCCTTTTTATTTTTTATTTTGAGGGAGGGCCTTGCTGAGATGTTCAGGCAGGACTCTTAACTTTGATCAGCCTCCCAGAGTGCTGGAATGATGGGCATGCACCACCCCACCCGGGTCAGGAAATGTCTTTTGAACCTATAGTCCAACCTGCTCTGTCCTCCTGGCTGTGTTTCTGTGTCAGTTATTCTCTGGTTTATTCTCAGTACCTGGACTCCAGCCCAGTTTCCTTCCTTCCTTCCTTCCTTCCTTCCTTCCTTTCTTTCCTTCTTTCTTTCCTTTTCTTTCTTTCTCTCTCTCTCTTTCTTTCTTTCTTTCTTTCTTTTTTTCTTCTTTTTCTTGGTTTTTTGAGGCAAGGTCTCCCTATGTAGTTCAGGCTGGCCCTGAACTCACTATGTAGCCCAGGCAGGCCTCAAACTCATGGTGATCCTCCTGCCTCAGCTTCCCCAGTGCTGGAATGACGGGTGTGTGCCACTGCTCCAGCTCCAGTCTTCTTTCCTTTGGGCCTGTCCCATGCGTGGCGAGGCTGGGAGTTAGGGTCATCAGAGAACCTCTGGGGACAGGGATCCGGAGGAAGGGCCATTGGAGGAGTGCCAGCCGGCGTGTGACCTTGACCCCCGTTCCCTGCAGATCATCTGCCTGGATCTGTCGGAGGAGATGTCACTTCCAAAGCTGGAGTCTTTCAATGGGTGAGAACAGGTGTGGGGGTTTGAGCTCATGGCCCCGGCAGGAAGAGACCGGCCCTGCCTGGGTTCTCCCTGGCAACCCTGCCTGTTCGATGTGGCCTTGGGATGGTAAAAGGCAGGGCCAGGGTCAGCCTAGCTGAGCACAAAGCCTTGGCCGGAGCCCCTTGGCACCAGCAGCGGGGCAGGAGGCAGGGCCTGGAAGGGTCCCCAGGGGCTTCTGGGAGGTGCTGGGAGGTGACAGATGGATTATACAGTGTGTGAACATAGCTACTCTCCCAGCCACTGTCAGGCAGAGGCAGGATTGCCTAAGCCTAGGAGTTCAGAGCCAACCTGGGCAACAGAGCAAGACTTCCCTGCCTGATACCCCTGGGTCCCCCGTGGTGGGGGGAAGTCTAGCGAGGCCTCCTTGGAGACTGTGAACCCCAAGCTGGCTGGAGGGACCCTCTGGGAAGGGTGTGGACTCAGGGCAGCAGGGCCCGGTCTGTGGGCGCCTCCATGCTCCCGCCAGGGACAGGCAGTTCTGGGGCCTGAGGGGGCAAGGGCTTCTTCACCCCTCACTGTGCCTCCCCAGCTCCAAAACCAACGCCCTCAACGTCTCCCAGAAGATGATCGAGATGTTTGTGAGGACAAAGCACAAGATCGACAAGAGCCACGAGTTTGCACTGGTGGTGGTGAACGACGACACGGCCTGGGTAGGCCCGGAAGGGCCCTGGGGGGCCGGGCTCCCTGGGGACCCGGTGCACCCGCTGAGGCCTGTGCTGCCCGCAGCTGTCCGGCCTGACCTCGGATCCAAGGGAGCTGTGCAGCTGCCTGTATGACCTGGAGACGGCCACCTGCTCCACCTTCAGTATCCTTCCGCGGGCAGGGGTGGGACCCTCTTCCCTGTGGACCCAAGCTAGGCCGCAGTGATCCTGGCACTGCTGCGGGTTGGGCAGGTTACCCATCTGTGACACCGGATGCACAAAAATGCCAACACCATGGGGTTGAGCTGGGCACAGGGCCCACGCCTGTCATCCAGCAGTGAGGCAGGAGGATGGCAAGTTCCAGCCCAGCCTGACCAACAAAGCGATTTAGGGATACTCTGTCTCAAAATGAAAAAGGGGGAGGGCTGGAGATGCAGCACAGTGTTAAGGCCCTGGGTTCAACTCCTGACACTGGAAAAAATAAAAGGTGCAGGCGTGGCCCAAACTTAAAATAGGAAGTGAGCCCTGTGAACTTAAACAGTGGCAAGTGGTGTGGAGGGGGAGCAGACACGCCATGGCTTTGATGCTGGAAGGACAGCAGCCCTGTCCCTGGTGGAGGCGTCTTCGGGGGCTCCAGTCTAGGCCCCGGTTGGTTTGTTTTGGCACTGGGGATCAAACTGAGGACCTTGTGCTTGCAAGGCAGGCGCCAGAACCACTGAGTTAAAGCCCTGGGCCCATAGGCCCTGGTTTGTGATCGGTGCCGAGAGGGAGTTTGCTCAGCAAGGCCAGGCCCCCTGGAGGGTCACGGCCAGTCCCCGAGAGCCTGGGTGCCCAGCTTCAGAATCCGGGCGCCGCCTGCCTCCGCCTCCCATCCTCTGCTCGGGCCTTCTCCTTAGCGTCCGCTCCAGACCTGGAAGGACTCTTCAGCCTCATGTGAGTTATCCACCGGCAGAGACACCGGTGGGGTGCAGCTCAGTGTGAGCGCTCGCCTAGCCAGGGCGGGGTCCTGGGACCTGACCCCGACAACTAGAAAAACCAGGCAGGATAATGCCAGCCCTGGGGCGCCTCACCCACCTGCTGCGTGGAGCCACTGCACATTTATCCGTCCGCGGAGACGCGTCCCCGCTCTCCGAGGTGGCCCTGTGGCTGCCCCTCGCCTTCCACTCTCGCTGTGAGCCATACTCGGCAAGCTCGCTGTAGAGAGCTGTGTGTTAAAAGTTTTCATCCCAGCCAGGCCTGGGGCGCACGCCCGCCCTCCCAGCACTCTGGGAGGCTGAGGCAGGAGGATGGAGAGCTCCAGCCCAGGCCTGGGAGCTTAGCGACTCAGCGAGACACTGTTCAACCTAAAAAATACAAAACGAATTGGGACTGAAGCTCAGTGTGAGGGCCGAGATTCCATTCCAGAACCAAAAAACAAAATCTGGTCCCTGCTTAAGGAGCTCGGCCTGGCGGGGACCAGGTGCTACGAGGAGGTCCCTGCGGGCCAGGGGCGGGCGCCAAGGGTGGGGGTGCTGAGGGCACCCGGCGGGCAGTGAGAGGGCCGGGCCTGGGATGTGTAGGGGCCCCCATATCTGACCCCCGTGTCTCACCCGGCCACTCAGCCTGCAGAAGACGGAGCTGCCGGTGACCGAGAGCGTGCAGACGATCCCACCCCCCTACGTGGTGCGAAGCATCCTGCTGTACAGCCGCCCGCCGCGCCAGCCGCAGTTCTCGCTGACGGAGCCCATGAAGGTGGGCGGGGCCTCCCAGCTGGCCGAGAGCAAAGCGGGGGTCACAGGTGCTCGTGTGCCCACCCTTGCCCTTTCCTCTGCAGAAGATGTTCCAGTGCCCGTATTTCTTTTTCGACGTTGTTTACATCCACAATGGAGCCGAGGAGAAGGAGGAGGAACTGAGCTGGAAGGTGAGAGCTGGGGAATAGCCAGGAGCCCTGCGCCTGCGGGTTGGTTACGCGGTCCGGTTGCTCAACAACCATCTCCCGTGAGTCTCCTGTGAGCTGGTGCAGAGCTAACGTGGTGGGCGTGGTCCGGACAGCGCCGTGAGGGACTTGTCAGGTCCGGTCCCCCTCACCCAGCTACCCTGCTTCCTCCTTTTCTTCCTGCTTTGCCCTTGCCTGGCCCTCAGCCAGGAGCTGGCTCCCTCCCTTCTCCCGTCAGTGTTCCAGCCATGACCGAGCTGCGGGACCCCAAGTAGGCCACTTGTACCTGTATGAACAGGGGCAGCGGAGACCAGCTCCCACTCATACTTCAATGCCTTCATCAAAAGACCCTCCCCTGCAGTGCCTTTCCTCATCCTCAGAAAAGATCATCATGGGGCTGGAGATGAGACCTTCTGGGGTCCCGGCTCTGGGTGGGTGTTAGGATTGCTGACTGCATAAATGTTTTCTGCTTGTCAAACTCCTCCTTACCCTTCAGAACCCATCCCAGATGTCTCTCTTTGGGACAGGGATGGCCTGTCCTGGGCAAGGGCTGCCTGAACTGCCCTTTATTGTCCCCCAGGACATGTTTGCCTTCATGGGCAGCCTGGATACCAAGGGCACCAGCTACAAGTATGAGGTGCCGTTCACTGGGCCGGCCCTGGAGCTGCACAACTGCATGGCGAAGCTGCTGGCTCACCCGCTGCAGCGGCCCTGCCAGAGCCACGCGTCCTACAGCCTGCTGGAGGAGGACCAGGAGGCCGCTGAGGTGGAGGCCACTGTGTGAACCTCCCCGGCAGTCGCAGCCTCTGTGCAGCGGAGCCCTGGGTCCCCAGTGCTGGTTCTCAATCAGCGCTCTGTGGGACCCCGAGGGGTTCCCGTCGGCACCCAGGGGGCCTGAGGTGCAGGAGCCCTGGGGTGCGCACCCCACTTGTTCACTGGCCACGCCCACGCCTAGCTTGTCCGTTGTCATTTTTGTTCCCTTTGTGATTTGGGGCATCAAAATAAAAATCTGAGAGTTGCTAACCTAGGCCTTGGTGCAAGTGACAGGAAATGCATCCACCAAGCCGAAGAGGCGAGTGGCTTCCTCCAAGAGCGCAGCTGCAGGCTGAGCAGTGTCCGGGTGCCCACGGTATTGCCGCCAGGGGGCGGTGGCTGGTCCCCAAGCCCTGCCGCAGCTTTGGCGCCCAGATGTAATTGGGTCTGTGCCGTCACGTGGTCCCATGTTGAACCAATTGTGAGCTAGGTTCCTGCTGCTCTGATTGGCCAGTCCTGGGTCATTCCCCTCCCCGGGAGAAAGATTGACACTTCCTGGCAACGCTGTGGGCCTGAGAGGACGCAGCCCCCGGGAGGTCCGCTTCAGCCCCTCCCTCGACCTGAGCGGAGGTGACGAGTTCGCCAGGGAAATGCGCTCAGCTCAGACAAAACGAACACAGCTTTATTACGGAGGACCCGCTTTCCTCCGCGTGGCACTGCGTGTCGCCTCCCGAGCTGAAATATGGTCCCCGGGTGGTCAGAACTTCCCTCCCGGTTTGCAGACGACAAGTTAAGGTCCTCGAAGATATCAGCCGACAACGCAACTGACGGCTCTGATGGACTAGAAACGGGACGCAGGGCCTTTAGAAGCGGGAGGGTGCTGGGCGCCCTGGCCCCGCTGTCATCCCAGCCCTCCGGGAGGCTGAGGCAGGAGGACCGAAAGTTGTAGCCCACCCTGGGGAGCTTAAGGGTCTGTGCGCTAAGGGAGGCCATTTGGCCTTGTCCCGGCTGCCCTGAGGCCCTCTGGTCCTCCCTGTCCCCAGGGTGCGTTCCATCTCGAGTTTGGGGACGAGATAATGCCACACCCTCTGCATCCCCAGCCCAGCGCCTTATCGGCCGCCCCAGACCCTGCCTGGCCGCCGCTGCCAGGGTTGTCACCAAACCCGAGGGAATGGGGACCCTGCACGCAGTAGCCGCGCTGCGACCCGAGCCGGGGGCGGAGCGGCGCCTGCGCACTCGGCCGCCGCGGGAAGTTGGAACGAGGCAGCCCCGGGGGCCCCGCGGCGGCACGGCGAGGATATGGGCTCCGAAGCCGGGGACACGGGCACCGCGGCCGGCCTAGCCCGGCGGCTGCGGGCCGCTCTGCTCCAGGAGGAGCCGAGGTGGGCACGGGCGGGCCCATCCTGACACTTGCCGGGGTCCCCGCTGACCCCTGTCCTGGGTGCCCCCTGAACCTTGTTCCGGGGCCCCCTAAGCCTTGACTGAGTCGGGCCTGATCCTTGTCTTGGGACCCCCGAAGCCTGTTCCTGGTCCCCCTGACCCCTACCCTCGTGCAGGGAGGTGGAGGCGCTGCTCACCCATGGCGCGGACCCCAACCTGGTGCTGGAGGACGGCGCTGCCCCCCTGCACCTGGCGGCCCGGGCGCGGCGTCGGCGCGGGCTGTGCTGTCTCGGGGCGCTGCTGCGGCGCGGCGGGGACCCCAACGCCCGGTGAGCGGGGCCGCAGGAGGCTCGCGCGGGGTACAGCGGGGCGCAGGGACTGCAGGCTGGGGTGGAGGTAGGGTCTCGGGCGCGGACCAGGGACCCTGCCTGCGGTGACCTCGGCCCCCTTCCCAGCTCAGCCGAGGCGCTGACACCGCTGCACGTGGCCGCCGCCTGGGGCTGTCGCCGCGGCCTGGAACTGCTACTAAGCCACGGAGCGGACCCGGCGCTGCGGGACCAGGTGGGCCCGGGCGGGGTGGGGCGGGGCTGGGCGGGGCCGCCCCCTGCTGACCGCCCCTCGCCCTCGCAGGACGGGCTCCGCCCTCAGGACCTCGCGGAGCAGCAGGGACAAGGGGACTGCGCGCGCGTCCTGCTGGGGCTGCGCTCGCCCGGCTGCCCGGCGACGGCGACCACGGGAATCCCCGGTGAGTGCAGATGCGGGGTCTCGCTGCGCCCGATACCTGTGCTCCGGGCTGTGGCTCTGGGACTGACTCGGTCCGGTCGGTCTGTTCTTTTCTTCCTTCTTCCTTCCTTCCTTTCTACTGGGGATGAAACCCAGCTCCTTCTCACTGAGCTGCATCCCCAACCCCTTTTTATGGTTTATTTTGAGACAGGGTCTTGCTAATTAGCTAAATTGCCCAGGCAGGACTTGAATTTCCAACCCTCCTGCCTCAGCCTCCTGAGCGCTGAGATTAGAGACCTGTACCACGAAGCCTCTGGGAGGGCCTTGGCACCCCATCAGCTGCCATTTCTGACTGTGCCTTGTCCCATCCCCTTTCTGCCTCTCTCCTTGCAACACCAGTCAGTGTCTGACCTGGCTCCGCATCTGCCTCCCCTCCATTCCTCTCTGACCTCCTCTCCAGGAGACATCCTGGGGTCCCCCCGTGTGACTCTGGACTCCGGCCCCCCGCAAGCCCAGCCTGACTGTGGGGACATGGGCCTGGCCACCAGCCGGGGGGCCACCAGCCCCACTGACCCCCTGGAGGTTGCCGACGAAGATGGGGACTCGGGCAGCAGCTCCAATGAGGCCTCCTTCGTCACCGCAGAGGAAGTTTCCAGAGCAGAGGACATGGCCCTGGAGAGAAACTCTGTCTGGGCCAGATCATTGCCCCGGGCAGAGCAGGGATGCATGCAGGCAGCCCCGGGGCCCACAGGTGGCCAAGGGCCATCTGGCCAGGAGGCTGAGCTCAGCGCTCGGCTGTGGGCCATGACTCTGTCTGGGTCTCGGGCCACCTTCTTCCCACCCCTCCTGGATGCCCACAGCTGCCCCCAGGAGCCAGGCTTCTGCTCCCTGGCAGATGAGCAGCTGTCCTGTGGGGGAGACGTGGCTGCCCTCTGGCTGACAGAGGACGAGGCCAGTGCTGCAGAAGACAGGGACTGTGTCCCCACCTGCCAGCTTCCGCCAGCCCCTGCCATGCCTGGCCAACAGCTGCTGCACAGGTTCTCAGCACCAGGCGACTATCACTGCCCAGCTGCTCCTTTCCCCTGGCCAGAAGAAGCCCGGGCTGTGCTTGGTGAGTCCATCTTGGAGCCTGGAGCCCAGGACCCCAGCTTCCAGTCCACCCTCTCACCAGCTTCCCGAGTCACCGTTCCTCCAGCTCCCTGACTCTGTTTCCCCTCCCAGACCCAGACTTTTCAAAGTACAGCCCAGAACTGGCCAAGGCCCTGCGGACAGGCTGCATCCCTGATTGCCAGGCGGACGAGAACGCGCTGGCCCAGCAGTTCGAGCAGCCGAATCCCTCAAAGAGGTGGCGGGAGGGTGTGGTGAAGTCCAGCTTCACGTATCTGCTGCTGGACCCCAGGTGCCCCAGTTGGAAGGGCCAGGGTGGGAGCTGGAAGTGAGGGTTGCAGTCATATCTGCATGTGTCCGTAGGGAGGGGACGGCCTCTCTGGTCACCAGCTTCTTTATAAGAGGGGCTGGGTGTCTTGGGGAGCAGCCATCCTTTTCTGTCCCTCTAGGGTGAGGCTCGCTGGTTGTGGGCTCTGTGTTGTTGGGGTCTGTCTGTGGAGCCAACATCATTTTCTGAATTGCCCCCCTCCAGGGAGACTCAGGACCTGCCAGCCCGAGCCTTGTCACTGAGTCCAGCCCAGCGTCTTCAGACATTCGTCCGTGCCATCTTCTATGTGGGCAAGGGGACACGCTCCCGGCCCGACGTCCACCTCTGGGAGGCTCTTGGCTACCGTGGGCGGCCAGGGAGACAGGTGTGCCAACAGGGGTCAGTTTGAGGTGGGCAGGCCAGCTAGGCTGTGGGAAGCAGAGGGAAGAGGGAGTCCAGAGCGACCTCTGACCCTGCACGCCTCCCAGGCCTGCCCCAAGGTGCGCCGGATCCTGGACATCTGGGACAGTGGCCGCGGCGTGGTCTCCCTGCACTGCTTCCAGCATGTGGTGGGTGTGGAGGCTTACACACGGGAGGCCTGCCTCGTGGATGCCCTAGGTGGGTGCCTCAGCCCTCACTATTGAGCAGCTATTGAGCACCCACTCTGTACTCACATGCACATGCAGTTGGTTCCAACTGTTTGTTCCCACTCAAGGGAAAGTCGGGATGGCTTTGCCGTCACCTGCTCCTGCCGGGGAGTGCACCCTGAGGCTGGCCCTGTGACCCCATTTCCAATCTCTCCAGGAGTCCAGACGCTGACCAACCAGAAACAGGGGCACTACTACGGCCTGGCAGTGAGCTGGCCCGCGGCTCGGCGGCGGCGCTTGGGGGTGCACCTGCTGCAGCGTGCCCTGCTCATCTTCCTGGCTGAGGGCCAGCGGGAGCTGCGGCCTGAGCACATTCAGGCGCCAGGCTGAGTGCTGGGCTTGGCCGTCCAGCGTGGACAGATGTCATGGTGCTGAGAACATCCCCTCTGCGGCTGCAGATGGCGGGGTGTGCGTGTGTGCATGTGCATGTGTCAGCACCAGGGCAGACCCCCCTTTCAAACTGAGGTGGGGCTCTGTGAACATGGTACCGCTGCCAAGCTAGTGAGCTCCCCATTGTGGGAGGCAGCCAAGGGGCAAACCAGAAGGTGCTTTGCAATACTTCAGTGCTCTGGCAGTCTTTGGGGATTGTCTTTTTATTTTCATTTTTTTGAGACAGGGTCTCACTATATAGCCCAGGCTGGCCTTGAACTCACTTCGGCCCTCCTGTCTCAACCTCCTGAGTGGTGAGATTATAGGTGTGCACCTCCGTGCCTGGCTTTTGTGGACTGTCTGGGTCACTTTCCCACTGCTGGGACACAATAGCTGACACCCAAACTAAAAGGAAGAGAAGTTTATTTTGGTTCATGGGTTCAGTCCATGGTCACCTGCTCCAAGGCAGAGACAGCAGGGCAGAGGGGCCTGCAGAGGACACTCCTCACCTCATGGTGTGGGAAGCAGGAGGAGAAAAGAGGAATCAGGGACAAGAATGGACCTTCCACCTTCCAGGCCATACCACAGTGACCTCCTCCAACCAGGCCCCACCTTCTTCTTTTTTTTTTTTTTTTTGTTACCAGGGATCCAACTCGAGTCTTTGCGCTTGTGAGACAGGCAGCAGAACCACTGAGCTAAATCCCTGGCCCAGGCCCCACCTTACAGCACTTCTGGCCATGAACTCATCCATGGATGAACACACAGATGACCATGGCACCACATGATTCCCACCACACACAGGCTTTGGGGGACATTTTAGATCTTACCCATAATATGGCCCAAGTCCACTTTGGTTTTTTTGAGACTGTGTAGCTCAGGCTGCCCTTGATTCTCCTGCCTCAGCCTCTGAGTACTGGGATTATTGGAGTGCACCACCAAACCCGGTTCTGAGTCCACTTTTATACCCTAGACACAGGGGACCCACAGGCAGGCTGGCTGGGGTTTCCTTAGGTCCCCACAGGGGTCTGCCCTTCTTAAGAGCCGGGCTTACTGCCTCTGGGCTGTAGGGTGCTGGGCTGGTCTGCGTCTGCCTGGGCCTCAGTATGTACCATGGCGGAGTTTCCACCTGCTGGGGATTCCCATAGGTGGCTGGAGGGAAGCGGCTGGGCTCTGAACAGTGGTGCAGTGATAGTGCAGGCCTGGTATCCCAGCCCTGGGAGGATGAGGCAGGAGGGTCACAAGTTCAAAGGCAGCCTGGGCAACCTAGTGACTTAGTGAGATCTTATCTCAAAATAAAAGAATACAAAAAGGGCTGGGGGTGTGGCTTACTGCTGAGGTCCTGGCTAGATCTGTAGCACAAGAAAGGGAGGAAGAACAGCCTCAGAAGTGAGCCTGGGCTCCATCACTTATAGCCAAATCTAGAACCTTAATCTTGTTCTTCAGGTTTTTGGTAGTGGGGATCGAACTTGGGACCTTGCACTTGTAGGGCAGGCATGGGAACCACTGAGCTAAATCCTCGGCCCTTTTGTTCTTCAATTTGATGTGCTGAAAACTAGATCCAGGCCCTCACATGCTAAGCATGGGTTCTACCAGAGTGACGTCCCCAGCCTCTTAATGTTAGAGACAGGGTCTCACCTAATTTCCCAGGCTGGGCTCAAACTTGTGATCCCCCTGCCTCAGCCTCCCCAGTGCTGGGATAACAGGCACGTGCCAGTATGACCAGCTTGGGCTGGATGACTCTTTGCCCCAGGGACCGTCCTTGTGCATTTTGGGGAGCATAGACCTGAGGCCAGGAGCTCCCCCCTAATCCAGCGTGGCAGGCAGAGGACCCAGGCCACAGTCCCCAGGCCTGAACCCCTGGTTGAGACTGCATGTGGGCTCAAGCCAGTGGGGAAAGGGAAATTCCGAAAGGGACATACACCAGAATAATGTTCAGACACTCCAGTAACTCACTGGGGTGAGGATGCAGCAGACAGGGGGGTGCCGGGCACTCTACACAGGGCAGGGTGTACAGTGGGTGCTCGACTATTGCAGCTCTAATCCCATGCAATGGCCATGGAGCCTCAACTTCACCTGACTTCCTGTTTCTTGCCCGGGACAGGGAGCTCAGCCCTTGACAGCCTAGGTGGCATTCTGGGAACAGAGGTGATGGTGGGGTGCCTCGGGAAGCTGGCCCACGCTCCATGCTGTCAAGGTCAGCCCTGAGGTGGGCACCTGCATCAGCCCAGCCTGGAGACAAAACAGGCTGAGGCGGGGTGGGTGTGGTGAAGGCCCAGCTCTGGGGTTGCCCAGCACAAGCCGGGAGGCTCCGATTGTCACTTATGTTTATTGAGTTACAGTTGAGAGGTGCAAGTTCGGCGGTGTCGGCCCCGCCCCAGACCCTCCCCCCATGGGCAACAACAGCTTCTAGCGCCGGAGTGGGGAGGGGTGTGGGTCTCGGGCGACAGAACAGGACCCCTTTCCGAGGAGGAGGGCCCCAGGACAAGCACACGTGGCACGGAAGACAGAACGGCGGGGCTTCTGTACAAGGTCGTCCTCTGCGGGTCCAGCTACAGCCCTGGAGGACGCCGGGCTCAGGCCGGCAGCCGACCAGGGTCCTCCGGCGCATGCCCGGCCCCACGGACCTGGGGGGCGTCTCCCACCAGGCCACACCCACTGGAGGCGCGGACATGGACGCCCCCACCCAGTGCCCGCCCGCAGACCCCATTGGCTGTGGCTCTGCTCAGCTCACGGTGCCAGGCCCAGCTACTCCTCCTCTGTGGGTGTGGGCTGGGGCTCCGGCAGAGCCCTGGGTGAGGGCTCCGGCTCCCAGAGCAGGAACTCGTGCAGCAGCGTGTTCACCGTCTCGGGGCACTCCAGCATCACCATGTGGCTGCCCTCGTCGATGAGCTTTAGGAAAGCCAGCAGCAGGATCTGCAGGGACACGGGTGCTTAGGCGGGGGCGGGGCCACGCTGCGGTAGCACGCAGGAAGTGCCCCGAGCACGGGCTGGGGCTGTCTGCACTGTGAGCGACCCACTCTGATACACTGTGGGATCCGAAAAGCCTTTCCAAATAGGACAGCTCTGGGGGCACTTTCGGAGGCTGAGGGAGGCAGGATCCAAAGTCCAGGCCCGGCACAGGCGACTTAGTGAGCTAGCCAGAGCCGGAATGTAGCTCAGAGGGAAGGCTCTGAGTTAAATCCTCAGTACCAAGAAACACACAAAAACAAACACCCCCCAACAACAATCAAAGAAAACGAAACACTAGTCCTCCCAGGCATTGCCAAATGACTCCCTGGTGGCCAGCTGGGTCTCTGGAGCCACCGCAAGACTTCTCAGCCTCGGCTGCACTGACACTGGCGGCGAGGACATTTTTGCTGTGTCCTTTGCGTCCTGTGTAGGTGCCAAGCAGCACCCACGGCCTCCACCCACAGATGCCAGGAGCACCCGCTCCCATCTGGAAGTGTCTCCAGGCCTTTCCAAGGGTCCTGGGGCGGACAAAGTCGCCCTTGTTTTAAAAGCGCCAGTGCGGAGCTAGCTGAAGTGCTAAAGGCCCTGAGACCCTTTCTTCCGCGCCTCTAATCTAAATCCCTGATCCCCCTTCCCCCAGATCTATACAAGCGGTCATTGGGAAGAGGCTCTTACTGCGTGGGGACAGGGAGCCCTGCTTTACAGAGTCTGCCTTGGACTCTGGATGCGATGCTTCCATTTCCCTGGGGTCAGGACTTAATCACACCGAAAAACACACCCAGAGGCCACACCTACAACGAAGCCACGCCCACCCATGACCCAGACTCTTGTTTATATGGATGCCACACCCGCTGACGCTGTGCGGGTCTTCAGGCCACACCCACAGGCCATGATCACGCCCACATAGAAAGCCACACCCACCAAGAGGCCCCACCCACACTGAAAGTTGCGCCTCTCCCAGGACCACACCCACAGGAAAACCACGCCTCTCTGGGCCACACGAAGATAGAGGCCCGTGGCCCTGGGCCCCCAGCTTTGCGGGTGGGCGTGGCAGCTCCGGGCGCCAGCTCCTACCTCAGCCATGCGCTGGTCCTCCTCCACCGGCACAAATTTGTCGTGCATGCCGTGGACAAGCAGCACGGGTACGGTGAGCTCGGCGTGGTAGACTTCGTCACCCTCGGGCCAGTACTGGCCGCTCATCATGGCCCGCAGCACGAAGGACGACACGTTGAACGCGTTGCCCTCCTTCAGCAGCTGCTTCTCCTTGGCCCCTTGGCGCGCAAAGCCAGCCCTGGATGGGGAGACACTGCCAGCCAGGCCCAGGACCAGGCCCTGCCCCTCTGCAGCCTCCCTCCGCCCCACCCCTCCCCGCCTCGGGAGGAGCCGGTCACAGGCTCTGCACTCACTTGAGGAAGCTCCAGGCCAGGCAGGGCGACAGGCAGTGCAGGACGCACGCGGGCATGTTGAAGATGGAGCAGATGCTGGGCTCCAGGGCCGTGGGCCCGCCGCCGTTGATCATGATCACTTTGTGCACCAGGTCGGGGTACTCGTGGGCCAGGAAGGTGCAGAAGGAGACGCTGCGGAAGGGGAAGGGGTGGAGGACTGGTACCGTGCAGCCACAGGCCTTGCCCTCCCGCCCCCAGGCAGGTGGTAACTCCACCCTGGGGTCCTGCTGCGACCCTCCTATGCCCGAAAATTGTCAGATCTGTCGGATCAGGAGTTGGAGTTTTTGTTTTGTTTTGTTAAAGAGAAGATTCAGATCCAGAACCTTATTTATACGTGTATTTTTTTTTTCCAGTACTGAGGATGCTACCCTGGGGCCCTCACACGCTAGGCCAGCTCCCTACCACGGAGGAGTACCCCTAGCCATTTTTGTTTTTCATTTGGAGACAGGATCTCACTAAGTTGCCCAGGCAGGGCTCTGATTTGCAATCCTCCTGCCTCAGCCTCCAGAGTAGCTGGGATGACAGGCCTGGCCTCCACATCAGGGTTGGCTGCTTGTTTTTGTAAATAAGTTTCAGTGGAATACAGCCTTGCCTGGCTGGTTTTGTGATACAAGAACAAAGTTGCAAATTTTCAATAGAGATTCTATGGCCTGTGAACTGGAAAGTTTTACTGTTGGGTCCTTTAAGAAAATGTTTGCTCAAGCAGAAGGTCCTGAGTTTGATCCCTGGTACCAAAAAAAAAAAAATGTTTGCTAGGGCCGGGGATTTAGCTCAGTGGTGCTGCCACCTGTCTCACAAACAAACAAATGAAAGGTCTTGAGTTCCATCCCCAATACCAAAAGAAAGAAAGAAAGAAAGAAAGAAAGAAAGAAAGAAAGAAAGAAAGAAAGAAAGAAGGAAAGAAAAAAAGGGAGAAAATGTTTGCTAGCTGGCCCTGGTGGTTCACGCCTGTAATCGCAGCACTCAGGAGGCTGAGGCAGGAGGATTGCTATGAGTTCAAGGCCAGGCTGGGCTTACATAACGAGGCTCTCAAAAAAACAAAAACAAAAACAGTTTGCCACGGCTGGGGTAGAGCTCAGTGGTAGAATGGTTGCCTAGCAGGAGGGAGGTCCTAGAGTCTGTGCCCTGCACCAAAAGGAGGAGGAGCCCAAGGAGGAGGAGGAGGAGGAGGATGACACTGGGCAGCTTCCTCAAGCTCTTTGAACTCAGTCTCCACGTCCCTGGAGTGGTAACGACACCGTTAGGGCACAGGACCTGCCACAGTGGGTGCTCATTTAATGAGAGGAATCAATTCTTCATAAGCATGGACTTCTGGAGATGTCACATGAACAAATCAGAGATCTTCAGGGCAGGAGACAGAATCAGGACCTCCCACAGGAGAGGAGCGCTCTACGCAGAGCTGCAGCCCCAGTCCCAGGAGCTGAGCTGCTTCCTGGCTTCTGCCTCTTCTGGATCCTCACACAGCGTACTGCTTTTTCTTGTCTAACTGCATGGGCAACCATCCCTAAGACTGCTCAACCTGGCTGCCCAACCTACCGGACCCTTTTCCCAGTGGGACCAAGGCCACTGGCAGTTGACAGGAGCCCGGGCCTTCAGGCACAGAATTGAGGAGATCCAGTAAGCCCTTTGGCCTTGCCAGCTGCATAGATCCCGCCTAAAGCAGCAGTTCTCAGTAGCCATGAGTCTGCCCAGGAAGGGACAAATGGCTCTAGGTAGAGACGTCTGGGTGTCACGGTCCCCACTCAGGGATTCTGCAGGGCAGAGGCCAGGGATGCTACTAACCACCCTACAGCCTCACAGAAAATGCCTGCCAGGTCCCGGGTCCCAACAGTGCTGGGGAGAAAATAGTACTTGAAAACAATGTATTTTAGGGTTGGGGATTTAGCCCAATGGTTCCGTCACCTGCCTCACAAGCTCAAGGACCCGAGATCGATCCCCGGTACCAAAAAAAAAAAAAAAGAAAACAATGTATTTTAGACTGAAGGAAGGTGTCTAGTGTTCTGCAGCACAGCAGGATGAAGATCGCTCCCAATGGCCTGTTCTCTCCCCCTCTGTATACATGTACACTCACACATATTGTAAACTCTGAGACAGGGTCTCACAAGGTGCCCAGGCTGTCCTTGAACTTGCAATCCTCCTGCCTCAGTCTCCAGAGAAGGCCACCACACTTGGCTTATTTTATGACTAACTAGAAGACAGTTGTTATGAGTAACCAAAAGGGCTGGAAGACTCCAAACAGGAACCAACGCTAAGGAGATGGAAACAGGAATGAGGCTGACTCCATCACTGCTTGGTGTGCCTGTGGCATATGGTCACACTCTTGCCACCCAAGTGCACAGCCGTGACACGTCACTAGGGCTTCAGAGCCCGTGTAAGGAGGTGGGAATGGTGATCACCCCAGCGATTCTTATCTTCTTGAAGGTGTTGCTTTAAACAGTCCTCCTCCCCCTTCCCGATGCAGTGCTGGGGTGGAAGGCTGGCCTCCTGCACCCTGTCAGGTGCTTGCTCTACCTCACTGTCCTGGCTCACTGGTGCTTTCTCTCCTTTTTTTTGGTACCAGGGATCGAACTCAGGACCTTGTGCTTTCGAGGCAGGCGCCAGAACCACTGAGCTAAATCCCCAGCCCTTTTCTTGTCTTTTGAGACAGGCCCTTGCTATGTAGTCCAGGCCAGTCTCCAGTTGGCTACCCAACCCAGGCTGGCTCCTCCTGTCTCACTGCTGGCATTACAAGTGAGTGCCGCTACACTCCAATTGTTACGATGATTTTTTGAGTCAGGGTCTTGCCAAGTAGTCCCGAGAGTCTCCAACCCTATGCAGCTTGGGCTGGCCTCAAACTCACCATCCTCCTGCCTCAGCCTTCCGAGTGCCAAGGTTACAGGCGTGCACCGCTGTCGCTGTCCCAGCCCAGGTGACAGTGTCAAGGAGGGAGGCTGACTTTGGGGGCGGGAGCCCTTACCCGTAGGAGTGCCCGATGAGCACGTTGCGCTTCTTGGCGTAGCGTTTGAAGATGGCCCGCATGTCCTCAGCCAGAGCATAGAAGGTGTAGGCGGCCGCCACCTGCGGCGCGGAGCTGGCCCCATGGCCGGCCAGGTCGGGCGCCACCACCTCGTAGCCCAGGCGCACGAAGAAGTCCAGCTGCGCCTTCCAGATGGCCAGCGAGCCACCCACGCCGTGGATGAAGAACAGCACCACGTCGGCCTGTGCGCCCTTGCAGCTCGTGACGCGCCTCTCGCAGTCAATGTGAATGGTCCTCTTGGGGCGCCGCGCGCGCCGCCGCCGCCCGCCCCCCCCTCCCCCCGCGTGCGCGCGGCCCTCGGCCCCCGAGGGCTCGGCCAGCTCCACCTCGAGCGAGGCCTGGGGCTCGCAGCCGCCCTGCCCGTGCTCCAGGTTCTCCACCAGCAGCCGCCCGTTGCGGTACACGGTGATCCGGCGCTGGCAGCGCACCAGGCCTGCCCGGCCGCCCTGCGCCGTGTCCGGGGGAGACGGGGGCGAGGGCGCCGACGCGGGGCCCGCGTGCTTCACCCGCAGCACGCGGCCCGGCTTGACCTCCACGAAGGTGTAGCCGTCGCCCGACTCGACGCTCTCCAGTGGGCCCACGGCGTTGGGCGGCGAGCCCAGCAGGCAGCAGAGGAACCCCTCGGTCACCCCGGTCAGCATGGCGTGTCCTGGGGGGAGGGGAGGGCCAGCTCAGGGGCCTGGGGGCTGCAGCGGGGACCGGTGCAGCCCTGCCCACCTCTCGTCCCAGCGGGCGGCCTTCCTGGGGAGGCGATTTTATGGCAGATGTGCCCAGCCGTGGGGAGCCCCTGTACCAGTCAGGGCCTCCTACGGACAGTTTTTCATTCATTCATCGATCTTTCAGTAGCTCACTCATTCGTTCACATCATTCATTCAGTCAGATTTCATTAACTCATTCATTCGTTCATGCATTCTTTCAGTAATTCATTCATTTTCTTTAATTAATTTTCGTATCCCAAGGCTCTTCCTAGGGCTTTGTTTTGTTTTTGTTTTGTTGTTTGTTTTTTGAGTCAGGGTCTCACTATTGCAGTGAACTCACTGTGTAGCCCAGGCTGGCCTCAAACTCACAGCAATCCTCCTGCCTCAACTTCCCGAGTGCTGGGATTATAGGTGTGCACCACCAAGCCAGGCTCTCCTAGGGTATTTTAAACTGCGCCCATCCCACCCCAGGACCCTGGCTCTGAATCTGATCCTTGAAGGAGGCAGGCCCGGGGAAGGGGATGGGGACAGGACCCAGAAGGCCTTCCTTACTCCGTTCCCTAAGCCTGGAGTGAGCTGAGGCCTGGAGATGGGAAGAAGCAACTGCTCTCTGAACCCCGGACTGCGGACCAGGGATCTGGGGTTCTGCCACACGAGCCCCCAGGGCTGGTCATGAGGACGAAGGCGAGGACCTGCTGGGGTCTGTAGGGCTCCATCCCAGGCCCCCATGCCTTGCCTCGTACCCATGGCAACCGCCGGAGCTTACATAACTCCAGGGGATACCCGCGCAGGGCACCCGTATTGCCCAGGGCCTGGAGCAGGGAACAGGCCCGGCCTGGGTGCCGCCGGGAGAGGAGCGCTGGAGAGGAGACCAGCCCGCGCTGACCCTGGGTGCAGCGCGGGGTCGCAGGCCGCGCGCGCTGAGGAGCGCCACTCCAGGGCACTCCAGGCCCCCTTCCCGGGCCGCCCCAGCCTCCCGGGTGCCATCATCCCTGCTGCGCAGTCGCGGCCGCTGGGGCTCGGTGGCCTCCTAGGACCTAAGGCGGCTTTGTGGACCCCCTGCTCCGAGGTGGAGCCCCTGGGGCCCCGAAGCCCCCCTCCCGGTTTCGGTAGGCGCTCACCTCATCGACGGCCCCGGGCCCCGGGGCTGGGCGAAGGGGTCCCGGGCGCGGAAGGCAGCGTCCGCCTACGGGCGCCGTTTACATGGTGGAGCGGGGTCGGCCCAGGCGGGTCTACACTTGGCGAGCGCGGCCCCGCGGTCAGCGCAGGGACATCCCGCCGCCACCGAAGGAGCCAGCGCTTTAAGTCCCTCCCGAGGGGGCGGGGCCTCGGGCGGACGGGCGGGCAGCTCGGCTTATCGCAGCTAAGACCTGAGCTGGCCTACTTAGGCGTCCAGTCAGAGTAGGCGCTTCCATGACGGGGGCGGGCTCTGGAAGCAATAGCACCGCCCATTTTAAGGACTCACCGCTGTGGGGGGAGGGATGGGGCCTGGCACGGGGCGTAGCTGGGGTTGCAGCCAGAGGTCTGGAGGTCTCCTGGGGGGGTCCAAACCCGGTCTTTTCTCTGAAAATGGGTCTCCCGGGCCAGCCCCTGCTTCTGAGCCTCCCTGTGCTCTCCAAATGGAGCCCGCATACCCCCTTTCTCCGTATTGACTTTTTCATTCCAGAAACAGAGACCCTCAGATCTTTGCAATTTTAGGTGGGGAAACTGAGGTTCACAAAGGGGGCAGGCAGGAAGCAAGGCTGGGATTTGAACCCACGGCTGTGCTATGCTAATTCCTGGGACTGTTATTTAAGAAGAAGTCTAGAGGCTGTGGGAAGTTAGTGAATTTTACAACCAGTCGGTATCCAATGTTTGCAGATGGTGCTGGTGGCCAGCGGCAGAACCCCAGCTCTGTGGTCCCCTCTGAGGCAGGCAGACGGCCAGAAGAGCCAGGAGCAGAAGGCCCGGTACACAAATCCTTCCCCGGCCCTGTGCTGATGTGTGACCTCGGCCCAGCCCCCCTCCCTCGGTCCCTCTGCTGCTGCTTCCCTCGCGAGTGCTCGGCAGGTAAAACTCCAGCATCGCGCCTTGCACGCACCACTGCACTCGTTGCCTTGTTGGCTTTGTGATTGCGGCTGCTAAACAGGCTTCAGAGGACCAGGGGTTAAGCGCTCCTCGCTGGTGTTCAGTCCCTGGAATTTGCTGCCAGAGCTGGATTAGAGGCAGCCACCCACTCCTGCCTACTGGGGCACTCCTGAGAGACTACACAGTTTATTCACTCAGGGAAAGGCCCCAGGCTGGGCCCGCACCAAGCTGGGATATGCTGGGGACATGCTGGGGCACTTAAGGGACTCAGCCTCAGGTCTGGCTCCTGAGGACCCTAAGCGGTGGGGAGACCCAGCAGGTCAGGGTTAGTTCAGGGTTATTTCAGGGTTCAGCCGGGGCGGGGGCGAGGTTGGAAGGAGAGGACGTAAAGGGTGGCTAGGTTCCAGGCAGAGAGGAAGATGTGGCTGAAATTCTGGATGCCTGTGTAGAGAGGGCTGCCTCTCACACTGCAGGAGCCGGATATTTTTCCTGGGGGAAGAGTGAAGATCTGAGATATATATATATATATATATATATGGCCAATCTCGAAACACTCAAGATTTATAGATCGAGGAACTGAAGCTCAAAGAGGTGCAGGGACTGCTTCAAGGACATGAAGTCAGTTCAAACTCAGCCCTCCTGGGCTCCCCGCCAAGAGGCGGAGACTTGGCTGTGACCAAAGAAAGGCTGCCAACCAGCTGTGTGCCATCTGCCCGGAGCCCGCTGTGGGTGAAGAGACCAACTAGCCATTTCCTGTGTCTGCCGCCAGCTGTGCCACCGCCACCCCGGGGCACCCTCTGTCGGCGAACAGAAGGAACTACAACTCCCAGCAGACATCGGGGTGTAGTGTCCTGCTTGTACCTGTAGACGGAGTCGGCGTCGTTCGCTTGCCACCTACTGGTCGAAAGGGAAAAATACGACCCTGCCGTGGCGCGCAGGCGCAGAACTGCAGCTGCGGATACGCCCCGCGGTAACAAGGACGAACTATATATCCCAGAAGCCTTTGCTCCGCAGCAGCGGAGCCTCCGGGGTCGTGAGCGGCGCCTCCGGGGTCGTGAGCGGCGCGCACGGCTTGAGCAGCTGCGGGACATGGCTTTCTGGGCCGGGTCCATGTTGGGCCCCGCCGGTAGGTCGGCGGCGTTGCTGGGTGGCAGGTGAGTCCTCACGGGGTCTTCCCTCAAATCTGGGAATGAGGGTGGTGGCGGGGCCTGGCGCCAGCCTTTCGCAACCCACGAGACCCGACAACGCCTTGCCCGTTTGTGCGGCTCCGTCCCGGCGAGGCTCCGAGAGGTTGGACCCGCTCACACAGCGCCCCGCGCTGACCTTCCTCGGCGTCTCTTCGTCCCCACAGGCTTCGTCCCCACTGGCTCCAGCCCCGGGTGTGGCTGGGGCTTCCTGACCCGCTGCAGGTCCGCGGCAAGGCCTGCGGTAACGAGTACCAGCCGAGCAACATCAAGCGCAAGCGCAAGCATGGCTGGATCCGGCGCCTGAGCACCCCGGGCGGCGTGCTGGTCGTGCTGCGCCGCATGCTCAAGGGGCGGGTGTCGCTGAGCCACTGAGCACCGGGAGCCTCGGGCCTCCGCAGCGTGCAAGCGCGGAAGACACAGACAGGAGCGCACCTGATTGTGAGGCTGGCCTGGGGTTGGGAGGACTGGAAGTGGGGGCGTGGCAGCCACACTTGCCCCGGGTCCCCTTGGCGCGTTTGCACTGTGGAGACTTCCGTACCCACCCAGTCGTCCACGGAAGGGAACCGCGCCGCTCACCCCAGATCCCCGGCACGCAGCGTGACCGCCAGCCACCCACAGCCTTCCGCCTCCCCCAAGTTACTTGGAAGCTGATCTCAGGCATCGGATTATTTTCTGTGAATATTTCAGACTGCGTCTCCAAGATAAGGACTCTTGAAAGCATAGTCACGAATTTATCGTGTCTCCCCTAAATGATCATTAGTTTCTAAACATCATTAAATGTCTACTACATGCCCAAATCTCTATCTGTGTGTGTGTGTGTGTGTGTGTGTGTTTATTTCGGTACCGGGGATCTAATTCAGGACCTTGCGCTTGCAAGGCAAGCGTGGCGCCACTGAGCTAAATCCCCGGCCCCTTTTTTGTTTTCTAAAATATGTATTATAACTTACATATTGAGAAAGCTCGATGGGAGGTGAGGGGTCTTAGATCTTCTGCCTGTTCCCCTGGGCTGTCCCGAGGCTCCTTTGTCCTTTGTGCTCTGGCGTGGTTGGAGTAATCATATTTCGCAGCGTCCATTTAGCAGCTCATCCAGCACTTGCTATGTGTGAGGCGAGCACCCTTGTCACGAAGGGGCCATCTGTCCAGTGGGGCAAGTGAGTGGTCTTGTACCCAAGCAGTTGGAGAGTGGGACTGGGACCTGGAGGAGCCCAGACTAGGCTTTGAGAAAGATGCACTCAACGAAGGCTTTTTGGAGGAAGGGGCAGGGTCTTTGGGGAAGGGATTGGGTAGAGATCACAACACAGGTGGGTGAGGGAAGCCGGAGGGGCCTGAAACTTGGGGGCCAGGACGTCAGGCTGGATTTGTGAAGGCATGAGAGGCGTTTGAGTCTGAGGTGTCAGTACAAAGATAAATCAAGGCGGGTTAGCACACGCTTGTAATTGGGAGGCTGAAGCAGGAGCATCGCTGTGGGTTCAAAACCAGCCTGGGCAACATAGTTCAAAGCCAGTCTGAACCACATGTGAAACCCTGCCTCAAAGAGCTAAAAGAGAATGATAATTCAAGTAGCTAGTGTGTAGCCATCCACCGAAACTCAAGGTTGATTTTGGTTTTTCAGGTTTTTTGTTTTTTTTGACTGGGTCTCATTCTGCTGTTCAGGCCGGTTTTGAACTCACTATGTAGCCCAGGTTGGCCTTGAACTCACAGAGATCCTCGTGCCTCAGCCTCGCGAGCGCTGAGATTACAGGTGTGCGCCACCCATCCGGCCTGAAACCCAAGGTTGAGACCTGGGAAAGAAGGCTGAGAGTGTATTGGATCCTATCCTCATTGGACACCGTAGGAAAAGGTGCAATTAGCGCTAATAAGAGGCGGGGGGGGGGGGGTGGCGGGGCGGGGCGGGAGTTTCCCAAAATTGTGAACCACAACTTCCACAAGGCGCTGCGGAGAGGCCTCCTCCCATTTCCGGATCTCTTCCGCGGCTTGCAGGTTCCGGGCGGGGCTTTGCTTTCTTAACCGAACTTGATGGTGAAGAGAGGAGGCGTGGCGACCAATGAATGCGTGCGTAGGCGGACCTGGCCAATGGGAACGTGCAGAGGAATTCTATGTGGGGGCGAGATTAGGGCGAAGGCCAATGGGAGGGCGTGGTGGCGCCATCAGTGTGCGCTGTGCCGCGGCTGGAAGTTGCTCTGCGGCGGCTGCTGAGAAGGCGGCGGCGGTGGTGGCAGCACCTCAGTCGGCGGCGGAGGGAACAGAAGATGGTAAGGACGGCCGCGGGCCGCGCCCCCTTCCGCTAGACCACACAGTGCCGCGGGTCCACCTCCCCTCGTAGTCGCCGTGGCCCCTCCTTGCCCTGCCTGGCCCCGTCCGTCCCGACCCTGTCCCTCTCGCTGACCTATGACCTCCAACCGTCCCTTGAGCCACCTGCTGACCTCTCCCCTGCTCCTTCCCCGACCCCTGACCCCAGGTTGGCTCCCAGGCCCGGACCACACGTCCATTTCCGGGTCTCAGCTCCCCCCGGAAGTGGCTGCTGGGGTGGGGGCCCTGGAGACCCCGCCGGGGCCCTGGTCGGCGCGGCGCCCCGGGGTCTGCGGCTCTGGGCGCTCGGGAGCCCTGTCGGGGAGCTGGGGAGGGGGAGGGGGAGGGGGCTGGACGCGCGACGCGGGGCTTTGTCGCCAGAGGAAGTGCGACACTGCGAGCCCCAGGGCCGGACCCTCCCCCACCCCGAGCCTGCGGGTCCCCAGGAGGGGCCTCCTCCTCTCCATCCTGGGCCTCGCCGCTAGTAAAAGGGCCTCAGGACGGGTCTCCAGAGGCTGACGTTTAGGGAACCGGCATCGCCCAGCGCCGGGACCCGAGATCCAGCTGGGAGCCCAGGACCTGGCTGGGGACACCCCCCCCCCGCCCCCCGCCCATCCCAGGGTTGAGACTTGGTATCCCCACCTGTAGAGTGCGGTGGCACGGGGACCCCACCTCCTCGGGTGAACCCGCACAGTTGGCAGCTGGCAGGCAAGGGGAGGCCTGGTCAGGATGCCTGCAGCCCCAGCTCGTGTTCGGGTACGGCAGGGGTGGCAGGGAGGGAGACCGAATAGTGGCCCGGGTGTGTGGCCCCCAAGCCTGTTGTCCTTGGTTCATCGCCTCCACGCCTGCCTCACACCCGGGCCGGAGTGGGTCCAGAAGGCCCCATCTCCAGAACCACTCCAGTCTGTCCTTGGCTCCCACCCTGGTCCAGCGGGATCACGCCTGCCCAGACGCCTACCCAACTCCACTCTGGTCCCCTGGCCACTACCCCACTCCTCTGGCAGTCCCTGTTCATCTGGAAACAGGAGTTTTTATTTTATTTTTAGTTCTTAGTTTTTTGTGACAGGGTCTCACATAGTTCAGGCTGGCCTTGAACTCATTGTGTAGCCGAGGCTGGCCTCAATCTCCAGCAGTTCTTCTGCCTCAGCCTCCCAAGTGTTGAAATTACTGGCCTGTGCCACCACACCTGGTTACGGAACGAGGAGCTTTTATTATTTATTTATTTATTTGTTTGTTTGTTTGTTTATTATTATTTTGGAACAAGGAGCTTTTAAAGAAGGGAGTCAGATTGTAGCAGTTTCTGATTTATAGCCCTCCTGGGCTTCTGTGTAATGTAACCCTGTGGGAACCTAGCCCCTACACTTGGCTCCCAAGGTCCCTGCCCGCCTCTGTGACCTCATCACCTCCTCTGCAAGCCCCAGCCCCAGCAGCCCTGTTTGCTCCTCCGCGAACTGCAGTTCCTGCTGCCACAGGGCTTTTGCACATGCTTCTTCTCCTCTTCCCGGTGTTGTTCCTCCTGTGAGCACTTCCTTCTCCCCAGATCCCTTCCTGATTTGGGAGCCACTGTTTTTTCGCCCTGCTTTCTCGGGCCCTGTCAAGTGCTCCCTGGGGAGGAGACAACAGGAAGAAGCTCCTGGAGCCCTTGGGCTGGGCTGGTCTAGCTGAGGTTGGGCTCCTTCCTGGCCCCTGGGCCCTGCTTTGCAGCAGCTGACCAGAGGCACGCTGGGTGCTCTTTGTCACAGCTCTTCCTGTGGTGTCCCTTGTGCTGATTCCTGATCCCTGAGTAGGTAGAGGGGCAAGTGGAGCGAGCCCCGCCCGTCACCCTGTCCTCCCTGTGCCTTCAGCTGGGTGCAGGGCTAGTTAGGGAGGCTGTTGTGCACAGCAGAGGCCTCAGGGTGTGAGTGCGGGAACAGCGGGCTGGGCTGGGTAGACGGGACATTCCTGGGAGTGGCAGGAAGCTGTCGGGTGGAGCTTAGGAAGAAGCTCCAGCCTGGGGGGACTGCTGGGAGCCCCCCACTGACCACCCCTCTCACCTCCTGAGTGACAGGGTCAGGTCCTGGGGACTCAGGAAGAGCGTGTGCGTTGTGCTCCTGGCTCTGGAGTCACCTGGGCCGGCAGAAGTGGGTGGCTCTGGTGGCCTGGTGCAGCGAGGGAAGGGAGGGCATTCCCTCAGGCAGCGTCACATCCCTGTTCACTTCAGTCCAGTAGGGTTTCTTGAAGCCTGGCTGGGCTCTCGGAATGGGGAGGTGAGGGCTGGGGCCCGGCACAGAGGAGCACTGGGGCTCGGCAGGTGCGAAAAAGAAAAGAAGCGGCACATTTAAACCTGGGTTCCGGGCTACTGACCTGTCTGTCTTTGTACTGGGGACCCAGCCCGGGCCTTCATACTGAGCTACATCCCATCTTTTCTAAAAACTGTTTTTCTTTTTAATTTTGAGGCAGAGCCTCACCGAGTTGCCCAGGCTGCACTCCAGCTAGCAGTCCTCCTACCTCAGCCTCCCAGGAGTGCTGTGATCATAGGCACCACTGCCTTCTCGGCCCTGGGACGCTCCGGAAGCCCTGGGCTGTGCCCAGTAGTCCCGGGCCTGTTGGCCAGGCCTCTGTACCTCAGCTCTGGGGCTTATCACACTGGCCAGGGGTTCTAGTCCCATAGATGTTGTGACTCCGGTCTAGGTCACGGGAGCGTGGAAGAGACAAGGCCAGGAGATCCTGTGGCATGGCAGTGCAATGTGTGTGCAGGGGAGCAGTGGCAGCCTTGTCCCGGGCTGTCTGGGGACCCAGTCTGTCTGCTCCCTGCTGCTGATGTGCTGCAGGGTGACTTTATTTGCTTTATTGTATTTATTTATTTGGCTTTTTTGGAGACAGGGTCTCTCTATGTACTTCAGGCTGTCCTTGAACTTACTGTGAAGCCCTGGCTGGCCTCAGACTCATGGTGATCCTCCTGCCTCATCCTCCCGAGTGCTGGGATCCCAGGTGTGGGCCCTGTGCCTGGGTGCAGCATGACTAAACGGGTGGCCTGCTCTCTCTGAACCTCGGTTTCCCTACCTCTTGCCAGGTTCTGTGGTGACCTTCTGTGAGGTCAGGACCTGCCGGGCCGATTCGCACCTCAGGGTTGCGGAGAGAAGTGGGGAGAGGAAAGCAGGTGCCGCCCGCCATGGTGCCAGGGGAGCCTCACTTTCCACCCCCGTGTCTTCCAGGCAGACTTTTTGAAGGGATTGCCTGTCTACAACAAGAGCAACTTTAGTCGATTCCATGCCGACTCCGTGTGCAAGGCTTCGGTGAGTGTGTTGGGGTGCTGGGGGCTGGGACAGGCAGGGTGCCGCCGCGCCTCACTCCCTCCTCTCCTGCAGAACCGCCGCCCCTCCGTCTACCTGCCCACCCGGGAGTACCCGTCAGAGCAGAGTGAGTGCTGCCGCCGTCTGCCGGTCCTTCCGTCAGTGGCGGCCGGGCTCTGGGCTGGGGGCACTCGAGGGGCCCTCATCTCACAGTTGCTGGCCCTGGCCCCTGCTCTTGGGTCAGAGTGGGTGAGCCCCGGTGGCTCCGTGCCCGGATGTGCACAGACTCAGGCCCCACCCAGCAGGGAGCCGGGGGGGGGGGACCCCACCTGGAGTGGGCAGTGGGGACAGGGTCGGCTCCTGGTGTTGCTGGTGAGAAAGAGTCCTTGAGCTGGCCGCAGTGGCATCTGTCTGTCGTGCCTGCACTGTGGGAGGCTGAGGCAGGAGCATCACAAGTTACAGCCTCGCCTGGGCAACTTAGAGACTTAGTGAGGCCCAGTCTCAAAAGGAAGTAAGGCCTGGGGTGTGGCCCACACCTGAGAGGCAGGGCCTAGGCCCCGAGTTCACCCCTAGCACTGCAAAAAGGAAAGAGAAGAATCCTGGGAGCCCACAGGGTGGGATGTTGCCACAGCTGTGCACCCATGGGGCTTTTGCGCATGCTCGCCCTGAGCCCCCGCAGGAAGTGGAGAAGAGCCAGGGCCGCAGCTCTCTGCGACACAGCCCAGGGGCGGGGGCAGCCCTGCCACCTCTGCCACTTTCTCTTTCCTCCTCAGTCATTGTGACAGAAAAGACAAACATCCTCCTACGCTACCTACATCAGCAGTGGGACAAAAAGGTGAGGTGCCACAGTGTCCAGGTACTGGGAACTGAGGCGGTGCGGGCTCTGAGCAGGCCGAGGCGTGCGCTCCAGGGAGAGGAGCCTCGAGTGGGCCTGTGAGGGCAGAGTAGGAGTTCACCGGGCGCTCCAGGAGACAGGAGAGGTTCCAGGGGAGGGAGCAGCTGCTCAGTGGCCACAGTGGCCTGGTGCTGGGGAGGCTGGAGGCCGGGCTTGGCCTCTGTGACCGCGTCGTTAGGTGGGCTTTGTGGCTTTGCCCTGGGTCCTGGCTTTTCTGCTGTGCTGAGGGTAGGCCTGGCATTCTGCCCGCCCAAGATTGCAAATGCAGGCACACGAGAGATGGTGCACTCTGGGAGGCTGAGGCAGGAGCCTCACAGTTCTGCTCAGCCTGGGCAGCGTCGGGAGACCCTGCCTCATAGTAAATAAAGGGGGCTGTGGTTGTGGCTCATGCAGAGGTGCTGGGTTCCATCCCCAGCAGCGACGAGACAAAAAACCACGGTTCCCGCCTGCGGCCCTGACCCCCAGAGCCACTCTGCTGGTCGTCAGGGTTTCCGTCCTCCTTTTTCATGAACACCTGCCTGAGTTGCCCAGTGACGGGGTGGAGCTTCCAGAGCTGGGGATCAGAGCGCTTAATCGGAAGGGACCCCGAGGGACTGCACAGAAGACCCGGCTGCCTGTCCCTGGCCGCCTCGCCCTTGACTCCAGCTGCAGGGAAAGGGGATTCCTGAGGGCCCACAAAGGGAAGCGAGGCACCCCCCGCCTGGGCCGGGTGCTGTGTCCTCCGGGTGTGTGGGTCGCTGAGAGCCATGGACCTGGGAGTCCCTGCCGGGACCCTGGGCAGCCCACAGTGCCAGTGCGGGGCCGGGGGCCGCTCAGGGTCTGTCCTTCCTGACCCCAGAATGCTGCCAAGAAGAGGGACCAGGAGCAGGTGGAGCTGGAGGGCGAGAGCTCAGCACCGCCCCGCAAGGTGGCGCGGACGGACAGCCCGGACATGCACGAGGACACCTAGGCCACCCGCACCTGCCACCTGCCCTGTGTGTGAGCGCCCACCCTGCCGGCCACCCTGCCGCCCGCTCCACAGCACCTCCAACCTCATCGGAGCCGATGTATTTATTTTCTGAGTTTTTATTTATGCTGTAACACGTGTCACGCGTTGGTTAAGGGGGACTCAGACCCAGTAGTGCGATGTTGGTAGATGCTTTTAAAACAGCATTGTTCTCACCTCCCCACCCAGGCCCCTGCCCGGGACCACGTGTGTCCTCGAGTGTCCAGAGCTGGGGTCTGCAGCACCCTGGCTGGGTGGGCCAGGTGGGGACAGCCGCGCAGCCTGCCGTGTCCCCACGCAGGGCGCCGCGGCCCTCGATGTTGTTAGCGGTTTTATCATGGACTTGCGCGTGCTCCGTGTCCACCCCAATAAAGGATCTTTCCTACTCCACCTTGCGTCTTTGCTCCGCCCACCTTGGCCGTGGAGGATGGAGCCAGTGTCCGGTGTCGTCCTGCCATCGCCAAGAGGAACAAGGAGGGGGGCCAGGCCTCGGCCCCTGCACTGGTGGATTCTCCTGAGCTGCTGCGGCCCCGCATCAAGGCCGCCACCATGGCCAGCCAGCCTGCTGGGCCCACCCGTGGCCACGTCCCGAGGACTAGCCTGGCCCAGAGAGAGCGCAGGGCCCAGGACTGCCGGGCCGGGTGCACAGGGTGACCCTGTGACAGAGTGCCGAGAGGTGGGCTCAGCTGAGGCCTAGGGGGCTCTGCCAGGTCAGGGGCGGGGATTTGGGGAGCTGAGTGCTGGGGCACTGAGGGTGTGAGGGAGTCGGGTTGCAGCTGAAGAGATGGTGGGGAGGGCCCAGCAGCATCCCAGCAGTGGTGCCGGACTGGCAGGAGCACCGAGGCTCCGGGCCGTGCTCTCCAGGCACCTAGTGGGGCCTCTGCCCTGGGCGGGCAGGCTCCGTGGGCCGGGCGCATGGTGTCCCCTGATTGGTGACAGGCGGGGCCTCGGCAGGCCAGGCAGCAGCCCTCCCTCTGTCCAGGCCTCTGATCCCATCCTCCCCGTGCGGGCAGCACTTCCCATTTCCTGGGCGGCATCCGGCCTGGCCTGGCCTTCCGGGTCCTGCTGGGCCCCCTGACTGACGTCAGCCCACGCCCGCTCCCCACCTCGCAGACCTCTCGGTGCCCACCCTGGCCCTGTGCCCGTCTCCACATGGCCCCGCTGAGGTCATCCCAGTGGTCTCGTCTGACTGCTGCCCCAGGCCGGGCCACCCTGGCTCTCTCGGCGCCAGCTGGCCCTCCCGAGCCCCCACAGCACCCACCCATTGCGGTCCGAGACCCCAGGCCCGGCTCAGACTCCCCTGGTGTCCTCGTCCACTGCTCCCCTCAGGGCTGGCTCTAGAGGGGTCCTGGAGCGGCTGTGGGAAGTGCCATCTCCCAAGCCACCAGCACACTGGCGAGGACCGTGTCACCCTGCGCCAGTCCCGGCCTCTCGGCGCCTGGAGATTCCTTCCTTCCTTTGCCTAGGGTGCCGGGCCCCCTGAGGCTTCTCACCCAGTGGGGGACCAGGGCTTCCAGGAGCCCGGCCAGGCCACCCTCCCTGGGCCTCGGCCCTTGGTGCTGCTCTCACCTCCGACACTGTCGAAATAGACTTTTTATTGCATTGCTGCCGTTTTACAAAAATATGACAAAATAAATTAAAAACAAATAAACAATCACCTCTTCTGTGTGTGGGTGTCATCTATTGGTGTTGGGGCTCCTTTCATCCCCCACCCTGGTCGGGAGGAAAACGGCAGAGGGGCCACCCTGGCAGGGGCAGCCACACTGGGCAGCATGGGTTGGGGTCTGGCTGCCCGAGTTGCTGACTGCTATTGCATATGACAGGAGCAGGGGCAGCTAGTGCCAGCCACTGGGCCAGCACGCTGCCTGGGGGCTGGGGATGGGGTCTGGTGCGGGGGGCTCCGGCAGCGGTGGCAGGAGGCTGTAGAAGCTGTCATCCCCTGGCAGGGGCTGTGGCGGGAGTGCAGGCGCGGCCAGGGCGCAGGGCGGGCACTCGGCAGCAGGTGGGCCCGGGCGGGGGGCAGCAGCCTCACCCCCACAGCCCCAGGGCGGGTCCCACTGCCAGCAGCCCGCGGGTGGCGTCGGGGGCCGGGACCGTGGCGGGGGGCTCCTGCTGCAGCGGGTGCGGAGGGCAGCGGCGCCCGCGGGGCCTGGCGCTGTCCCTGCGGAGGCGAGAGGGGCCGTTCCGGGGCCATGTCGCCCCGCCGGACCCGCGGGCTCCCTCCCGGCACAGGCACAGAAAGGCCTTATTGCTTCGGATCGGGTCGATGGGCCGGTGGCCACTTCCCTGGGCATCTTTGGGGCATCCCTGCCTCGGGCCAGGGGGACCCTGAGGAAGTCCCTCTGCCTTCTGACCTATGTCCCTGTCCTGCGGAGGCCACTGGACCCCACCCTGGGCTGGGTGGTGGGCAACCTCGCAGACACCTGGGAGGCCTGCCCCTAGCAGCACAAAAGTGGCAGCAGCTGGCGTCCCTTGGGGGTCCCTGAACAGCGCCCGGGGGTTTGCATAGAGGCCTGGGGTCGGTGGGGTGAAGGGCGTCCCCTCCTGGAGCCCTGGGGCCCGAGGGGCTTTGGCATCCCTCCCGGACGGTCAGGCATGCCCACTGTCCAGGGCCACCGGCAGGCTGCACTAGGGGCTGCGACCTGGTGCCCTGCCAGAGCCCAGAGCCCGGGCCTCCTGTCCCTGAAGCCCCACTCCCTGGGCCTGGCCACCCCACCCGCCCAGGGCTGGGGCGCATTGTCCCCACCCCCGAGTTAAAGCTTGTGACCTGAGCCTTCCTCTTCGGGCTGGGGCGCTTCCCGCTCCTCAGCCAAGGCCTCGTCCACCGGCCCACTCCTGGGGGCCCGGCCACCGCCACTGCTGGGAGCTGTGTCTGGCCGGGGCTGGCTGCCTGCCCCGTTGGCCTCGGCCCGTGCCCCGCCGAAGGGGAAGAGCTTGGCTGCATAGAAGGCCTTGGGCGGGGAGTGGCTGCGCTCAGGGTCCCGCCGGGCCTCAGGCGACTTGAGGAACTTGAAGCTGAGGAAGGCAGGCAGGCGGGTGTCCCCGCCCGTGGGTGACTGGGCCGGGGTTGGCCGCGGCGTGGGGCCCGCAGCAGGGCCAGCGGGCGAGGCCGTGGCCCCAGAGGACAGGAACTTGCTCTGCAGCGGGATGATCTGCTTCAGCTTCATGACATTGTTGGGCGCCAGCAGCAGCCCGGGGCGCTTGGGCCGCTCCTGCCCGTGGCCGGCCGGCCCACTGCCCTTGGCCTTGGCAGAGGTCTTTTCAGAGGCCGCAGCGTCCAGCCCAGAGACCTCGGCCCTCGCCTCCTCCCGGCCACCAGCCTCACGCTCCCTGCGGGCGTGGTGCTCAGCGTGGCGCTGCCGTTCCTCCTCCTCCCGCCGCCGCCGCTGCTGCTGCTGGTAGCGGTGCTGGGCCTGGCGCTCGTGTCTCTGTGGACAGAGCTGGGTGTTAGGGACAGAAGAGAGAGAGGGTGCAGTGTGCGGCCAGTGGGCCACCTGGGCTCCGCAGATGTGGGGAGCTCTGAACACTCATGAGGCGTTGGCTGAACCCCTCAGCTGCTCTGGGGCTCCCACAGAAGTGGGGAGACGGAGCTCACTGTGGCACTGCAGCCCTGGCCCACGGTCGGTTTCTGGGCAAGAGGGGAAGAGATCCAGACACAGATTGGCCACCAGCTGAATCCTGGCTCCACTGCTGCTTTCTCAGAACTGGGAGGAAAACACATGTCCGCTGGCCCCAACTGTCACTGGCCGGCCACGAGCCAGGCCGCCCCGGGAGCTGGAGAGGAAGCAGACGTGGCTGGGCCTGTTTCTTAGACCTCAGCGGGCCGCCGGCTGCTGTGGCAATTGCCCAGCCTGTGGGAGGCCTAGGTTCCATCCCCAGCAGCAGAAGGAAAGATTTCAAACTCCAAGAATGAGTCTCAGGTGCCACAGCCAGGGCACACAGCGCGCTTGCCACCTGCAGCCAGTGATCAAAGGCCGGCGTGGACGGGGCAGCCCCACCTCCAGGATAGCCCTGTCTCGTGAACCCGCAGTGGAGCCCCTGGCCCCCTCTGTGGCTTTCAGAGGACGGAGGAAGAGGCTGGTGAGACCCTGTCTCAAAAACAAATATGTAAATTCTTACAAAGAGAACGTCCGTGGCTAGTCAGTACAGATGCTTGTTTCTTCCCCAGTGTTGAGGTTTGGATCCAGACCCTTCACACTGAGTTACACCCAGCCCTTTAAAATTCTCTTTTGTGGGCCGAGGATTGAGCTCAGTGGTTCCACCTCCTGGCTCGCAAGTGCAAGAACCCGAGTTCAATCCCCAGTACCAAAAAAACAAACATTTCTTTAGTTTGGAGGCAGAGTCTTGCTAAGTTGCCCAGCCAGGGTTCAGACTTGTGATCCTCCTGTCTCAGCCTCCCAGGGTGCTGGGATGACAGGCATGCGCCAGTAAGCCCTGCACACGAGTTTACGCTTCTGAAGGCCTGAAGCCTGTGGTTGGTGGACCCTTCCAAGGTGTGCAGCCAGCGCATCTGCATGTTCCCCTCATGTCAAGGGTCTGCCACCCACCGGGGATCCCTCAGGCTCAGCCTGCCCCGCCCAGCCTCGCACCTTGAAGGCCTCTCGTCGCTGGTACTCAAGTTTGGCCATCTCCTCGGCCACCCAGCCCGGGATGTCGGGGACGGCCACGTGGATGAGGTACTTGAGGAGCAGAGCGAAGTGCTGGGGGCAGACGGGAAGCTGCAGGCCCAGGCAACACCAGCCCGCCATCTGGCCACCGCCCCGGCCGCCAGCACCCACCTCCAGCACCACCACAGACACGATGGCCGCCTCTGGGCTGAGCCAGGGGAAGAGGCGCTGCAGCTGCCCGCACTGCCCAATGAGGTAGCAGTTCACCACGATGGCCAGCACGCCCATGGCCTCCATCACCTTCTGCGGGGGCAGCCGGGGCTCAGTGGGCCTGGCCGGCTCACGCTGTGCCCAAGGCCTGACCTCGGTGCCCTGACGCCTGCCCGGCCCACCTGCCACTGGCCGATGCTCTCCACACGCTGGCCGAAGGGCCGCTGCAGCCCCGTGCACAGCTTGAAGGCGTCGCTGCGGATCTCGATGAGGTTGTTGACCAGGGCGCAGAGTGCAGCCAGTGGGAAGGCGGACGAGAAGAGCACAACGTAGCCGAACTGCACAAACATCTCCTGGTAGTCCTGGAAGGTGTCCTACGGGCAGGCGGGCCAGTGGGGCGGCCTGGGCGGACCCTCCCTCCCCGTGCCCTTCCCCTGGGCCCAGCCTCCTCCAGTACCTCGTACTTCTTCATGCAGCTCTCCAGCTCCGCCTGCGTGAGCGGGGACAAGTGCTCCTCCTCAGGCGGGTCGATCCAAGACGAGCGGTGCTGCTGCTTCTGCTTCCCCGAGGGGTCGCCAGAGCCAGGCTCGGGGTCTCGGCCTCCCTTGGGGCCCTGGTCCTGGCCCTCACCCCCGGCCCGGCGGAGCAGGACAGTTGGGGGCTCATGCTCGGGGCTCCCGGGAGGCCCCTCCGCCTCCTCCTCGTCCTCGCCCAGGGTGAACACACCCGGCTCCAGCCCCTTCTCCACCATGGTGGGGCTGCCCTCCTCCAGGAGGGCCTCCGGGCTTGGGCCGGGCCGGTGCTGCCTGGCGCCCCGCTCGGCAAAGCTGACCTTCTTCAGCCGGAGCCCGCAGTCCAGGAGGCTGCCGCCCTCGCTGTCCTCCTCCTCGTCCTCCTCGTCCTCCTCGTCCTCCCGGCCCGCATCCCCTTCATCCCGCTCCTCGGCGCCCCCAGGCCCCTCCCTGAGCTCCCCGCCTTCCCCCGTGGGCCTGCTCCCCACGGCCGTCGTCTCCTCCTCCTCCTCGGGCGCCCCGCAGCCCCCACCGAGACACCTTCGGCCCCCTGCCCTGCTGCCAGCCTCGCCAGCCTGGGGTTCGGGGTGGCAGGGAGTGGGGCGCCAGAGGCTCAGGCCACCAAGCAGGGCATGCGCCAGCCCTGCCAGGGCCCGCAGGCCGAGCTCGCCACGGCACAGGCGCCCGTAGAGGTGGGGCTGCAGGACCTCGCGCACGTTCTGCAGGAACTGGTGGGTGATCAGCAGGGTGGCCAGCATCTGGGGGACGGGGAGAGGTTGCGTGGGGGCAGGGGGCCGGGACCAATGCGGGGCACCCACCCTGGATGTCCCTGGACACCAGGGCTCAGCGCTCAGCCACCGTCACTGCTACGGAGCACACACAGCCTGGCTCGAGCAGGGCCCAGGAACCTCCACCCAGGGTCTCGTGGGTACCTGCACTGGGTCCTCGCCACCCCAGCCCCGCTGCACATGCACCCCAGCACAGCCGCCGCCCGCCTGGCCAGGCCTGTGGCCTTGCCACCTGCCCATACTTTGGCCCGGGCTGAGAGCAGGAGGCCCCGGAGGGAGAGTAGGAGCAGGCGGAACCGCAGGGCCACGAGCGGGACCAGTACTGCCCGCAGCTGCCGCTCGAGGCTCTGGGACAGGGACAGGACGAGCAGGAGCTGTGGAGGGACCGACGGACAGATGGACAGACAGATGGACAGGCAGAGAGAGGACGCATGGATGGACGGACACACGGACGGATGGACAGAGAGGAGAGAAGGATGGGGGGGGGAGAGGCTGGGCAGGGAGCCCTGGAACCCCTGGGCCAGGCCCGGCCCCCCGCTGGCTGCCCCTGAGCGGGGCCTCACCTCCTTGAGACGCTCCATGTCCTTGAGGTAGAAGCCGATGTAGAAGAGGCTCAGGTACGAATTGACAAACTGGAACTATGGGCAGGAAGGGGCGGGTGTGGTCATCCCCAGTCCCAGCAGGTCCCCGGCCCCTTGCCTGCGGCAGCCACTCACCAGGACGACCTTGATGATGAGATGCTTCTCGTAGGCACTCTCTAGCCGGTAATTCTCTAGGAGCCGATGAGGGCCATGAGGGCCGGCTAGGTCTCCCAGGGCAGTAGGGACCCCGGGGGCTGTGAGGACCCCCCACCCACAGAGCATACCCATGTCATTGAGCCAGATGGCCAGCTTCTTGTAGCCCTCAGCACTCACGCTGACCAGCAGGGCCAGGACTACCTTGGGCAGGAAGCGGGCGAGGCGTGGCAGCCCCTTCACACTCAGCACCAGCTCCTGTGGGCAGGCAGGGTTGAGGCTCAGTGCACGGGCAGGCTGGGGCCGGGCCCCGAGGCCAGGGCTGGGACACAGGGGTCACCTGCAGCTGGAAGCAGCCGAGCATGAGCAGGAAGACGCAGGCAAGGCAGGCGAGGCACAGGGGCAGGCTCACTAGCAGCTGGAAGAGCAGCCGCTTCCAGGGCGGGTAATAGAACTCCTCCGCACGGGTCACCGGGCTGATGCGCCGCACACCCTGGCAGAGCGGAGCCAAGAGAGACCAGAGCGGTCAGCCCCGCTCTAGGTCCCCTTCCAGCTCTCCTAACTCAATTTCCTCCAGGACCCCTCACCTGGAGCCTTCTTTACCCTTGGAGCCCCTGCCCGGCTGCCCCCACCCCCTGCACCCTCTCCCTTCCCTGCTTCTCCACAGTCCCCGGCTGACCCTGAACTGGGGACGTGGCTCCTCCACAGCTTCCCCAGGTGAGTCTAGCGTCCCCCACTTGTACGCCAGCTCTGCACCCCTCCGTTTCCACTCTTCCAAGAACAGTGTTGACCAGATCACGTTGAAGAGAGCGAAGACCACGCAGGACACATCTCGGCTTGTCTGTGGGTGCCAGAGCAGCGGCGAGCTGTCAGGCCAGGGGCACGAGGAGGGTGCCCGCCTGCCCAGCTGCACCTGCTACCTGGTCTGCCTCTGTGAACGTGTACAGCACAGAACCGAAGACGGCTGGGTACACCATCGCTGATGTGTAGAAGCCCAGCCAGGCAAAATACATGGCAATCTTCACGCCAAAGTAGTCACAGATGTCGTCTGCTGGGAGGCAGGAGGCCCCATCACCTCTGTGCCTCTTGGGACCCTGGCCTACGCCCGCCCAGCCCCTGGCCCGAGCCACACCTAAAGGCTGGTTTTCGCACACCGCCTGTACCCAGGACTTCATGAGGCGGTTCAGGATGCGCTGCTCATGCACCGGGAACACCTGCTGGATGATCCCGCGGGCCGCCAGCTCCGGGACTGCGGGAGGACGGAACAAGTGACGCCACTCTCGCCCGCTCCCGCCCCCTGGAACCCAAGCCGGAGCTCTGTGCCCGCTCTGAAACCCTGGAGGCTCTTCCCGGGGAGGACGCCCATGTGGATGAATTTGGGAGATACAGGGGTGGTCCGGAAAGTCGGCACTTGGAGAGCCTGGCACCACGGGAAACCATATTTTAAAACCAAGGTATCTGGGCTCAGTTCGTGGCCCTGCCAGCCTAAGGAACGGCACAAAGCTGTCATCTGAAGGTGAACTTGTGTCGACTGGCTTCAGAGGGGGGAAACCAAGGCCAGGGCCTTGCCACACAGTGTGCTGGACGCTGTCCATGGTCCTGACCCATTTTATCCAGACCCGGAAAAGAACCTAGGCAGAGCCCACTTCCCGAGATAAGTTCCAACCCCTTTGCAAAGACCACGCCCCCTCAACACGCTGATTGGCCACACCCATCCACGGAGATCACACCCCTGGAACTCATCGGTTGACCACCTTTTTAGTAACCCCTAACTGGTTGGAACTGGCCCCGCCCTCCTACCCCGTCCCACCCATCTCCCCGCCTGTGATGGGAGGGTCGGCCCCGCCTCGCTCACTGATTGGCTGGTCCTCCAGGAAGCGCACGTTGTGCAAGGCCTCCCCCTGCTTGGCGCGCAGGTTCTGCAGCCAGAAGCGGATGATGCTCTGGCGCTCCTGTTTGGGACAGGGTGTGAGCTCTGTGAGCGGCTCTGGGTGCGGGGCGCCCTGGGGGCAGAAGCCGGCCCCACCTGGGAGGTGAAGAAGCGCAGCTCGCTCTCCACGTTCTCGTAGATGAAGTCCTCTTCACAGGAGAAGCCGCGGGTACCCCCGCCGAACTCGGCCTTCACGGCCTTGCGCAGGCCCAGCTCGTCGGCGCCTCGGAGCAGGCTGCGGGGAGGGCAGGGGCTCACAGGGGGCCCGGAGGGGCGCGGGGCGGCACAGGGGGCGGGCGGGGGCGGGCACTCGCCTCTCGTACGTGGCGGTGACGAAGAAGGCGTAGGCGCGCGTGCGGCGGTGGTGGCGGACTTGCACGATGAGCTCGGGGATGCCCATGCGGATGTGGTTCAGCAGCCAGAGTAGAGTGTGGTCGTCGGTCGTGTCTGCCAAGGGCACAGGCACCGATGGCTCTGGTCACAAGAGGCCCCGGGGCTTCCTCCCTCCTCCCGCTCCGATCCGGGAGGCTGAGTCAGGAGGGCCTCGGGTACCTGGGAAGGTCATGAGGACGTCGCAGTTCTCCGTGGGCACCGTCTTCATCCATGCTTTGTGGGACACGAGGTAGCGTCCCGCCTGAAGCAGCCGTTTCCCGAAGAGCTTGTCTGGGGGAGGGGGGCGGTGTGGCGGGCTGGTCAGGCCACCCGGGGCCACCAACAGCCGGACGCTGCCTGGGCCTCGGCCCCCGGCTCCCCAGGACTCTGCCTGACACTCGAGGCCCGCCGCGCTGGCTGGGCTTGTTTTCCTCTCCTCGTCCTTGCCAGGCCCAGCCCTCCCCGTCCGCCCTTACACATCTTACTCATGCTCAGGCCCAGCTCCGCCTCCAAGCCCACACTCGCCGGGCGCGCACGAGCAGCCTGGAATCAGGGCGCAGCCTTTACCCCATTAACAGGTGGGGAAACTGAGGTTCCGAGCCTCGAAGCCACGCGCCCAAGGTCACGCAGCCAAGCTGGGGCTCGAACCCGCGCCGACAGGACTCTGCGCTCCACGGAGAGCCCGGCGCGTCCCTGCCCGCGACCCCGAGCCCAGATGGCCCGGGCCCGGAGGGGCGTGACCGGGCCGGGCTGGGCCGGGACCCCCCACCCGCCGCAGGTCCCCACAGCCCCGAGGAGCCGCGGGTCCGGGGCCGAACCAGGCCGGACGGCCGCCTGGCCGCGCCCCCTGCCTCCTGGCGCGGTCGCACAGTCGCACACATACCCAGCACTCCGGACGCGGGGGCCGAGGGCTCGCCCTCCGGCGGGGGTCGCTTGCCCCGCTCCCCGTACAGGTCAGCGCCCCCGGCGCCCGAGGCGGGCTCCGCCATGGCGAGCTGGGTCAGGGGCTGCGCGCGGCCCGGGCGCCGGGGGGCTGCAGGCGCGTGGGGCCGAGAGCGGAGGAGACAAAGGCCGCGCCCGCCCGCGCCGCTTCGACCCCGCGCCGGGCTCTGCTTCTCGTCCCCGCCCGCGTCGAGCCGGCTCCCTCTCTGCCGGCCCGTCACTCTGGTTCTCATCCGCCCGCCCGCCTGCCTGCCTGGACACACTGGTTCTCGGGCCCGCCCGCGTGGTTCTCTGGGCTTCATTGTTGCCCGCCCACTCTGATCTCTGGTGCTCGTCCCCGCCCGCACCAAGGTGGATTCTTCAACTGGTCCCAACCTATGTAACTTCTAGACTCCGCCCTGAGCCTCGGTTTCCCCGTCTGCAAACTATAGACTCTGATTGTTTGGCTGCGGCAGGACGTGGAAGGGACGGGCCTGGTCGGGGAGATTCTGGGAATAACTCACCCACGCCAGCAGGAATGGGGTCACTGGTGGCAGCGGGCTGGCCCCAAGGCTACTTACTGCACTCCCCACTCGAAGGGTAGGACCTCAAGCCCTCACTCTTATTCCCAGCAGGACCTAAATAAAAACACTTCTAGTTAGATGCACACTTCAGATAAACAAAGATGCATTTGGTTTGTTTTGGGTTTTTTTGTGGCACTGGGGATTGAACCCGAGGTCCTCACACCGAGCTACATCCCCAGCCCTTATTTATTTACTTTTGCTTGTCTTATTTTTTATTTTGAGACGAGGTTTCGTTAAGTCCCCACTGCATTAGACTGGGAGCTTGGTGAAGGCCCAGCCTCGAGGCGGAGCAGAGTACACGCTGGGTGTATCCCTGTCGCAGACGGAATCACCGGAATCACCGGAAAGAACGGATGAAAGGATGTCGTCGTGGGTTCCTATTCTGCGGACCACAAAGTCGAGCAGGGCGGGATGAGAACCCTAGTCCGGCCCCCGTTGTTCCCCAGGCGCAGGAGGCCCGCCCGCCCGCCCGGGCTGGCTGAGAACCAGAGGATCTCGGCCAGGCTCCCAAGGCCTCGCCCCCACGCCTGGAATTCTCCGATCAGCGATTTCTCCGGCTCGCCCCTGTCCCGAGTTAACCCGAAAGCGATCCCGGGCTCGGGGGGCCGGGTGGGGGTGGGGGGCTGCGCGGGGCCCCGGCGCGGCGTCCTGGAGGCGGCGGCTGGGTGAGGGCCTGGAGGAGGACTCGAACGGGGAGAGGCAGTCGGGGCTCAGGGGAGGCAAGCCGAGAGCTTCCTGAAAGTTTGGGCAGGATTTTCTCTGGGCCAGGGCCCAGGCTCCCCGGGACTCATCCCCAGCCCTTTCTAGTTTTTGAGACAGGGCTTGAACCAGAGATCCTCCTACTTCAGGCTCCCAGAGTACTGAGATGTGGCCCCTTTCTTGGACTGGGAAACTGAGCGCACCTGTTTTCGCCACCACGCCTAAGGCTACGAACTAGCCAGGTGGACACAGGACTCGAAACGTAGCCTCGCGGTGACTACCAGTGAGCTAAGCCCTGTCCTCTCCCCCAGTCTCGGATCCCTGCTGCGCTAGGGCCCTAACTGTTCCGTCCCCTGTTGCCGCGGGAGCAGTCATCGCGCCGCACCCATAGGAATAAAGGGCTTCAACCTGTGGGCGGGACATATCATAAGTAGCCCAATGGAAGATGAGCGCGTTTCGCCAGTCGTCCGCAGGGTGGGCGGGGCCTGGTGCCTGTAGTTGAAGTCGCGGAGGAAGGTCGGGCAGGCGGAGAGCGAGAGGTTAAGTCCATGTGGCGGGAGCTGCGGACCCTGGCGGCCTGGGGGCCTCGCAGGTGGTGTGACAGGGTGGGGGGTTGCTGGGGCTCCTTCGGTGCTGGGGCTCGAAGCCCTGCCGCGTCCTTCCCGGCCCGGTCCCCGCCCCGCCGTGCCGACGCCCCTCTCTCCTGCCCAGCCTGTGCACGGCCCCCGGGGCCACCATCTTCGCGCTGAGCTCGGGCCGCGGCCGCTGCGGCGTCGCAGTGATCCGGACCAGCGGCCCCGCCAGCCGCCAGGCGCTGCGGAGCCTGACCGCACCCCGCGCCCTGCCCCTCGCGCGCCGCGCCAGCCTGCGCCTGCTGTGCGACCCGCGCTCGGGCGCCCCGCTGGACCGCGCGCTGGTGCTCTGGCTCCCAGGTAGGTCGCCCCGCCCCTGCCCCTGCCCGCCCGCCCGCCCACGCTCCGTCCTGCACTGACCACGCCCCCACGCACGCCAGGGCCGCAGAGCTTCACGGGCGAGGACTGCACTGAGTTCCACGTGCACGGAGGCCCCGCTGTGGTGAGCGGCGTCCTGCAGGCCCTGGGTAGGTGACGGCGGCCCCAGGTCCGAGGTGGGCAGGGCGCGGTGCCCAGGGGCGCAGGGCCCGGGGACCCAGGACCCCGGCTCCCCGCAGGCGGCGTCCCAGGGCTTCGGCCGGCTGAGGCCGGCGAGTTCACCAGGCGCGCCTTCGCCCACGGGAAGCTGAGCCTGCCCGAGGTGGAGGGGCTGGCGGACCTGATCCACGCGGAGACGGAGGCCCAGCGGCGCCAGGCCCTGCGGCAGCTGGACGGGGAGCTCGGCCACCTGTGCCGCAGCTGGGCCGAGACACTCACCAAGGCAGGTGCCCCAGGGGCCATGCCGGGGCGGGCGCTCCTCCCCACCGGCCCTCATGGATTGGTCCAGTAAAGATGCCAGGGTGGACCCGGGGGGCAGCTGGGGGCGGTGAGTGCTCACCTCGCCGCTCCCACGCCCAGGCCCTGGCCTATGTGGAGGCCTACATCGACTTCTCGGAGGACGACAGCCTAGAGGAGGGCGTCCTGGAGCAAGGTGGGCCCGCCCGGGCGGGAGCCGACAGCAGCTGGCATCGAAGCCCCCAAGGGCCCTGACCCCCTGCCCTCTGCCCGCAGCTGACCGAGAGGTGCGGGCGCTGGAGGTGGCCCTGGTCTCGCACCTGCAGGACGCCAGGCGGGGGCAGAGGCTCCGCTCGGGGGCGCACGTGGTGGTCACCGGGCCCCCGAACGCCGGCAAGAGCAGCCTGGTGAACCTGCTCAGTAGGTGGGGCGGATGGGCGGGGCGGGAGGTCTGAGGCACTCGGGTGGGTCCGTGGAAAAGGCCCGCAGAGGACAGCTCTGCCCAACAAGGGGAGGAGCCTGCAGCAGTAGTTCTGCGGCCTCAGCCAGCCCCTTCCTCGTCCCCCCAGGCCGGAAGCCCGTGTCTATCGTGTCCCCGGAGCCCGGAACCACCCGTGACGTGCTGGAGACTCCTGTGGACTTGGCTGGGTTCCCCGCACTGCTGAGTGACACAGCGGGGCTGCGGGAGGGCGTGGGGCCCGTGGAACAGGAGGGTGTGCGGCGAGCCCGGGAGAGGTGAGTTCGTCCGTGCCTGCGCACCCTGCTGCGTTTACTTTCCGTGCTTCCGATTCAGGAAGGGGCAGCCAGCCTCCCTCAAGTGGGCGACCTCAACCTGGCCTCACTTTCTCGCAGGCCTCCCCTCCGGCCCAGGCTCGGCCCCGCCCCCTCGGCCGGCTCCGCCCCTTCACCCTCGGCCCCGCCCCCTGGTCCCTGGCACCCCCTGGTTCTCTCTCCAACCCAGGCTGGAGCAGGCTGACCTGGTTGTGGCCGTGCTGGACGCCTCTGACCTGGCCTCCCCATCCTCACGTGACTTCCTGGACACGATTGTGGCCCCCCTGGCACACCCAGACCCCAGCGGGAGCAGCCCGCGCCTGCTGCTGGTGCTGAACAAATCTGACCTGCTGCCAGCCGAGGGTCCACACCCCCAGCCCGGGCCGCACCCCCACCTGCTGCTGTCCTGCCTGACTGGGGCGGGGCTGGATGGGCTGCTGGGGGTCCTGAAGAAGGAGCTGGCTGTCGTGTGAGTCCCACCTGCCTCCAGCCTGTGTCGGTCCTACATGGAACAAACTCTCCCACTATTTACTCGCTGAATATTGGGGACCGAGCCCCAGTCATTAATTTGCCAAGGCTGAGGTGGAACTTTCGAGATCCTCCTGCCTCGGCCTCCCCAAGTGCGGGGATTTATAGGTGTGCAGTGCCATACCTGGCCTAACCTTGCCCACTTTGAAAGGTATCCGCAGATCCAGAGGGACCACTCTCGTCCCTTCCAGGTGCGGGGACCCGAGCACAGGCCCACCACTCCTGACGAGGGCTCGGCATCACCACCACCTGCAGCGCTGCCTGGATTCGCTGGGCCACTACAAGGGGGCGGCAGACCTGGCCCTGGCGGCGGAGGCCCTGCGCACCGCCCGGAGACACCTGACCCAGCTCACCGGGGGAGGGGGCAGCAAGGAGATCCTAGATGTCATCTTTCAGGACTTCTGTGTGGGCAAGTGAGGGGGGCCCCATCGACCCAGCACCCGGGACCCCACTCAGCAGGCAGCCTGACCAGGGACCCTCTGGGGCCACTGGGCCAACTCGGGTTCCCGTGGATGCTAGGAGCCGGTGCCAGTGAGAGGAGGCTTAGGGAGACTGGAAGATCTCAGGTCTGCCTGCTTTGGGATCTGGGTCTTGCTAAAAATCCCCCCCAGACTGGCCCTCAGCTTGAGAGCCTCCTGCCTCAGCCTCAAGTAGCTGGGATCCCAGGAGTCACCACACTCAGGCAGGATCTGTTTCAGAGGTTTTGTGTTTGATTTTGGGTTTTTTCGGTGCTGGGGATGGAACTCACAGTCACTTTTCTGCTCACTGAGCATTTACCACTGAGCCCGATCCCAGCCTCACAGTGTTTTGTTTTGTTTTGCAAATCCCAAAGGAGTGGGAAGGTTCAGGTGACCCAGAAATGCTGCACCTCAGGGCCTCCCAGGCCACCTCTCCCGGCCCTGGCTGAACGCATGCATTTCCAACTCTTCTCTGAGTCTTTGTGTCCTTGTGCGCCTGTCAGTTGAATATGTGGCTTTGTTTTGGGATTTTCTGTTTTGGAGACAGGGTCTCTCTACATAGCCCTGGCTGGGCTCCCAGCGATCCCCCTGCCTCAGCCTTCGGAGTGCTGGGATTACAGGCGTGCACCATCAAGGTCCTGTCATTCACAGATGATTTTTTTTCTTTTTTGGGTACGGGGATCGAACTTGGGACCTTGCACTTTCGAGGCAGGCGTCGGAATCACTGAGCTAAATCCTCGGCCCTCCCCTATCTTAGAAAACAAAAAATAAAGTTTTTGGGTTTTTTTTTTTGTACCAGGGATTGAACTCGGGACCTTGCGCTTGCGAGGCAGGCGGCGGAACCACTGAGCTAAATCCCGGGCCCAAAATAAAGTATTTTTAAAAACAGGCGAATGGAGGTGTCCACTGGCAGGCAGCTCCTCCAAAGATTGCTGGGAGCGCGATGCGGTTGTGAGTGGCCAGCAGAGGGCGCCATGGCCTAAGGAAGGCCGCGCTCGGGCAGATCCTGCCTTTCCTGGGCTCAGGCGAGTTTGCCTCTCATCCCAACTACTCTGCTCAGGAGGCTGAGGCAGTAGAATCACGGGGTTTGAGCCCAGCCTCAGCTATTTAGGAAGACTCTAAAATAAAAAGGGCTGGAGGTGGTGAGCCGTTGCCTAGCACCCTCGAGACCTTGGGTTCTACACCCTGCGCTGCAAACATAAAGCCACGTGGTTGCTCGGAGGCTGTTTATTCCTGCCAGCCTAGTTACCCATGGGTGTAATCCCAGCACTCCAGAGGCTGAGGCAGGAGGATCGCTGAGTGTTTGAGGCTGGCCTAGGTTACATAGTGAGACCTTGTCTCAAAAAACGAACAGGGACTGAGGGATTTAGCTCAGTGGCACCGTGCCTACCTGGCAAGAGCAAGGTCCTGAGTTCGATTCCCTTACCAGAAAAAAAACACAACAAAAACACTCCCACCATATACTCTTGGAAGACTGGCCTTCACCTGGTGGCAGTATACAAGTGGCTAGCTCCCCTGAGGAACAGAAACAGGCTCAGCACGCCTGTCACCCCTGATGAGGCAAGGGGAGAACTTGGAACCCATCCTGGCTCACTACTGAGCCTCACTCCAGCCCGGTTTTTTTTAGAGCCTTGCTAAATGTCTCAGGCTGGGCTCAAACCCCAAGATAAACGTGCCTCAGCCTCCTGAGTAACTTAGTGACTTAGACCCGGGGGGGGGGGGCAGCTCAGTGGGAAGGGCCTGGGTTCCAGCCCCGGTACCGAGAAAAAGATGAAACCACCCAGAATTCCCAACCGAAGGCGCCCCGTCCCCCGTTCCTTCAGAGGTCACTGTGACATGTGGCGCTCCGGCAGGTTGCATGTCCACCATCCGGGTGCACCCCAAGTGGGGGTTCTTGGGGAAGGACCCGGGACGTTGCTGTTACACGCATTCTGCACAGATAAACTGAGGCCCGGGAAGAAAGCAAAACGTGGGTCTGGGCTGGGTGGGCGCAGTGGCCTGTACTGGCCGAGTGTGCGAGATGTAGACGCCGGCGGCGCTGCCGCGAAAAGTCCCAGTCCGGGCCGGGCCGGGCCGGGCCGTGAGGCAGCTGCGGTGGGCGGGACGCTACTGCTCAGGCGCCGGCCCGGCCCGCCCGGTCCCCTCCGGGCCTAGGGCCCGCGGGACCCAGCCCTTGGCTCGGCTCCCTTTTCCAAGAAGGGCGAGGTGTTTGTGGGAAGCAGGGGTTATTTATAGAGGCGCCGGAAGTCCCCCAGGTCAGGCACTGTCAGGGCTCCCGCGGGGATTCGCCCGAGTCTGCCCCGAGCCGCCGTGGACGGCAGCCAGGCTGCAGGCGGAGCGGAGGAGGCTGCGCCCGCGGGCCTGGGGAGATCAGAATGTTGTGGTTGTTACGGGTATTTTGGGGAGGGAGCGGTATGGAGCATGGGTTCCAGCGCCTTCCACTGAGCTGCATCCCCAGCCCTTTTTTGTTTTTTTTCCGTACCGGGTATCAAACTCAAGACCTTGCGCTTTCGAGGCAGGTGGCCCTGCCCCTGAGCTAAATCCCCGGCCCTCTTGTTTCATTTTGAGAGTGTCTCGCTAAGTTGCCCAGGCTGGATTTGAACTCTGGATCCTCCTGACTCAGGCTCCCAGAATGCTGGGATGACAGGCGTGCGCACTGCCCCTGTGTTTTAAGTTACTATCATTACAATTTCCACTTCTTGGATTAAAAAATGGAGACAGAGATGGACGGAGTGGGAATGGGATGCCGGGGTGTTTGGCTCTGGACCCCAGATAAGGCCTGGCCAGCATCCGCGGCTCCCAAGGACGCTGGGCTCAGAGCAGCAGGCCGAGAGCCAGGAACGCCCCCTCCTTTCCTTGGGGCCCCCAACTGTCCTGTCCAGGCCACCCGCTGACCCCGCCTGGCCCGAGGCCCCGCCAAGTGTTTCCTGCGGGGAGCGTCTCTCGCGCCGGCTTCCGCATCCCGGAAGTATCGCTCCTTTGTCCCCCGCGTGCCTGCCGAGGAGGCGCTGCCAGCCAGCCGTGACTCACCCCTCCAGGCCGGGATGTGACGGCGGGGTGAGTGCTGGCCTCCGCTGCACTTTTAGGCTTTTCCCTCGATGGCCATTTGCTCCATTTCCTGGAGTCGACTTAGGAATAAGGTCCCGGCCTCCTCTCACGGAACTCGTTTCTAGCGGGGCACTATGGGATTTGCATTTTTCTCTTTTTGTTTTTGTCTTCCTTTGTTTGTTTCTTTTGTTTTTGGTACAGGAGATAGAACCCAGGGCTTTCACACTGGGCTACGTCCCCCGCTCTTTTTCATTTTGAGACACGATCTTACAACGCTGCCCAGGCTGGGCTTGAACTTGCGACCCCCCTGCCTCAGCTTCCCAGAGCCCTGGGATGACAGGCGTGCCCCACCGTGCTGGGCAAAGATTTGCTTTCTACCACCCTGGAGGACGCGGCTTCTCTGCGCCGCCCCAGCCGTCCTCCATTCACCTTTCCTCTGCCACCGCCCAACTCGGGGGCAGCAAACCCACTGATGTCACCCTGCACCCCAGCAACGCGAGACCTCCCTGGCCAGCGGGAGCCCTGCGGCTCACTTCCGGTGACGCCTGGGACTGTCCTCCGTTAAATGGGGTCTGCAACGACAGACCCCAAACCTACCAGCGACGCCGGGCAAGCGTGCGCCCCGGGCCATTTCCTGAGATCCCCCCGGCCTCGGCTTTCCCCTTTCCGCTGAGCCCTGAGGGACGTCCCCCTCTGCCCAGCCAAGGACTCTGGAGAAGGGTCGCTGCCTTTCCTCTCAAGACTTTTCTTCCTCGTGGCCCCCTGGAGTCTTTTCACAGCAGCAATCACGACCCTGGGGCCTTGAGCAGGGTTTACAATATTTATTAAATGACACCAGTATCTGTACTGGCCGCAGGCAGGGCAGGGGCTGTGCGTGCGAGGCCTGTGGGGGTCTGTCATCCCGGGCCCAGGCCCTCCCTAGCTCCTGGAAACTCAAGGGGGGGCCCTCAAAACCCCCAAGGGGGACCTAGAAACTCCCAAGGAAGGTCTGGAAACTCAGCGAGGGGCCTGGAAACGCCGGAGGTGGGGTGTGTGGCGGCGAATGGCTTCCTGTTCTCACCTCCGCCAGGGGAGATAAGGGAGCGGAGGAGGGAGGGCGGCGGGACGCAGGGCGGTGCGGAGCCAGGGATGCTGTGGGCGCCTCGGCGGGCTGTGACGGGCAACGCGTGAGTGTCACGGCGAGTGTCTCCGCCCGGTGCGGCCGCTGCCCCCGGCGCCGTGGCTTTGTGACGTCATCGCCGCGCGGTAAGGCTTCGGGGGCCACGGCGCCAATGCGGCCTCTGCGCAGGCGCCAGCGCGCAACACCGTCTCCGCTGTGACGTCATCGTGGCGATGTGACGTCACGCGGAGTCTGCGTGCTGCGAGCGAGCATCCTGACGTGGCAGTGCGGTGACATCACGCGGCGGGGGGGGGCGCGGTGACAGCGGGGGGTAGGCGCAATGGCCCAGGGTCGGCAGCGCGTGCAGTGTCCTCGCCGGCTCCTCACCTGCGTCCTGAGGTCGCTTCCTCAGCCACTGCGGAGGGAGGGGACAGCGGGGTGGGTGCCCGCCTGGCACAGGGCTGCTTCCTGGTGGGGCCGGGGCGCAACCAACTCCCTTCCGCCCCCTCCCTTCCTTCCCCGTCTTCCCTGGGGCCCCGCGGCGCACTCCGCCCCTCTCCGTCCTCAGGCAGCTCCCGGGCTGCGGGCTCGAACCCCCTGCCCCAGTGGCACAGGCCCCTGGCATCGCTCGGCCAGTCGCCTGCTCCGTGCTTTGTCCCCCAGAGCCACCAGTGGGGACCCGTGAGTGCCCGGGGCCCTCGAGCCCCAATTCTATGCTTATCATCCCAGAGCTCTGGGAGGCTGAGGCAGGAGGATCACAAATTCAAACCCAGCCCAGGCAACTTAATGTCTTAGAGCCTGACTCAAAAAAAAAAAAAAAAGGTCCCATTCTGCTCCCAGGCCTCCCAGGCCTCCAGCCTGAAGCCAGAAGGCAGCCTGTGCCCTGGCCAGGGTCCCCCAGGCTTCTCCCTGGTCCCCTTCAGGTCTCTGCTCAAAGGTCACCTCGGGGAAGCCATCCAGATGCTGCAGAGACCTCCTCAAGTGACCTCATCCTCTTCTGCTTTATCCACCCATCCTTCCTTCCCTCCCCTTGTCTCTTTCAGTCTTTCCTTCTCTTTGGTGCATCTTTTACATCTTGATGTTTTCCCCCCTACCCACCTCCACACTGCCTGGACCAAATCTTACTTAATATTTTTTATACCAATTGTGAATTTTGTTTTTGTTTTTCTGAATCGGGCTCACTGCAAACTCCTAGGCACAAGCAATCCTCCTGCCTCAGTTTCCTGAGTAGTTGAGACTATAGGCGAGGGCCACTGTACCTGCTTTTTTTTTTGGTACCGGGGATTGAACTCGGGACCTTGCGCTTGCAAAGCAGGCGCCAGAACCACTGAGCTAAATCCCCGGCCAGCCCCTGCTGTTTTTTAATTGCTGTCATTGCAGTACTCTGGGAGGCTGAGGCAGGAGGATGGCAAGTTTGAGCCCAGCCTGGGCAACTTATGACTTAATGAGACCCTGTCTCAAAAATGAAAATAAAAAAGGGCTGGGGATGCAGCTCAGTGCAAAGGCCCTGCGTTCGGTCCCCAGTACTGAAGAAGAAGGGGGAGGGAAAGCAACTCCAGAGCTGGGTAACTGGATGGCTGCATTCCGAATAAAATTCAGTTCTCAGTCAGCCACAGAGATAAAGGGCCCAGTGCAGCTGGCGGGTTGGGGAGCACTTGCCTGGCATATACAAGGTCCTGGCCTCCCTGCCCAGCCCCCAGAAGCTCAAAAGAATTGTAAAGACCTTGGGCTCAGCTCTGGCTGCTGTTCGGCTCTGGATTTGCCCTTGGTTTATAACCAGGGCTTCGGTGCATCCAGAACCTGGGTGTCGAGCTGGGCAGATGGCGCATGCCTGTGGGTGGTCCCACCTACTCAAGAGGCTGAGGCAGGAGGAGGCCAGCCTGGGCAGCACAGGGAGCTTGTTTGCAAAAACAAACAAAAGCATGTCAAGACGTAAGGGCTGTGCCCGGCCCTCGGTGCCCAGTGAGCAGCTGAAGCCCAGCCCCAGCCCCTTCCCTGGGGAAGGCTGGCGGCCAGAGCCCTTCCTGAGGCCCCGAAGCCAGAGACAGGAGGCCAGGCCTAAGTGCTCATTGTTTCCTTGCTGGGACGTCATTTGGGGTAAACAATGTCAAGAGCTTCCCCGGTTCTCCGCTGGGCCGGACAGTCCTGGGCTGGGAGCCCGGGCCTGTGAGTGACCCCGGTGGGGCCTCAGTTCCCTCCTCTGAGAAATGGGGATAATAATAGACTCCCTTCCTTGCCACCAGGGCTGTGGGCCAAGATGGAGGGGGCCACTGTCCGCTGGGAGGGCGGGCCCCTCGAACCCACTGCCCTCCTGCAGGTGGGGGCCGAGGGCTCTCCAGGACAGCTGCAGCGCTGGGGGGTGAGCTCCCTGCGGAGGGCTCTGCATGCCCGGCCCTGTGCTCCCCAGGCTGTGGCCGTGCGGGCCAACCTGAGGCCAACAGGGTCGGACTCAGGGACACGATCTTTGGGGTCAGAGCTGTGCCTGAAAGTCTGGCCCTTCCTGAGCCTTCCCTCTAATGGGCACCAGCGGGGCGCTGTGTCCTGGCCCTACACACGGCAGTGGGGACCTGGTGGAGCACAGGGTGTTCTGGGCAGGCCCGGGTCACCTAACGGTGATTCACGCCTGGATGTCCTCCGGTGGACTCCCAGCCTCAGGCGAGGTGAAGGGGCGTGGGCCCTAAGCCAGGCCCGGCAAGTGCCGGATGCCCTCCGTGCCCACGCCCAGTGCGTGCAGCTACAGGCCCTGACTCCAGCGCCTGTTCTTTTTATTTCAGTGCTGGGATTCGAACCAAGGACCTCATCCATGCTGGGGAAGTGCTCACCCCTGAGCTGCACCACAGTCCCGTTTATCAATTTTGAGACAGGGTCTCCCTAAGTTACCAGGCTGAGCTCTAACTTGTGATCCTCTTGCCTGGGGCTTCTGAGTAGCCAGGATGACAGGTGCCCCCACGGTGCCCTCTCAGGGCCTGGGTTTCGGCATCTAGAAAGTGGGGATAACAATAGCTCACTCAAGGGCCTGGGATTTAGCTCAGTGGTGCCGAAGCCTGCCCTGCAAGCACAAGGACCCCAGTTCCATTCTCGGTACCAAAACCCAAAACAAAACAGTAGCTCATTCAAGCCAGGTGTGGTGGCATCTGCTTGTCATCCCAGCACTCTGGAGGCTGAGGCAGGAGGGTCAGGGAGCATCAGGAAGACAGAACTGGGTGGCCTTGTTATTTCTGGTTTCTCCGGCCGCAAAGGCCCCGGGCACACAGCAGGCACGAAGTGAAGGAAGCAGCACGTGAGCCCCCACCCCCAGTCCTGGCCTTGTCCAGCGGCCTCTTACTTGGCCGGGCGGAGCACAAAGGGCTGCTGGCTCTCTAGGATCCTCTTCTTGAACTCCTCCAGGCTGGCTGAGTCTGCGGAGGGGGCAGGTGGTTGGAATGTGCCCCGCGGGAAGGGGTCGCCCTGAGTCCTGCCCACCCTAGCTTCACTCACCAATGATGGTCGGAGGGTTGGGAGGTGCAAGCCCCGGGCGAGGAGGGGTCTGCGGCTGCGACTGTGGAAGGAGGAGAAGGCTGGTGGAGCGGGGGTCCCTGGGCCTGAGCCCCCGAAAGGTTGCTGCTCCTCAGGCCTCAGCCACCCACTCGGGGACGGAGGGACTAGGGCCTCCAGGGACCCGGTCTCCGTGGAGCTCGGCTGCCTCAGTGTCTCCGCAGGGCCCACTCCACCCGCGTGAGCTCTATCCCCAGCCTCCTTTAAACTACTTTTACCTTTCGAGAAAAGTCTCACCAAGTCGCAGAGCTGTCCAGGCTGGACCTTCCTGCCCTTCTGCCTCAGCCTCCGGAGTGCAGGGGTGACAGGCGCGCGCCACCACGCCCCTCCACCTCCACTCTGCCGCTGCCCCATTCTCTGTGCCCATCCCCATCCCAGGCCCACGAAGGTCCCCAGGGGTCCCCAGCCCGCCCCTCGCCCTCGCACCTTGGCCTTGACGCAGGTGTCCAGCGCCGAGCTCTTCACTTCCACCTGCATCTGCATCTGCTCCACCTGCCGCCTGCGCTCGTCCAGCTCCTTGGCCAGGGCCTCCTGCTCCTTGCGCAACGCCGCCTTCTCCTCCTGCACCAGGTTCGTCTGGCGCGTGCACTCCGCGCGCAACTGGACCTCGAGCTGCGCCGCCTCCCGCTGCGCCTTCTCAGCCGCCGCCTGCCCGCTGCGCATGCGCTGCTCGGCCTCCAGCTTCTGCGCGCGCAGCTCCGCGTTCTCTCGCGCCGCGCGCTCGATGCCCGCGCGCAACCCGCGCGCCAGCTCCTCGGCCTTGGCCGCCATGAGCGCGGGCAGCTGGTCGCAGGTCCGGCGGATGGCGGCCACCTCGGTCCCCACGGAGTGGAAGGGGCTGAGGCCGGCGCTGTAGCCCAGGCTGTCCAGCGCGCGCGAGACCACGGCGTCACGCCACAGGGTGCGCAGCTCGGTTTCCAGCCGGTCGCGTTCCAGCGGCGCGCACAGCGCCTGCACCTGCTGCAGCCGCCCCTCCGCCAGCCGCTGGTGCTGCGCCAGCTGCTCCCGCGCGCGCCCGCACTCGGCCAGCTGCGCCTCCAGCTGGCGCCGGGCCTGCTCCCAGACGGCCTTCTCGCTGCGGAACAGCGCCCTCTCCTTGGCCAGCTCTATCTCCAGCGTCCTGCCCTTCTCGCCCAGCACGGAGAGTCGGTCTGCGGGCACAGGGCGCCAGTCGGGGGCTGCCCGGCGCCGCACGGGGCCGCCCTCCCGCCGCCCGCTGCCCGCCGCTCGCCGCTCACCGTGGCAGCTCTTGTTGTCCGCCTTCAGCTGCTCCTGGCACCTCTGCTCGCTCAGGATGATGGCCACCAGGTACCGCAGTTTTTCCTGGTAGATGGCCTGCGGGCGCGGGGACACGGGCAGCTCAGCACCCCGAGGCGCGGGGCCCGGAGGTCTGTGGGCCCCGGGCGCCGGGCCAGCACCGCGGGAGAAACGGGGCTTTACTTTTGATCCCGCGCGGCCCTAAAGGAGGGCCCCGAGGTGTGACGCGAAGTTGGTTGACAGATCCAGTCAGCATGGTGATGTTCTAGGGATCCAATGAACAGAAGAGCACTAGGGCTAACGGAACTCCTTGTGTATTTCAAATAGCCGCAAGAGACGATTTTATCTTTAGCTTTTTGATTTTTAATTTTTTTCTACTGGGAACTGAACTCAGGACCTTGCACTTGCCAGGCAGGTACAGTGCCACTGAGCTACATTCCCTGCTCTATTTTTGGCTTTTTGAGACAGGGTCTAGATACCTGGCCTTGAACTCGAAGCGATCCTCCTGCCTCTGCCTCCTGAATGCTGGGATTACAGGCCTGCACCAGCACGGATTTCGAGTGTTCCCAAGACAGAAACACGAGTGTTCCAGGCAGCAGCTGCTCCAGCTGCTCTGCTCTGCTCTGCTCTACTCTGCTCTCTGAACACACTACCTGGGTGTGGAAGTGTCACCGCACCCCAGGAATGTGCAGGACTGTTTGGTGTCAGTTTTCATTTTTTTACTTTTAAATTTTTTTTGGTACCGGGGATCGAACTTGGGTCCTTGCACTTGGGTGGTGAAACCACTGAGCCAAATCCCCGGCCCCTGGTGTCAATTTTAAAACATTAGCATTTAAGAACGTGAAAGGATCGAGGCGCTGGTGCGTGCTGCATGGGTGAACATGAGCTGCCGTGGCAAGGGTGCTGTCCTGGGCGGAACCATTTCCCCCCCGCAGGGTCTGTCAGGACGGGGCCTTAGGGTGACCCTGACTTCAGTGTGATGGCTGTCCTCATAACAAGGGGACATTGCCGGGCTCAGTGGTGCATGCCTGTCATGCCAGCACTGGGAGGGTGAGGCTGGAAGGTCCCAAGTCTGACCCCATCCTGGGCAACTCAGTGTCTCAGACAGACAGCCAGACAGACGGACCTGTGCAAAGGCCCTGGGCTCATGCCAGTACCACCCTTCCTAAAACAGAAGGTGCCAGCAAGATTGCTTCCTTTTTTATTGTTTGTTTGTTTGTTTGTTTTGCAGTACTGGGGTTGAATCAGGACCCCCACATCCCCGGCCCTTTTTTATTTGACACAGCATCTCACTGAGTCACCAAGCTGCCCAGGGTGGACTTGAACTTGTGATCCTCCTGCCTCTGCCTCCCGAGTGCTGGAATGACAGGCATGGCCAGGCTGCCCAGCTATTCTTTTAAATTTTAATGTAGTTTTGTTCTCTTGTCAGTGCTACTGGGGACTGTACCTTGCACGCACAAGGCTAGTGCTCTGGCTTGTGCTCGGCACGTCCCCAGCCCCTGCTGACCACCTGACACAGACCTCCACTCCCGGAAGTGGGAGAGAAGAAGTTGCAGCTGCTGAAGCCCTGAGTGCCAGGTGCCATGTTACGGCTGCCCCAGCAGAGGGACGCGGTACCAAGGCCATTCCACGGGACAGGGGAGTCTCCCACGGGGTGCTGGGCAGCTAGACGTCCACACACTGGTCTCACATCAGGGTAAAATGCCTCCAAATGCTCGCCTACCATGCACAAGGCCATTGAGTTCAAACCAGCATTGGGAAAAACAGTCAAAGACCTAAATATGAGACCAAAACTCTCAAACTCCTTCAAAGAAACTATGAGAAGCCAGGCCTGATGGCATAGGTCTGTCATCCCAGCTCTCAGGAGGCTGAGGCAGGAGGGTCAAAAGTTTGACCCCAGCCTGGGCTGCACAGTAAGCCCCTATCAAAAAGCAAAATAATAAGAATAGTCTGGCTTCGATCCATGGTACCAAAAAAAAAAAAAAAGTCTGGCAGCTCCTCAAAATGTTAAAATATAGTAGCCATATGACTCCCCTGTCCACTTGTTTGTATCCCATTTGTTTGTATCGACTCCAAAGAAATGAAAACCTACAGGAAACCTGCAGCCCAGGGTCCATAGCCACACCACTCACAGTGACCAAAAAGTGGAAATGGCCCAAATGCCCAGTGGACAAGTGGAAAAACACAAGGTGGTCCAGCCACACTGTGGAATATTACTCGGCTATGAAAAGGAAGGGGGCTCTGACACACACTACAAGGCAGATGAACCTTGAAGAGGATGCTGGTGACAGCAGCCAGGCACAGAGGGGCACCGTTGCGTGCCCCTGACAGGAAATAGCCAGAACAAGCGAATCCACAGGGACAGGAAGCAGATGGGGTTGTCAGGGCTGGGGGAAGGGCGGCTGGTGGGGACAGGGTTTCCTTTGGGGCACGGAATGTGCTGGTGTGTGCACACATCTGTGAGTGTGAGTGTGTCTGAGTTGGGGACGTACAGGGTGCGGAGCAGCCTTCGTGCAGCTAACCCAGAGAGGCCTGTGGCTCCGGGCCGGACCATGCAAGCCGGTGTCCAAGAGAGCCAGCGGCAGGGGGATAGAGACGCTGCCCCCGCAGCCCTGTCCCTCTTCAGAGCTGCCCAGGCCGAGTCCCTCGGTGTGAATGGGGAGAGGACAGACCTCACCTGGAAGCCCCAGCCACTAGCTGGGCACAGTGGCCACGCCCGTCATCCCAGCACTTGGGAGGCCGAGGCAGGAGGGTCAAAAGTTTGAGCCCAGCCTGGGCACCTTAGTGACTTAGTGGGACCCTGACTCAAAACATTTAAAAGAGGGTGGGGGCGGCAGCTCGGTGCACAGGCCCTGGGTTCCATCCCCAGCGCCACAAAGTGAACAAATACAAAATACTTTTTTTAAAAGGGCCGGGGATTGAGCTCAGTGGTTCCGCTACCTGCCTCGCAAGTGAAAGGTCCTGAGTTTGATCCCTGGCACCAAAAAAACAGAAGATAAAATTTAAGAAAGAAATCACATTGATTTCCCAATAACACCAGGATGGAGTGGGGACTCCTGGCCAGCGTCTGAGTCACCTCCCAGGAAGGGGCAGCAACCGTGACCTAAGGGCCCCCGGTGCCCTGTGAGCCCTCAGGGAATCCAAGCCAGAGGAATTTGTCAGCCCAAAGGAAAACACAAGAAGAAAAGGCAAGGGGACTCAGCTGTGATTTTCAACTTTTTTTTTTTTTTTTCTGAGACAGGGTCTCACCATGTGGTTCGGGCTGACCTTGAACTCACTGTGTAGTTCAGGCTGGCCTCGACTCATGGTGACCCTCCTGCCTCAGCCTTCTGACTGCAGGGATTACAGGCATGTGCTATCATGCCTGGATGGGTTTTCAAATTTTTAAGTTTGAAAATTCCAGAATCGGAGCTGGGGCTGTAACTCAGCGGTAGAAACACCCAGTCAGCAGGCACAAGGTGCTGGGTTCCATCCCCAGCACCAAAAATCAATAAAAATAATAAAAATAAAAATTGAGGGGGGAATGGGATAAAATAAAATTTATTAAAAAATAAAATAAAAATTTGGGCCAACCATGGTGGTGCACAGTTGTAATTCCAAGACACTTAGGAGGCTGAGGCAGGAGAGTCACCATGAGTTTGAGGCCAGCCTGGGCCACTTAGTGATGTAGCAAGACACCATCTCAAAACAAAGCCCAGTCTGGGCCCCGGGGTCGACTGCCAGGTGTGGGGTTTCCAGGACCCTGGATTCACGTGAGTGTCCAAGGCTTCATGGGTGGGCCCGATGGCTGGATGCATCCTGCACCCCAAACAGGCCAGTTCCCGGAGGCGTGTCTGGGGGCTGCTGTGACCCGAAGTGGGTGGTGGACCCACTCCTGGGGCCTGGGTGGAAGCAGGGCCTTGGGATTGAGCCACGTCCCAGGCCTTTTTATTTTGCTACTTCAGTAAATTGCCCAGGCTGGGTTGGAGCTGGTGATCCTCCTGCCTCAGCCTCCCAGATCTTCTGGGGGTCTGAGGGGCGTGGAGTCTCACCCTATGGCACCTGGCTTGGAGTTCCCGGCATAGCCCAGGGATGGGGGGATGGGTCCCCGCCCTGGTGCTCTGGGGGACTCCAGGGTCCAAAGGGGCGCTGGGGCATCTGACCACCTCCTTCCTGGCCCCTCATCCTGCCCCCCGCCTGTCCCCAGCCAGCAGGGCTGAGGCCACCAGACTCCGCTCGCGCCCAGGCCAGCAGGACTCCTGGCTGGGAGGAGGCGAAGAGAGAAAAGGCCCTGCCTGCGGCATGGGCCACAAGTGGGGTGCGAGGGTGTCCCCCACCTCGATGCTGCTGTCCCCGGGGGCCAAGGGTCTGTGCCCTGTGGGGAGATGTTCTCCCCTCTCAGGTCCCCACTTCCCTGGCTCCTCCCTGCCCAGCCAGGGAGACCGATTGTGGACAGGACACTTGCCCAGCACCGTTGTGTGTGTGTGTGTGTGTGTGTGTGTGTGTGTGTGCGCGCACACGCACTCGCCTGCTCATGCCACTGGGGTCTGAACCCAGGGAGCGCTGAGCTAATCCCCAACCCTTTCTTAAAACTTTTTTTTGAGACAGGGTCACAAGTTGTGTCAAACTTTGATCCTCCTGTCTCGGCCTCCCGAGTAGCTGAGATTACAGATGGGCACCACCAAGTCTAGCTGATGTTCCTATTTTCGCGGTGCTGGGGAGGGAACCCAGGCCCCCGCGCTGGGCCAGCACTCACTGTGCGTGGGGGCATCTCTGCGGACACTCCTCGGCTGGGCTTCCCCGAAGCCTGCCCTCTGCGGCCGGCCACGCCTGGCGCGGGCACTTCGTGGACCTCGGTTCAGGGGCTCTGGCTGCCCCTTCACGCCCAGGGTACCCACTCACCTGAACGCTGGGCGGACAGTGCTGGGGTCTCAGTGGCCCCACCAGGGCCGTGGGTTGGAAACTTGGTCCCCACTGGGTGGTGGGGAGTGGCCCGTTAGGAACTGAGCTCCCCAGCCTCAGCACCCTGAGCCAAACGCCAAACAAACCTCTACATTCTGCCTGTCTGTGTGTTTCTTCATCTCTCTTCTTTTGTTTTTCTTAGACAGGGTCTCGTATGTGGTTTAGGCTGCCCTTGAACTCACTGTGTAGTCCAGACTGGCCTCAAACTCACCGCAGTCCTCCTGCCTCAGACTCCAGAGTGCTAAGATGGCAGACATGCGCCACCACGCCTGGCTTCCTTCTTCCTTTTTGAGGCAGGGTCTCACTGTGAAACCCAGGCCAGCCTGGTCCCCAAATCCTCCCTCCTCAGCCTCCTGCCACGCCTAGCCCTGAAGCCATGTTGTAAATTACCTGCTCTAATTATTTTGTTTTAGGACCTGTAAACAGACTAAGACTGATAATGACTACTTTTTGGTTAGTTATAAGTACAGGCCAAGCCGGGCACGCGCCCGGTGGCACACGCCTGGTGGCACACGCCTGTCACCCCAGCACTAGGGAGGCGGAGGCAGGAGGATCAGAAGCCCTGTCTCAGAAACTAAGCCCCAGACAGACAGCGCACAAGGCCCTGCGCGCAGGCTCACCTGGTCGGCCTGGCACTGGCGGAAGCTGGCGTTGATGCCCTCCAGGTCGCGGCGCGCGCCCAGCAGCATCTGCATGATGCTGTCCTTGGCGCGCGCCGTGAGGTTGAGCTCGCGCGTGAGGTTGGCGCGCGCGGCCGTCAGCTCCACGACCTGGCCGTGTAGAGCGGCGGCGCGGCGCTCAGTGTCCTGCAGGTTGGCCTCGGTGCCCTGGTGCACGTTGCCGTACACCATGAAGAGCACCAACCCCACGATGATGAGGGTCTGGACGAGCGACGCGAACAGGAAGAGGTAGCGCAGGTAGAACCAGCAGCCGCGCTCGGAGCCGCCCGCGCGCGCGTAGGGCGCCCCGGGCTGCACGGCCAGGCCCATGGCCGCCCTGTCGCGCTGTCGCGTGGCCGCGTCCTCCCCGGCGCCTTTATGGGATCCGCTTGGCGCTGCCCCCGGCCCCTTCCTGCCCGGGAGGAAGTGGGGGTGTGAGGATCCCGCTGGCCCGCTGGCCCCGGTCCAGCGCAGCGGGGAGGGGCCGCTTGCTCCAGCTCAGCTGCCTCGGCCTCTCCAGAGCTGGAATGACAGGCGAGCCCCCCCACACCTGGCCTTTGGGGTTCTGTCACATTTAACCGTCTTGGGCCTGTCGCCATGGAGCACAGGGGCACGGGAGACAGGACGGTCCCCTGGCTCACCTGGGACATGCACAGAGTTGGACTTTGGTTCCCCTGGCTCTGACACCCCTGTGCCTGCATGGCTCAGGCATTGCCCAAGTAGGTGAACAGTAGGTGCTTAATACCTCAGGGTGGATGCACTGTTTGTGGCTTTGTTCCTGGGTGTGCCAGCTCACTCAGGTAGGTGCTTGATAACTGCTGAGAGCCACATGAGGTGGTGCATGCTCTCAGTGCAGTCAGTGCTTGGGAGGCTGAGGCAGGAGGGTCTCAAGTGAGGGCCCAGCCCAAGGCATTTAGGAGACTTCGTCATAAAATAAAAAAGACAAAGGGCTGGGGATGCAGCTCAGTGCGAGGCCCAGATTCTGTCCCCAGTACTGAAAGAGTAAACAAACCATTCTGGAGCAAGCTTGGGGCACAGTGCCTGTGGAGAGGGGAGCTGGGTCCCCTGTGCGCTCTGATGGGCTCCCAGCTGTCTGTGCCTCAGTTTCCCCCCGGTGAGGTGGAGCGAGCTCCGTGCAGGGTGCCCCTGTGCCTCTGAGTTTGCGTTTTTGTTGTTCCACTTGCTCCCTGCTTCCAGCAGTGTTTGGGGCTCCATGCGCTGCTGAGGGGAATCCAGGCCTCCTGCCCCATTACCCACCCTAAATATTCTGGGGTCACTGAGGGCCGATCCTCAGGTGGCGTGGGGGACCTGGGGGTCCAGAAGCGAAGGATCCTGGGTGTGCCCTCCCCAGGGGCTCAGGGAACATTCTGGAATCTTCTCTGCTCGCTCCACACTGGGGTGCCAGGGTCCCTGACAGCTGCTGCTGCTCTTAGGGGACAGCAGAGAAAGCCTGACGGGTGTGGCCTGGCCAGCAGGAGGGAAGGGACACAGGGTCAGGTGCTGCCCCGCTGTGGGCCCGGGTCCCCATCTTGGGTGGTGGGCGGGGGTCCCTGACAGTGGGAGGGGCCCAGGGTGTCGCCCCGCTGTGCAGCAGAAGGAGGAAATTCCCAGGGTGGCAGGAAGCCCTGTGTGACCTTTGGCCTCTCAGCCACCGAGCGGTTCCTGCTGGAGGGGCCTGGGGGTCGGGCGCCCAACCAGACGCGCGTCTGGTTGGCCAGGCTCTGCCCGAGTAGTGCGCGGGCACAGGCCCAGGTGACGACAGGTCAGGCCCTGCGTGCCACCCCCAGATGTGTGGCCCCAGACCAGCGAGTTCCTCCCCTCGAGCCTCGTGTAAAGAGGGAGCAAGACACAAACTGACCAAAAAATGGTGTGCGCACAACTTTTACAACATTCTTAAAGTGATAGCCCCATTCTTATGAATTCCATCAAAGTATTTCTCTCATTTTTTTTTTTTCCATGCCAGGGATTGAACTCAGGACCTTGGGCTTGGCAGGCAGGCAAGTTGCCACTGAGCTACATCCTCGGCCCTTTTCATGTGTGTGCGTGAGACAGGGTCTCACTATGTAGCCCAGGCTGGCCTCAAACTCACAGCAATCCTCCTGCCTCAGCCTCCTGTGTGCTGGGGTCACAGGCGTGTGCCACCACACAGGCACTGTCATCATATTTACTTACTTACTTACTTATTTATTTATTTATTTTGGTACCGGGGATCGAACTTGGGACCTTGCGCTTTCGAGCCAGGCACTGGAACCACTGGCTAAATCCCTGGCCCAACTGTCGTCATTTTTAAATGCAGACATTCGCTGTGTATTTGTCACCCCTTATGGCAAGAGGTGGAGCGCTAGAGTCGGGGCAGGCGTGTGCTCGGCCTTAGCCAGGGGTGACATCTAGGGGCACAGGATAAAGCGTGACTGACCGTTTCGGGCCATGCCGGGCACTGTGCCAGCTGAAGCTTGGGGACGCAGAGGGGTGCTGCAGCCACAGCAAGGGCAGCTCCAGGCGGTGCGTCAGCCCAGAGCACGTCTGGCCCTTGGCTGTGCTTCCCACAGTGACGGTGGGCACGCACGTGTGCCCGTGTGCATGTGTCTGTGTGTGAGCCTGAAGGTCAGATGGGCCGGAAGAGAAAGGTGACCAAGCCCCTTGAGAGTTGGGGAGCTGCTGGGGTCCCTGGTGGTGCTAAGGGGACACAGCGCAGGGTGACGTTGCAGTGTAAGGACCGGAGTGTGAAATGCACTTGGACGGCATCGTGTGTTTGCCTGTGGGAGTGTGAGCTCACACCCTGACTGAGTGCTGCCCTCCTGAGTGACTCAGCACCCCCAGCCCACGGGGCGGGGGGACCCTGGGGCCTGGCTCTCCAGGGGCAGCTTCCCCACTGATGCCCACCATGCCCCGGCTCTCTTAAGATCTTATCTTATTTTGAGACCCAGTTTTGCTGAATGGCCCAAGCTGAGCTCAAACTTTCAGTCCTCCTGCATCAGCCTCCTGAGAAGCCGGGACTACAGGTGTGTGCGACACTCGACAAGTAACTCATCAGAACAGGAAAGCTTACAGTGGAGCTGGCTATGTGGGCTCCACACCTTGTCTCTGCACTTTCTCCACTCCTCTTCTTTTTCCTGGGCTCTGTTGATCCTCTTGCTGCCACTTAGGGTTTTAGTGTCTTTGTCACAACAACTTTGGATGGACATCTAGATTGTTCCCAATTCTTTCTCCAATGACCAAAGATTCAAACTCAGATCTGAGCCAGGCATGCTCACACCTGTCATCCCAGCACGCTGGGAGCCTGGGCAGGAGGATGGTAAGTTGGAGTCCAGCCTGGGCAACTTAGTGATTTAGTGAGAACTTGTCTCAAAATTAAAAATACAATTTTTAAAGGGCTGGGAATATGGCTTAGCGTGAAGGTCCTGGGCTCCATCCCCTGTACTGCAAACTTTTTTTTTTTTGGTACTGGGAATGGAGCTTGGGACCTTGCACTTGCGAGGCAGGCACCGGAACCACTGGCCAAATCCCCGGCCCTGCAAACATTTTTTTAAAATAAAGAAATGTACAAAGGGCCGGGTGCAGCTCAGCGGCGAGCACCGAGCTAGTGATGGGCACATTTCACACCGGCCTGGCTCCCAGGGTGTCTGATTCACACCCTGCCCACAGGGTCTCATCCCTCTGGACAGACAGGTCTCTGAGGCGAGGGCAGGCGGACGGTGTTCACGCCATTCCCATCTCCACACCCGAGCGAGCGAGCGGGTGCAGGTTTTTTCCTGAAAGCCATTTGTCACGGCCACAGGAAGCTGCCACTGAGCCTCTTCCCCTGGAGGTCATTGGAGCCGCACTCAGCCCCTCCCGACACGTTTTTTCTAAATGGAAAACAATCAATTCGGGGTGAGTTGTTTGTTATGTGGGGAGGGGAAGCTGGCGCTAGGAAGCGGGCTGGTGTCACTTGCTGGAAAAGGACAGCTGAAGACCCGGGAGGTGGAGGTCACAGCCCCACAGCCTCCAGGAACCAGCTTTGTTTATTCCCCATGAGGACCGAGCCAGGGCCTCACAGGCGAGGCCAGCACCTGCCACCAAGCTGCACCCTGGCCCCTTTGCTGTTTTGAGTCAGGGTCCCACCAAATCGCCAAGCTGCCCAGGCTGGGCTGGAACTTGCGATCCTCTGGCTCAGCCCTCAGGGTCCTGGGATGGCAGCGCCAGGCTTCAGAAGGGGCCTTAAGGAAGTGAAAGCTTCCTGAGGCTCCAAAGCCCTCTGTCCTGGCTTCTCTGGGTCAGAGGCACCCGGACTGGGAGTGAGACAGGGGTGTGTGGGGAGACAGATAGAGACAGGAGCGAGGCCTGGTGGCGCATGCCTGCAATCCCAGCACTCTTGAGGCTGAGGCAGGAGGAGCAGCACAGGTTAGAGGCCAGCCTGGGCTATGTATTGAGACACCGTCTCAAACAACAACACAACAAAAACAACACAACAACAAAAACAAAAAGAGAGAAGAGAAGAGACAAAAATAAAAAAAGAGTCTGGCAGGGTGGTGCTCACCTAATGCTAGCACTTTGGGAGGCTGAGGCAGGAGGATCTGGACTTTAAATCCTGCCTGGGCAACTTAGAAAGAACTTCTGGGGGAAAATAGGGGACTGGGGGTGTAGCTCAGTGGTAGAACATCCCTGGGTTTGATCACCACTAACTCAAAAAGGGGAGAGAGACAGAGACAGATACGGAGGTTAGACTCACTGAGAGAACTGGAGCTGGGGCTCAGTGGTGAGCGCTCGCCTAGCTGAGGACAGGGGCCAGAGTGGTCACAGAAGGAAGCCGAGACAGGAGGGTGCAGGGCCTGCCCGCGGTGCCCTGTGTGTGGGGGGGGGGGAGGCAGAGCACCCGGAGCCTCCTTCTCTCAAACCCCACGGTCCTCACGACCCTGGCCCGGCAGCCTCCCTGGGCTGAGCCCAGGTCCAACCTCACCGCCCTGCAGGGCAGCGCGGATTTCCAGAATCCCACAGCAAGGCCACGGCAGCGGACCCGGCAGGGTGACAGCGGCGACCCTTCGGGAGCCCAACGGCCGTGCGGGCTGGAGCGGCCCCTGGCGGCCACGCGCGGAACAGCGCCCCGGGCCCAAACCCTCTTTTCTTTCCACCTCTTTTCCTCTCCTTCCCTCTATACGCCTCTTCTTTTCTTTCTTTTTTGTTTTCTTGAGACAAGGTCTCTCTATGTAGTTCAGGCTGGCTTTGCACTCTCTATGCAGCCCAGGTTGGCCTCGAACTCTCAGCGACCCTCCTGCCTCAGCCTCTGGGCGTGACAGGCGGGCGCCACCACGTCTGGCTCACTCACTCTTTCATCCCTCTCTCCCCTCTCTCCCCCGCGCGCCGGCCTCTCTCAGGTGATGTCCCAGACCAGGCACAGGCCCTGGGCGGGTAGGGGTGACGACGGCCCCCAGAGCAGCAGAGGCACCATGCCAGCCGCTTGGCAATTTGCAAAGCATTTTTTAAATTTTTTTTTTTTTTT